ACTTTGTTCAAACAAAAGTCCTGGCCCGCGGCCCCCACACCCACAATGACTATCAATCCAGGCTGCGGGTGAAGGGCAAAACCGCGCCGCTGCAGAACGGTTTTTGCAAAACCGTGCCGCAGCGGTACGAAACTGCGCAGATGCAGTCCAGGGGTGGTAAGGACACTATGTGTGTGTGTGTGGCCGTAGACTAGACGGCTGCGCGGTCGTCGGTCTTCAACACAACCGGCAGTATGGGCGCTCCTGGAGCTCCCCGAGTCACCTGTATGTTTGTCCTCCACCCTTGAGGAGGCTGCGCAATTGTGCGCGCGATAGTAGGAGATGTAGGAGTCGTCTAGCTTCTTCAGATCCTCAGCCTCGCTACCCGATGCGAGGATGGGGGGCTGTTGAAGACCGACGACCGCGCAGCCGTCTAGTCTACGGCCACACACACACACATAGTGTCCTTACCACCCCTGGACTGCATCTGCGCAGTTTCGTACCGCTGCGGCGCGGTTTTGCAAAAACCGTTCTGCAGCGGCGCGGTTTTGCCCTTCACCCGCAGCCTGGATTGATAGTCATTGTGGGTGTGGGGGCCGCGGGCCAGGACTTTTGTTTGAACAAAGTTTTGACAGTACATTTCTGTCGGGCCTTGGAACAGCTTGTGAGTGGTCACTGAAGACCTTCACACCATGACACAGCCGCGCCACTTGCACCGGCCGTCGGACTTCCGGGAGGCGATCTCCTTCAGCGGGAGGACGCGCACCTTGGCGGGGCGGCGCATGGGCTTGAGCGTGCCGTTCTGGATGAGGCCGAGGAACTCGGTGTCGTACGCTTTGTACCACATGTCGCGCAGCTTGGGGTCGCGGATGTTGGCGATGTCCTTGTAGTGCTTGGGCACGATGTTGTCCGGCATGGGCATGATCTGGCCGTCCACGCTCGACACGTACGCGACGCACTGATCCGTGGTGTTGCGGTAGACCGACGACGATGGGGATGCGGCCGCCGCAGCCGCCCAGATGCCGAAGGGCGTGGCATTGGCGGCGAGGCGGGCGTTGAGCATGTTGTTGTACTCGCCCGTCGAGACGCCGCCGCGGCTGCGGGTGGTGCGCGGCGCAGGCGCACCCGCTGCGGGCGGGTTGACGTTGCCGTCGTTGGCCGGGTCTGGCATGATCACCACCTCCTCGTCGAGGGTCAGTCCCCCGGCGTGGTTGTCGGTGGTGGGGAGGAAGACGGAGTCGCCGCGGGTCACGTTGTTGTCGAGCGTAGCCTTGTCCGACTCGTCGGGCGTCTCGTCCGCGGTCACAGGCTCCGGCCACGCGCCCTCGATGTCCGTCGGGGTGAGGTCGGAGGTAGGAGCACGGTACTCGATGCCGTTCCAGAGCTCGTTGACGCAGAAGGTCGCCTGCGTGGTGGTGCCGATGTGCCCCTTGCGCGGACCCTCGGTGATGACGTACTTCCAGCCGGGCGAAGTGCGCGAGATGCCGAGGAAGGCCGCCATCTCGCCCGTGGGTGAGACACCGTTCGCCACAAGGTGGGGGGGCGACTTGACGATCATCTTGCACGCCCACGGGTAGAACATGTTCATCTTGGGGCGCTGCCCGGTCTTGAGCTCGTACGCTGACTTGCCGGTGTCGCGCACGGCAAAGGTGGCGTTGGCGATGGTGGCCGCGTACACCCAGGCGTAGCCCCAGTACTGGTAGAGCTGGGTGGCGCCATGCCCCCCTGCGCGCGCCATCATCTCCCGCACGATCCTGCCGCAGGTAGCGTTCGCACGCTCGCACGCCCCATTCTGCCACGGCTCGTAGGGGCAGCTGTTGCGGAGGGTGATGCCGTACTTGAGGCAGAGTTCGCGCACGGCGCTGGAGTTGAGGACGACCTCGTTGTCGCAGAACGCAACCCCTCCGCGGAACGTGTGGCCGTCCTTTCCCTCGTTCTCGGCGAAGTACTTGCGCAGGTAGGCAGGCGTCTGGCCCTTGGTCTCCGCAGTGCCGATGTTCTTGTAGCGCACGTGCAGCGCGACCGCCTCGGCCTCGCGCTCCGCGCCCGGCCGGATGGTGCCCACCTCGATGATGTCGAGGAGGTACTTGTGTTGCTTCGCCGCGGTCCGCAGGTTGCGGAACCACTCGTTGAACTCCCGCTCGGAGCCCTGTTTGTAGGCCGGAATCACCAGCTTGTCCGTCGACGACATGTTGTCGTAATGTCCCGGGGATCGTTGCCCCGCCGCCACCAACTGTGAAGGTCTTCAGTGACCACTCACAAGCTGTTCCAAGGCCCGACAGAAATGTACTGTCAAAACTTTGTTCAAAAGTCCTGGCACGCGGCCCCCACACCCACAATGACTATCAATCCAGGCTGCGGGTGAAGGGCAAAACCGCGCCGCTGCAGAACGGTTTTTGCAAAACCGCGCCGCAGCGGTACGAAACTGCGCAGATGCAGTCCAGGGGTGGTAAGGACACTATGTGTGTGTGTGTGTGGCCGTAGACTAGACGGCTGCGCGGTCGTCGGTCTTCAACACTCCTACCTAGTTAGTTCTCCTGTGCTCCTGACAAGGGACAGCGACAGACTCGCAGCACGGTGGACTCCCTATTCCACTGGCGATCTCTCTCGACTAGCGACCTTCCTCCGGCTTCTCACCAGCAGTCTCTCACTACCACGGGCACACTGACAGAGGCCAGTGTATATAAATAAATAAATACAACGTACACGCCAAACGAGGGGTGGGAGAAGGACAGGGTCCCCACCTGCACGAGCAGGATCTTGTAAGGACGATCAGGGACACAGGGGAACGGGAGCGGGGAGCGCATCGCGACACGGAGGGGGGCTGGGCAGGGTTCACCCTCACGACAGGGTCCCAGGGATTCCTCTCTCGTATAGGACAGGTTGCACCCGGCGGCACGGGGGCAAGCGCGGGCCTCCTACTGGTTGCGCTCTCCTAGTTCTCCTGCTCCTGACAAGGGACAGCGACAGGCTCGCAGCACGGTGGACTCCCTATCCACTGGCGATCTCTCTCGACTAGCGACCTTCCTCCGACTTCTCACCGGCAGTCTCTTCTACCACAGGCAGACTGACACGTGGGTGGCAGTGGCGGTGATAGGAGTCTCCCACTCTGTGGGCCTCGCTAGAAGTGCGACCCCTGCGCGTGTCCTCGCCCTTGAAGGGGAAGGGGCTGTGTGTCTGTGCATGTGTACAACATGTGTGTGTGTGTGTGTGTGTGTGTGTGTGTGTGTGTGTGTGTGTGTGTGTGTGTGTGTGTGTGTGTGTGTGTGTGTGTGTGTGTGTGTGTGTGTGCTCGCTCGCTCGCTCTCGCGCGCCGCTTGCGCGATCGCGCGCGCGCGCTGCGCGAGCCGCCCTGCCCGCTGCGCTGCTAGGGTTGCGCTGCGGGAAGGGCTCGGCGGCCGTTCCTAGAGCTCCTCGTCGCTCCCCCCGTATAGCGAGGGCTCGTTGGACTCGAGGAGTGGGCCGCCGTCGTAGGGGGAGCGGGCGGCTCCGCGGGCGACGCTCGCCCAGTCCTTCTTGTTGCTCTTGACCTCGCCGCCGCCGCCGCCGCGGCCGCGGCCGCCGCGCCCGCGCCGCCCGCGGCTTGTGCCCAGCCTGACAGAGGCACAGAGGCCAGTGTAAAGAAAGAAAGAAAGAAAACACACAACCCAAGGGAGGGATGGGAGAACGGCACGCCGCCACCACACAGGGATTTTAAGGAGAGGAGGGTGTGATGCGCTAGCCGTCGCCCACCCTGGGGGGTCTGCCTCCTCGTATCTCTTTTCGCAGTCTCTCGCCGCTTCTCGCTGCAACCTTCATGCCACCTCGCGGCTGTCCCACTCTCGTCGTTCTCTCCCTTGTCACTTCCTCCTCTGTCGCGTCGTTCTCTTCTGCCTCGTCCTGCGACGCCGCCGCCTGCCGGTCCCTTGTTCTCGCGGCTTCTTTCGCCTCTCGGCGCAACTCCGTCCTCCTTGCGGCGTATCCTGGCCCCTCGAGTCTATCGAGCTCCCCTCGCGCAAGGACCACATTTCTGACTCCCACTCCGATCATTTGCCTCCAAGTCATGTTGTTGCTCAGGTCCACTCTCTCTTCGAACACTCGTGCCTCTACGGATGATGCCGGCGCTGGGGTCCCCTTCGGATGCATCGTGACATCTGACAACTGAATTTCCACTGGTTCGTCCTCCTCTGAGTCATCTTCCCCGTCCTCCCTCCGCTCGGCTCTTCGCTCGGTACGTTCGGTGTGGCTCACCCTCCATGCCGTGAACAGGCGCTTTATCCACCCTATATTCTTCTCTCGTTCCTCTGCCCGTGCCTTGGTCTTGTCGTTGTTTCGCACCCATGTCTGTATGGCAATCGAGGCTGCCTTCCCCACTACCTGTAGTTCACTCGTCACCTCTCCCGCGAGCTCCCTTCTCTTTCTTTCGGGTATGGAGTCCGTGAGTGCGGGTAGCGTGCAGGCAATCACGGGTGCTATTTTGTCGTACTCCTCTTCGGCGAGCGCCCCAAATCTAGACCCTTTCGCCTTTAAGGAGGCTGCCCTCGCTCGTCTCAGGAATGTGGCGGTGTCTTTTGAGTCCGGCGCCTCCCGTTCAACTCTTGCTGTCGCCCTCGCTGTGTGTTTGTCGAGCTTCCGCATGAAGTGACGCGCCTCTTCCTTATTTCCAGCGCAGCTGCCGCTCAGTATATGCGCCAACGACGCCTGTGGTGGCTCACTGTCTTCTTGTTTCCAGTCGTCCCAGTCTTTCAGTTCCCCGCGTCTCCTCCTTGCCTCGCGCGCCTCTTTTGCGACCTCATCCCTAGCCGCTTTGCACGCTCTGCATCCCCAGAACGCACTTCTCGTGGCGGGGCCCCTCATTCCCCGTTTCTTTTCCCCCTCTAGAATACGCCTGTGGTGTGCCCCATGTGGCACCCCGACCTGTTGTCTCACCCTGGCCCCCAAGATCGTTTTGGTCGTCAGAGGCCAGTGTTGTGCGAGGGAGTTCGCTTGTAAAATTCTTTCGGTGAGCGAAGTTGGGCGATGCGGTCTCCCAAGTGCCGAGCTCTCGCACAGTCAACATGAACGAGCAGCTCGCGTTGATCGAGGAGGCCTTCCGCCGCGCCCGCAGCCAGCCCCTGTCGGGCGTGCCCATCGACATTGCCGTTGCGCGCCAGTACGGCGACTCAACCGTCACGCTGCGCACGCAGCTTCCGGCTCGCGGCGGCAATAGCTCGGTGCAGCCTCGGGCCGCGGGCCCATCGGGCGAGGCGTTCACGCTCGGCGACCTCAGCGCCGTCGCCAAGGGTAAGAGCGACGAGGGGGTGGATCGGAAAGTCTCCACAGCCTCCTTCTTCGACCCGCCGAGCGGTGGCGATGGCGTCGCCCGCGGCGAGACGTCGCTGTCCTGGGCAGATGGCGAGAGCTCGATGCAGGTGGGCACGCTGCTGGCAGAGATTGAGCGGCTGAAGCGCAAGGCGCTCTCTCGCGGCGTCAATCTCACTTCGCCACAGGAGGACGTGCCGGCGGAGGACGTGGCAATGCTGCGGCAGGTCTGTGCCGTAGCCCGCGGAGAGAGAGAGAGAGCGAGAGAGAGGTTGTGGGGAGCGCCTGGCTCGAGGAAGCTGCGTGCCAGGCACAACTCTCAGCTCCGGTACAGCGCGGCTGCTCGAGAAGAGACCTCCAGATGGTCGAGCGCCCGGCCCGCATGCTCCTCCCTTGCTCCTCCTCACCCCTCGCTCCCTGCGCGCCCCGCAGGTCTTTATCATGGCGGACTCAACCAGCCGCGGCTCGATCGAGCTCGAGGAGCTCAAGAACCTCCATCACGTGCTCGGCGAGCCGCTGACCGAGTCGGAGGCAGCCTCCGCCTTCAAGGCGCCGCCAACTCAGCCAACAAGCACGAGAGACGCCAGCTCATTCGCAGAGCCCTACTCCACGGCCACGCCACACCCACACCGCCATGGGCGCCGGCGTCTACGCCGGGGTGCTGGCACCTCCGGCAGCCGCGGGTAGGCGATGGACTCGACCAAGTCGGGGACCGTCAACTTTGAGGACTTCCTCGCCTGGTACACGCTTGCGCACTCGTCGTCTGGCACCGCCCTCCCACTCAGAGGCGGGAGGCGCTCGCCGCGTGGGAGCTGACGCCGCGGCGGCGTGCACGCCGTAGGCATGCTCTCCAAAAAGGGACAGGCGTACACCAACCGCTTCAAGAAGATGATGGGGCGGATCGGCGGCCAGTTCAAGCTCGAAAACATCACCGTCTCGGAGACCGGTTCTCGGCTGCCGCCCATCGCCCCCCGCCCCCTTCCTGCGGACGCCCCCTTCCTGCGCAGCGCATGGCCTAGCCGCTCCCGAGCCGCTCCCGAGCAGTGTCTGAGCCGGGCCCCTTGGCTGAACGCCGCGACACAGGCCAGTCGCGCTCGCTAGAGTACCGCGTGAACTTCTTCTACAACGACCACGGACACCTCAAGCAGATCTCGCCGTGGCACGACATTCCACTGTACGCCAACGACGGCGTCGCCCGATCAAGCGAAGGCTGATACATTGGTCGGGATCGCGTCCTCTAAAACGCCTGGCCTGCCGCCGGTAGGCGCCATCCATTTCATCACCGAGATCCCCAAGTTTTCGCGCGCAAAGTTCGAGATTGCCACGGGCGAAGTGCTCAACCCGATCAAGCGAGACGACACCAGCCAGTAAGGAGAGGCGGTGCGTGGGCCTGCCACTGACCTCGCGCGGCGCACGGCATAGGCAGGACGTCAAGAACGGCAAGCTGCGAGACTACAACTTCGGCGCGATATTCCCGCCCCTTTGGCGCCCCTCCGGCGGACCCGTCCGCGATGCGTCTGCGACGCGTCCCTCGGTAGGTGACATGCTCTTCAACTACGGCGCGTTCCCTCAGACGTGGGAGGACCCGCAGGCGCCGAGCCATTGCCCCCGCCATGCCACCGCCACCGCCGTCGCCGCTGCCGTCACTTCCGCCGTCGGTTTCGCCGTTTCGCCCCCGCCGGGGCTCCGACCCCCGCCACAGCCGCCGACGCCCTCACTGCCACCGCCCTCTCAATCCCCGCACCGTAGCACACGACGCCCGACACGGGCCACATTGGTGACAACGACCCGATTGATGCCGTCGAGATCGGGACCAAGATTCTGAAGACGGGCTCCGTCACCAAGGTGGTCGCGGGACGAGCGGCGGGCTACTTCCCGGCGCATACTCGAGGCGGTGTGTGCGCATAGGTCAAGATCCTCGGCTGCCTTGCGATGATTGACGACGGCGAGACGGACTGGAAGTGCATCGTGATCAATGTGGACGACATCCTCGCGCCGCGGCTCAATGACATCGACGACGTCGAGGCGGAGCTGCCCGGCTTTGTGTCGACGTTGCGCGAGTGGCTGCGCATGTACAAGACGGTCGACGGCAAGCCGCAAAACGAGTTTGGCCTCGACGAGAAGGCGGTGGGCCGCGAGTACACGCTCAAGGTGATTGCTGAGACGCACGAATTTTGGAAGCGGCTGACCGCCTCTGGCGCAAAGACGGTCTAGCCAGACCCTCGACAGTCCCCCCCCCCCCCTTGACCGGGCACTCGGACACGACCCCTCTCTCGCGGCCACCTGTTTTCGGCGGGCGGACGCGGGACGCGCGCATTGCGATTGGCGCTGCGGCCGACGCAGATACGACTCTGTGTGAGCCGACGGTCTTCGCGGCGCCCAAGAGAGACGGGTCACGGTAGCCGTTGCCGTCGTGCCGGTACTGCGAGGCGCGGGAGATATCGAGTACGGTAGATCGAGAGGTCTTTGCTGCGGCAGCGAGCCGGGAGCGTAGATTCTTCTTTGATATTAATTGTTGAGATACGACGACTCGTTATTGTGTTGTGCTCATTCCGCCGGCTCTCCTGCTGGCTGCTCCCCGCCTCACAGTCTACCTCTCGCCGCACGCTGGTGGCCCGGGGGGCCCGGGGGCGGCGGCGCGGGCGGCGGCGCGGGGCCGCGGCAATGCGCGCAGCCACATTAGCACATATATGCGCAAATAAAGCCGAACACCGAACCGAACTGCCACAGGATGTGGTTGGCCCCACTGCCCCGCTGAGCGCTGAGGGTGTGGCGGCGTCCCTGGGCAGCGCGCGGCGAGGCTCGTAGAGGTCATGGGAGAGATCGGATATGGCGGCATGTTCCTCCTGTGCCTCAGAAGAGTTGCGCCCCGCGATGCCCGCGATCGCTGCGGGTGCGGCCGCCCCTGCCCTGGTCCTGACTCGTCGCCACTTCGCTTGCCAGCCCCGCGATCTCCCGCCGGAGCCTGCGGGCCTCTCTACGTAATCTCCAAATCCGGTGCATCCGCCCACCGCCCTTCACGCTCTCCAGCACGCACCACAGTGCTGCGACTGAGAGCAGAAGCGCATAAGGCGTCAGGTCCTGGACAACTGGCCGTGGCGGCGGCGCTACAGGGGGCGCAGCTGGCGCCAAGCTGGCCACGCCGCGGCTACTCCTGCTCAGATGCGCGCCGGCGGGCCCCGGGGGCGAGGGGAAGAGCGGGTACTTGGAGACGCATGTGTACTGCTGCGCTTTCGGGTCAGAGTCGCCCACGAGCTGTCCCGAATGGGTGATGTACCGGACGCATCGCGGCAAGCCCTTCTTGCGACACCCGTTGTAGATGTTGAGCGGCGACGCGGCCCAGGCGATAGCGATGCAACGCGGGTCCGTGTGGCAAAGCGCGGTGCACGCGTAGAGGGACTGACAGCCTTGTAGAGATTGCAAGGTGTTTGTGGCCGTCCGACCAGCTTCGCGGCAGTAGCCCTTGCCAACACGCCACGTGGGAGCAGTAGGGGGTAGCGATGGAGGCTCGGGTGGCGGTGCTGGCGGTGCTGGCGGTGCTGGTGGGCGCGACGGCGGCGACGGCGGCGACGGCGGCGACGGCGGCGACGGCGACGGTGGCGGAGGTGCGAGTGGCGGCCGCAACGGTGGGGGAGCGAGCGGCGGCGGTGGACGGGGCGGCGGCGGAGGTGTCTGCGGCGGCTCTGGTGGTGAAGGAGGTGGACTCGCTGGGGGCGGTGGCCGCGGGAAGGGCGGCGGCGGCGGTGGTGGAAGCGGCGAGGGCGGCGGTGGACGCGGATGGGTTGGCCGTGATGTGCTCCTAGGAACCGGGGTGGGCCGGGTGCTGCCCTGATTAGCCTTCGATGGAGGCGTTTCGGTTGGATCTGGTATCATTGAGAGCAGTAAAGCCGCCGCTGGAGCCAGGAAGAGCGCGAGGGCGGCGGTGGTCATGACGCCCTTTTCGCGCAAACGTCGAGGACGTGCGCGCGCCCAACGCCCCGCTCGCAGGGCGTGCATCACACAGGGACTGTGTGATTCCTCGGGGTTTCTGGGGACTTGAGGTGTTCTAGTTGCTATTATCCGACGGTTCCGATATGTCCGACGGGCAGTTCGGGCTCGAGTGAGGGCCGCAGTCGCGGTCGCGGCCAGCGCGCGGGGGCTGGCTAGGGCTGCCGGGAGTGATCTCGACCCACGCGCCGGAGCGTGTAGTGCTTGAGCAGCCGGGCGTTAGCCGCAGCCACCTCGGACGGCAGCTCGACGAGCCACTCGCCAAAGGTGCCCTCGTCTTGCGCCGTAGCCCCGGTGCCGGCGCATCGCATCTCGGCCGCGCGAGGGGCCAGTTCCGCCGCCCAGACGAGCAGCAGGTTCTCGGGCACACAACTTTGATCTTTGTCGACTAACAGGTTGAGCAAAATGTCGGCGAAGAAGCGGCACCGGGACGGACCCGGACCGCTCCTATTGTTCAGAACCACGCACGGCGGCGAGCCGCCACGGACGGGCCCACACACAGGAGAGCTGGGAGAGAGAGGGAGTACGCCGCCAGTGAGGCGAGAGTGGCAGCCACGACCAGCCGACATGGCAGTTGCTAACCGCGCGAATGAGTTGCGCCTATCTCATCATCATCTCCCCGAACACCGAAGCAAAGAATTTACAAGGAAAAAAGAATTTTCACGACCACAGTGGCCACCATGGTGCTGCGGGAGACGGTCTCGGTCGGCGAGAGCATCGCCATCGCAGTGGCAGCACTCGGCTCGGGCGTCGCCGTGGGCATGAGTGTCTCGGATGAGCCGACGCCGCACCTGATCACTCCTCTTGAAGCAACGATGCCCACCCCGTCCCGCCTCTACTTGAACGGATCTGACACACGTGATTGCCCATAGCTGCCGCTGCTTGTTGTCGCCGCCGCGACCGTCTTCCTCCTCGTCCGCAGCGCGCCGGCCGGTCGCGCTCACGGCTTGCCGCGCTGGAAGGGTTCTGGCAATGCGCGCGATGATTTTCTGGCAGTGTGCAGGGAGCTGACCGCGGAGCTTGTCGCCGAGGTGGAGACGTGCCAGCCGCCGCTCCCGAGTAGCGTGGCGTCGCACATTGCGCGGCTCGTCGAGTACAACGTACCCAAGGGGAAGCTCAACCGCGGCCTGACTGTCGTCGAGGCGATGGAGGTGCGTTGCCGCACCGCCACCTGCGCCGCCGCCGCCTGCGCCGCTTTTGCCACCGCTGCGCCGCCGCCTCCACACCGCCGCCACCGGCTCTGCGCCTGCCCGCCGTGCCGTAGGCCATCAAAGGTCACGCGGCGCCAGAGCAGCAGTGGCGTGCCGCCGCCCTCGGCTGGTGCATCGAGTGGTTGCAGGCCTACTTTTTGGTCGCGGACGACATTATGGACGCGTCCGAGACGCGGCGCGGCCAGGTCTGCTGGTACAAGGTGGAGGACATTGGCATGAACGCGATCAACGACGGCACCGACCCAGAGAAAATTCGGCCCTTTCCCCCCGGACGCACCGCAGGCGCCCGTAAAGTGCGCCGTAGGCATCCTGCTCGAGATGCACATCTACTCGATCCTGCGGCGCCACTTCCGCGAGGACCCGCTGTACGTGCCTCTGATGGAGCTCTTCCACGAGGTGACGCTGCAGACTGCGGTCGGTCAGCTCCTCGACCTCACCACCGCAGACCCGGACAAGGCGCGAGATCGGATGCGGCCAGAGCCGGGTCGTCCGAGATTCCCTGCGAGCTCAAAGCACCCTCCGCGCAGGTCGACTTTTCGCGCTTCTGCATGGCAACCTACACCAACATCGTCGTCTACAAGACTGCATTCTACACCTTCTACCTGCCGATCGCTTGCGCCATGCTCCTCTCGGGCTACCGTGACCCCGCCCTATTCGCAAAGGTGCGAGGGCCAGCCGAGAGCACGCCGCGATCGAGTCGATCGGCGACGACCCATGACGCTCGCCGCATGCATCTCTCTGCCTCCGCCCCCCTCCACAGGCGCGCGAGATTTGCGTGCTCATGGGCGAGTACTTCCAGGCAACTCGCCTGTGTAGTCTTTGAGGCTCTCGCCACTCCCTGTACACCATCAGCGAAATATGCACACACACCGCAGGACTGCACCGCCCCCCCCTCGGAACACCAATCTAAAGGAACCCAAAGCTGGAACCCTAAACGATTGGCTGTAGGTGCAAGATGACTACCTCGATTGCTACGGCGACCCGGCAAAGATTGGCAAGGAGCGCCCCCAACACGCCATGGCCGCCTCTCTCGCGCCTCGGCATTGCCCACCGCCTTTCCTGCGCCACTTGGGGCTTCTCGCTAGCGTCCGTGGCGTCTCGCTGGAGCCCGCGCGCGCTGTGGTGTGGAGCGCTCGCTCGCCCCCCCCCCCCCCCCCCCAAAGGTGGGCACCGACATCCGCGACAACAAGTGCTCATGGCTGATCAACACGTGCCTTGCGGTGGCGACGCCGGCGCAGAAGAAGGACCTCGAGGCCAACTATGCGCGCAACGACGCTCGTTGCGAGGCCAAGGTGCGCCAGATCTTTAGCGAGTGCGGCGTGAAGGAGGCCTTCCATGAGTACGAGGAGGCAACAGCGGCGCAGCTGCGTGCCCTCATCGCCGAGGTGCAGGGCATGCCCCCAACTATCTTCTCGACCCTCCTCTCACGCATCTACAAGCGACAGAAGTAAGAGGGAACGGGCGTTCTGTTGGGCGTCTGGACGCCCCCCCCCCCGCACCAACCCGGCGCTACTGACGCGTCCCCGGTGTTCTCTGTCTCTCGGCACGGGCCACGCCCACGGCCACAGCCCGCGGGTCCGTTTTTGGCCGGGAGCGGTATGGGGCGCGCGCGCGGCCCTGCCCCGGGCGGGAGATTCGGCGAGGCCGGGGCGGGGGACTTTAGACCTGTCCAGTCCAAATATAAATATCCGCGCCGGCGCAAAACGCTCCACCGGGGCACACCGAGAGCCCATAGCGCACATTGCGTCATTGGGCGTCGCGACCCGGGCGCAAACGTGTCACGAGTCAGCACAGATGCTGCGGCAGCTCAAACTCGCGGCCCGCGACCCGCTCTTCCAGACCCTCGCCCGCATAGGACACGAGGGGCGAGATTTCCAGCAGCGGGCGAGGGCGAGACCCATTGCCGCTATTGGCGGCGACGCATGGTCGCGGCGCCTTGACCGTCCCACCGGCTGCGACTAAGCGGTCAACGCACAGGCGAGAGAAAGCGGCGCACGCCGTGTCGGGGCTATCGCTCGCAGCGCCCGGCGCGTTCTTCACTGGCGCAAACTCGTGCTCGCGTGGCACCTGCGGCGAGAGCGAAGCGAGGGGTGGGCTGGACACGAGGGCAAATTGCTTCGTCGGAGCCCCTCTTGGTGGTGAGGGTAGAAGTGGGAAGAGATACCTGCAGCGCCACTAGCTTGGCGGCGTGCGGGAAAGTGTCAAAAATGAAGAGCTCAAGCTTGATGGCGTTTGGTTCCGACGGTTGCAGCGGCACGCTGCCTCCGCCCTTGTCTGGGTCGAGGCAGGGGACCTTCTTACGAGCAACGTGCCTATGGCGACGGTCGCTGCCCCACTCACCGCCGAGGGCACGCATCATATCGGGCGCGCGCGGCAAGAAGCGCACAGCGGCAGCGACGCGCTCCCCTCCTCGCCCAAGGCGCCGGCGGCGAAGGCGCGCAGAAACGGGAGGCTGAACCAGTTGACGCAGATGTGTGCGGCGCCGTAGAGCAGCCGCGTGCCCGAGCCGGACAGCGCCTGGGCGGGAAAACGGGAGGGAGAGGGGGTCGATGTTGTTCCGTCAGCAGAGAGATGTGCCGTCGACAGTGCTGCGTCGGGACGCCTCGCGAGTGGCCTCCGCCATCTCGGTGGAGATTTCGGAATACTCCACGACGTGGGGCTTGCCGCCCACCGAGGCCAGCACGCCAACCTTCTCGTGTGGGTCCGCCTGCATCAAGGGGGGCTGCTCGTTGCGGCTGGCAACTGCGAAAGAAACTACTGTGCGGCAATTCGGCGGTTGCTTCGAGACGGGACAATCGTGGCTCGGGAGGGGCGACAGTCTGAGCACTGAGGGCGCCGCCTTGGCGATGGTCTTGACGCCGCAGTCGGCGCCACGCAGCGAGCAGAAGCCGACAAAGGTCGGGTCAGCAACATGGCAGAGCACGTTGTCGACGCCAAACTGGGGAGGGGGTGCGAGAGAGAGAGAGAGAGAGAGAGAGAGAGAGAGAGAGAGAGAGTCGGAGAGGAAACAAAGGGGGAGAACGCGCACAATACCAGATGGGGCGGGGTATGGATGGGGGGCCTGGAAGACGGACGTGACGCCGCGCCGGCTCATCTCCTCGAGCAGCCCCGCCTCTTGCAGGGAGAGGTAGACGCCGCCGTTGCCGTTTGGCGAGAGGGCGAGCTGCGAGGCGGATGAGCGCAGGATCCGCCCACGCTCGTCGAAGGCGGGCAGCATGCCCTGCGTGAAAAAGTGGAGCTGGTCGGGCGGCAGCCCGAAGCGGTCTCGCTCAGCGAAGAAGGCGCGCGTCTCGCCGTCGTTTGCCTCGCTCGTCATCACCAGCAGCGGGAGGTGCACCTCCTCGAGGCGCCGGCCCGAGTGCTGAGCCTAAGCCGCCCCGCCCCCACCCCCGTGAATGCACGCACAGCAGGCCGCTCACGCACGTGGACGGAGTTGAATGCGCGGCGGCCTCCCTCCTCCCCGCACCGCGCAAGAGGTGGCATCTATCGCTCCGCCGCAAGCCGCCGCGCACCGAGCAGCCGCTCGGCGTGGTACTGGAAGAGGGACTTGTGTGAGGGCATCCCGATATCGTAGCAGCCCTTGGGCGCGGCGGAGCCCAGCCGCGTGCCAGAGCCGCCGGCGAGAAGCAGCGCCGCCACCTTGCCCTCGGCAATCAGCCGAAGACCCTCCGAGCGTGCCTCGGCGCCGCCAGCGGGCAGCTCTTCGACGCAGGTTATGTCCTCGAAAGGCGTGATGTCGCCAGCGGGCGGCTGCGCCGACGTCGACGACTCAAACATTCGGCGGAGCCGCGGCAGATCGAGGCCCCGCAGCTGCCTGAGGTAATCCTCCGCGGCGGCGGCCGGCGGAGGCGGGGAGAGAAGGTGCGCCTGCCCGTGCTCGGCGAGGCGCGCTCGCACCGCTGAAAACGGGTCGGCCGACGCCATCACGGTTCGCCGCAACCGACGCGTGGAGGGGCGGAGGCGACGCGTGGCGCCGACTCGATTTCTGTGTCACTGGTGGCAATTGCCACCAGGTTCGTTGTGAAGAACTGGGGGGCGCGCTTGTCTCATCCCGCCCATAAAAACGGTATGTCGGTGGAGTGCTCTCTAGTGCCACGGCGCCCCTGTCGGTTCGGCGGCGCCCGGCGGCCGCGCGCTTGGTGCCGACGTCGACCGGCTGCTCTCGCGGCGCCGAGACGTGCGGGGTGCGGCTTTGGTCACGTCTCGCGCGCTGCGAGGTGCCTTTTGGCATGTGAGCGCTTGGCAAAGACGCCAGGAAGCTCGCCTTCCCTGCCGGCGGCCGCGGGCGTGTGGGCGGGCCCGCCAGGCTCAGCGAAGCTCGGCGCGGGTCTTCGAGCTCGCCGCCGGAGGCGAGCCAGCATGGCTCGTCGCTCGACGGGAGCCTGTCCGGTATGCTCTGGGCATGCTGTACAGCATCGCCAACTCTCTGGAAGGGTCTAGGGGCTAGGGCGGGCCGTCTCGAGCGCGATGGCGCGCTCAATAGTACCACGACTACCCGCTCTCCGATCGGGCCGCCGGCAGCGGGCTTGCGCAGCGCGCCGCTCGACGGCAGGCTGCTCCCCACTCTTCCAACAGCATCTGCTGTCTCGCTTCTCTAGCTGCGACCGCATCCGGGGGCCTGCGCCGACCTCCTCGCTTCGCCAGCGCTGCCTATGACTGTGGCACGCACGTCGGCTCGCGGCCCGCGTCGCCCGCGGCGGGCCCGCATAGCGCGCCGCTCGTCGGGGGAGTGCCAAGGAGGTTGAGGAGTACAGGCTGCCTCGCTCAGACCGCCGCCGACGCGGCGCGGGGCCGCTGTGGGCGCTGCTGCCGAGCTCCTGCGCTGTGGGCTTCGCCATCGTGTCCTGAGTACGTCGCCGACGCCACCTGCCGCTCGCCGCTGCCTTGGACTTCCCTGCCATCAGGCAAACACACACACACACACACACACAAACACACACACGTTATTAATCGGGTAATAATTATTAAATATTAATCCTCGGGCGGCGGAGCGGCGCGGCGGCGGGCGGCGCGAGGTGGCGGCGCGGCGAGGCAGCGGGCGGCGCAGGGCGGGGCGGCGCGGGGGCGGGTAGTATAATTACTTATTAATTAATTAATAATGAATTAATAATCATCGGGCGGCGGCGCGGCGCGGCGGCGGGCGGCGCGGAGCGGGGCGGCGCGACCATCTGCACCGCCCTCGGCCTCTGGTCTTTGGAGCAGAGCAATGGTCGCGCCGCCCTCGACTCACGGGGCTGCCTTCCATCCGCCGCTGCTCAGGCCGGGGGAGGGGGGGAGACCTCCTGTTCCTCGCGGAACGGGAGCAGGCCCCTCCTTGCCCGGTCTGCGATGCAGGGCGGTGGTAGTGCCAGCTTCGCTTTGTACTCGAAACCACGCCGCCGCAACTGTCGCCGGCGCGCGACACGATCTCGTCGGCCGGACTGTCCTCGTCGAGTGTGTGCCGCCAAGGCGGGACGCACTCAGGGACAGTGGCGACGAGACGCGGCTCGAGGGGCGGCTCCCACGAAGGCACGGCTGGCAACCGTGGCGCGGGGCTCTTCCTCTAAAAGTCGGGTATGGCTCCGCCCGCAACTCTCTCGCTGACACGCGCGCCCGCCGACCTTACGACGGGTGCGCTGCGGTCGCACGCCTCCTAAGTCATATGCCACGGCGTGCGATCTAGAATCAGCACACGCGCCTCTGCTTGCATACACTCATACATTGGATTGTCATTGCCTGTGAGTGCGAGATAGGGCTAGCCGCAGGCAGCTAGCCCGTGAGGAGGGCGTCCGTAGACATCTCACTAGACCCCACATACGGTCTCGTCCGTGCCTTGCCGGCCGGTGAGATTGCTAGAGGTGGAGCAAGCCCGCTCTAGCCTCGCATATCACTTCCTGTCGTCTGTTGTTTGTTGTGCCCTTGTTTGTACTCTTGGCACCGTGGAGTGCTGGGGGGGGCGACAGGGAGGATGTGGCCTTGAGTTATGTGTACGCCAACTCAGGGTGTGTGGCAGCCAGCTGGCTGTGTGTCTTGTGAGCCTGTTTGTGTCTGTGTGTCGCTCGTGCGTGTCGTCATCATCTGTCTAGCGTCCACCCATACCGCGTTGGTGTCCAGTCCGAGCCTGGCTGTTCTTCACCTTACTACCTACCTACCTACCCAAGAGCCTAGGTAGGTGCGGATCGGCAAGAGCGCAATCGATCTTTTTGCCCTCTATCACCTTGGGTTGCAAGAACTTGAAACACACCACGCAGGGGCACAGAAAGCACGGATAGCCGTTGAGGAGAAAGGGCGTAAGGTGTATGCGCGCCACCTCCCGCGAGCGCGGCGGGATCGGAATTGCGGCCGGAGGGATGGGCGAGCCGCCGCCGCCGCCGCCATATTCCATCAGCGACGACGACCGCGGCTCGCCCCAAACGCCAGGCGCTGGATCGGCAGTAGGGCTTGGGCGGCGCAGCGACCAGCGTAGGCCTCGAGCCACACGAGTCGCCGACAACCCCCCCTCATCGACGTGATGGCCGCACTTGCTGCCGGCCGATGCAAGCTGCCGCCTCCACCGCACCAGCGACACTGGCCGCGGCTCGCCGCCACGCGCCGGCTCGGAAGAGGGGCTATCGGCGGCGCGTCGTCATTCGAGCAGCACCAGGTCCCCTCTTCGACGTGACGGCCGCTCCCGGAGCCGGCCGGTGCGCGCCCGACCCACGCCCCCTCTCGCACCCCCCCGATCCCCCTGCGCGGCGCCCCCTCCACTGCGCGCCGGCTCGAGCGCCTATTGCCAAATCGCGACTTTCGAGCGCAGTGCATGCGCCCCACACGTCACGCGAGCGCAGGAGAGTTTGCGGCAGAGCAGTACCGTGTACTAGCCGGAGGCATCGCGCCGAAAACCCCGCGCATTCCGCTCCAACAGAGGCTGCAGGAGGCAGATGGCCAATAGCGGCGATCGTTACGAAATGTAGCCTTACCTTACGGGGAGCTCTCCAAGCTGTCTTGGGTCTTAGGTATATTGTTGGCAAATCAAGACACAGAGCTCAACAGAATCACAGCGGGAGGAAAGCGGCGAGTCGCAATTCCTGGGGTCCTTGTCTTGGGTGGTGAGAGAATGAAGAAGGTCTTGGCCTGCATATACTTTTCCGGCAAACAAAAAGGAAAACAGAGGGTCCCCAGCACTTTGCGTTTCCGGAAATTTCCAGGGAAAACAGAGGGTGTTTGGTGCTCCATTCTGGAAACTCGCGAGTTTCCCTGAGTCTGAGAGCTGGTCTGGGGCAAAATCTGAGGCAAACTCGAGGAAAACCGGCAACATACCCGGGCTTTTTCCAGGTATACCCGGGTTTTTCCAGGTATACCCGCAAAATACCGGGTATTTTGCCGATTTGGCTGATTTTGGGCCCAAAACCAGCCTCAGACTCGGCTCAGAGCCCGGAAATGTTGATGGTTTCCCCGGGAAAATAGAGAGGAAAAGAGAGGGTGCTGTAGAGAAAAAGGGAAAGGAAAAGAGACGGGGTGCGAGAGGAAAAGTATATTCAGCCTAAGGAAGGTCACTTCCTTGAGAGAGCTCTCTCTCTCACTTCCTTTCGTTGCGTTTCTTTCTTTTTACTAAGCCATCCCACGATAGCGATTGTGCGGCCCATGATCCGTACGTGAAGGGTGGAGGGGCCCGTCCGCAGAGCTAGGCGGCGCATGCACCCCTCACTGGGGTTGAGGGTAAAAGGACGTCTGCCGGGGGTGGTCCTCTGCCGCTTGCTTGTCCAACAAGAATTCGCACCGTCGCAACAAAAATTCTGCTCGTGCAGGTGGGGACCCTGTCCTCGTCCACTAAAGGGATGTTTTCTTTCTTGGTGCTAGTTCGTGCCAGTCTGCTGTGAGAGGGGCTTGATTTCGTAGAATTCTTTCTTGTTGACCACCCCAAGCCTGTCCCGCCATAACAAACATATATGTGCACGGCTCGCTTCGCGTTCGCACTCCAGGTGCTCTCCGCGTGCTGTGCGCACAGCGCCGCACTGCTGCTGCGTTCTCGTCCTGTCGCGGCGGCCTCGTCCGTGCGCCGGCTGGTGGCGGCCCCGCAGCTCACCGCTGGCGACGGGGACGAGGAGCTCGATGCGGCGGACACCGTGTCTAGCTGGGACGAGGAGCTCGCCATGATGAAGGCGTGGGAGGCGGCGCGAAAGGTCGAGGCGGGAGGGCGGCCGGCGGCGGAGAGCGGCAGTGGCGTCGACGAGGACGCACACCTCGGCCTTGGCGAGGATTTTGACTCGGAGGACCCAGCGGCGGCTGCGCTGCGGCAGGCGGCGGAGAAGCAGGCGGCAGTGCTGCTCGCCGGCATCGAGGCGCAGTCGGCGGCACCGCCCACCGACAAGGCCGTGATGACCTCGCTCGAGGCCGTCATCAACGCCATCTCGCGGCTGAGCGACAAGGTTGACGCGCTCACGGCCAAGGTCGATCAGCTGCAGCAGGCGAGGCCTACCGGCGCCGACGCGTCGTCGGCCACCGAAGCGCCGCCGCCGGCGGCGCCGCCACCGCCGACCGCGGGTGCGGCAGACGACGCGCCAACTGTTGCGGCGAGCGCCGCCGGCGGTGCCGCGGCGGCAGACACGTCGGCGCAGTGGGATGGGGAGGTGGACGAGACGGCGTGGTTTGATCAGGACGACGACGATGACGACATGCCGGACTGGCGCGACGTGAGGAGGCTCAACAAATTGTTGTAGCGATCTCCAAGGTCCAAGAGCGCGCAAGTACTCTGACACGCTAATCAAGATTAGCGTGTCAAACGGAGCTCCGTGACCGTGTGGCTCCCAGGAACCCAGCGCCCTCCCCCGCGCTCCCTGCGGCCATGGCCGATGATCCTAGTATGGGAGGTCATCTGGCTACCGCGACGGAGCGACCCACACGACTCGTGGGACGTACGGGGGAAGGACCCTGCGAGTTGCACAGGGGTTGTGCGCCAGGCCCTCCTGTGCTCGGCTCCAGCGAGTAGACAAGTCTTGTCATCAACAGAGTAGAAGGACCTGAGTGGTTTAAACCTCACACCCATGGTCTCACAGTGTGCCGGCAGTCGCCGAGCAGTGTCGCTCACACAAGCCGCAATGCAAACCACAACGCAAAAGGCCCGCGCGTGCAGGCGTGCTGCGCGGGCCCGGCGAGCGACTAGCGAGCCACACAGCCAGCCTGCCTGCTAGTGGCTAAAAAAGTTGACAAAGGCGTGTGATCCCGATCGCGCCCAAACACACCGACCGACATAGTCATATGACCATCACAATCTCACCAACTACAGTAACTCACATCACACACAGCGGCGGCACGGAACCGGAAGCCGTTGGAAGAGAGCCGCCGGCGCGGGAGCACAGTCGAGACGCAGCACAGTCAGTCTTGCATACAGTCACGGTCCGCCGACACAATCGTTTATCTCACGAGTTAGTTCCCCCCCTCCCCCCCTTCGCCTGAAGCATCCAGAGGACGCGGCGTGCCGCTTTCTGCATACGGTACGCCGCCCCAGCCGCGCCCCCCCGCCTGGCTCATGCACACACACCTCTTGAAGAGCTTCTTGTCTTTGCTCTCGCTCAAAACGCGTTTCGGTTGGCCCAAGCCACTGCGATGTCTTTCTTGTTGCCGTACTCGTCGCCGACCTCGTCATCGCACTCGACAGTAGACGCGAGAGAACGGATGCTATCGGATGGGCTGAGAGGGTCGGCCGTGGGCTCTTCTGCCCCAAGGGCAGTCAACACGGACGATGTGAGTGGCGTCTCTGGAATCTCGGGGATCCCATCTTGCATGATGATCCGGCCAGTACGGAGATAGAGGAGCGGACCATACTGGGTTTCGTCGTGCCAGAAGCCCATCATGTGAACTGTAGCGTCGCACGCTCCTGCAGGCGGCTGCTCGCAGAGTCCGACGGCTTTGCTGCCAGGCCGAAAGAGGGCCTCGCCGTGCTCCGAGGTGATGCTCGCCGCCGTCATTCGGCCTGCAAAGACGCTGATCTTGCAGTTGAGACGTGCGGCGATGCCCATGGCAAGGTCCTCACCCGTTGCGCTATCCAGCGGCGAGACGAGCTCCCGGTCACTGCCCTCTACAACCTGGCCAACGTGGTGCTTTGCAGCCGAGACGAGGGCATTGACCATCTCCTTCTGATCGTCCGAGATGCCCATGACCGCGTAGTAACCGTCCGACTGAGAACGGATCCCAATAAGCCGCGCGGCTTGAATCTCAACCAGCACATCTGAAGCCTCTGAATATGAAGTCTTTTGCTTTGACTGCGCGTCCGCGTTGGCCTCGCCCAGCGGCTTGGCGTCTGGTTTGGTGCGGAGCTGAAACCAGGCACGGGGCGAGGAGTCCAGCGATCCAAGCGCGTGCGCTTCGAGGCTCAAGGCAAAGGCAGGCTTTGCCAAGATGCGCTCGTGGAGGAGTGGCTGCATCTAGCCACCAGCAAGCACAATCAGCAGACACCCCCGAGCGACGCCCAAAACAATCCACCAGCGACCTCCGCCTTCCGCCTGTCAGAACAACGAATTTTCCGGGATCTGTACCTTTGATCTATCGAGGGCAAAAAGTTAAAAAGAGAAACCATACATGCATTCTTCTTTCGTTGACGCGTCCCTTGATTTTCTTTCTTTGTATGTAGATGTTTGTTGTGGTTGGTCAGATGGTCACAATCGGATCATGGTGGGCGGGCAGCACGCGTCCGTCGAGGCGCCCATACTGCATAGAGCCGCGCGATGGCAGGCTGGCTGGCGGTCGGGCGGGCGGGGGGAGGGGGGGGGGGGGTGGGGGGGAGCTTACTGTCTGTGGTCTCGCTACACTGAGATACACCGCGAAGTAGTGCCGCTTGACCCTATATCAATTGATCTGCATGTGAGATGCTGCCTCCGCTCCATCCCCACCCTCGATCAATAAGTCTTTCAATGCGAAAGTCACGTCACCGGCTACACCCACAGCTCCATCCTCGTCACCTCGCTCGCGACGCTCCCTCTCCACCAACGGCCTCAATGTGGTGCTCAGATTCGAATGCAACTGGTCACGCTCGACCGGCTCGCTGATCACCGTCAGGGCGGCGACCGAGTGCGGCGCCTCGCCGGCCGCGTCGCTCCCGCCGGCGCCGTCCGTGTCTCCCAACGGAGGCATCGCGTTTCGAACCACAACGGACTGCGCGCTCCGCATTTCGAACCACCAAAACTCGCGGCACCCAGGTGCCGGTGCCAGTGCAGGTGCCACAAGTTTGCGCCCGGCCCTCTAGCGCCGCGCGCTGGCCCCGGCTGCGTCCCCGCGCGGCCTGCCCGACGGCGTGGCGCCCGCCCTCCACCCACCTCCCCGCGCGGGGCCGCTCCGGGGCGACCCGGGCGCCCTCCGACCAAACTGCTCTATTACTATCATATAACAGTAATCCAACACCCTCATAATTCACGCCAAACTAACACCCTTTTGTTAGTGTTAAACTTCGGTTTTGTGGTTCACCTATCAGTGGATCCAAATTCGAGCCACGTGCTGTTGATTGCTTGCGCTTTTCGGTCCTCAAGATGTCTGCCTCGCCGCCCGCCCTCGAGCCGCGCCAACAGGCTGCAGAGCCGGCGATCAACCCGCGCCGGCGCGCCCGGATCATTAAACGGCGGCTGTACAAGGCTGCCGTCGCTCAACGAGCGGCGATGGCGGCGGCCCAAAGCGGCCTCGCAACTCACCGAGTGACGCAACTCCCAATGAAGCTGCAGCCTGCTGGGTGTCACCTGCACGACTAGGAGTGGTGGTGGGATGGTCTCTCAGCAATACGAAATTGGCACACGTGGCGCGCGAGTGAGAGCCGGATCACTGCCCGTTTTTGTTTAGCGTTTCGGTCGACGGATCGCCGCTCTCACACATGGCGCAGACCGGGCCGCACCGTCCACCGTACTTACATAATGACGGACCCAGATGGAAAGACGAGATGAAAAAGGAGGGTGGGGGGAGGGACATCAATGGCTAATGGGGGCGTGAACAGGCGCGTGGCTGAGCCTCGAGCGCTTGTGGCTGAAAGACGCAGCCACTGAAATGGACGGCATCGGCAACCAACCGAGACACGTTCGAGAGCTGCGGCCCCGCACACGAGGGTATTCCGTGGTCGCGGCTGCTACATCAACGGGGCGCTGGTGCGAGCGCGGTGCGCGCGGCTTGTCGCTCGCGGAGACGCCCAGATGGGTGAGTAACCTGGAAGCAAGTGTACGGGGACGACCCTACTTCGTGTATCGTGCCTAGTCCTGCCTACTCTCTGCGACGCCACCATTGTTTTTTGAATATAGAATATTGTATACAATTATAGCATATTGAAAAAAAACCGCGGTACGGCAACGGGGACAGAAATACTTGTGCAAATGGGAGGGAGATTGGGAGGACTCGTGGGTGCGGCACGACGAGATGGGCGCCACGGAGGCGATGAGGACGGACATGGAAAGGGCCAGGAGGCTGCGACGCGTCTCGGCCACCTTTAGGGAGTGGCTGGAGGCAGAGGCGCGACGCGGGGAGAGAAACGCAGGCCTCGGAACAAAGAAAGCCGAGGACGCCCTGCCACGTGTGACGGAGCCAGGAAAGACAAATGGGAGGTAACGCAGGGACAGGCCAGCAGCCAGTGGGACGAACGAGGGCCGCGACGGCGGCTCAAGCGGGAGGGAGCGGAGACGGTGGGCAGCGAGCGAAGTGGGTGAGACTGATGATCTCCTTCGCCTTAGGGAGCGGTTCAGCTGCTGGGCGGGCTTCTGGGTGGTGCTCACGCGAAAAGGAATCGACGCGATGTACAAAGCATACAAGAAGAGGAGAAAAAAGAGGAGAGACGCCGGTGGTGACGAAGCAGAAACTAGCGCAGACGAGAGCAGGGCAGACCCGGGGACTGGGGAGCCGGAGCAGACGGCATCGGCCGCCGAGGGAACGTTGGGAAGAGGCACGAGGAGGGCGGCGACCTCGACCGACTATGGAGGACCCGTCGCCAGACGACGCAGGGCAGAAGACGGTGACTCGGTGAGGCGGAGCAAACGCGCAGGGCGAGACGAGGGAGGGAGCAGGACTTTGCGGAGATCAGCAGGATGATGTACGACGAGATTAGGAGCAGCAGGGACCCGAGGGACCATGTGGAAGACGGCTAGTGCTAGTTAGTCCCCCAGCGCGGGAGGACGACCCCGGCTAGTCGCCGACCACACCCACAAAGAACGACCCTGCACAAAGATCGCAAGGGCGGGGACCTGTTCCTTTTTACCCATCTCACAGTAGAGAGGTGTCCGTTTTATTCATTTATTTAGGGGACAGAAACAGCGCTCTCCCTGGACGGGACACACCCTGCCTCGTGCCTGGTCGTGGGATCGTGCGGGTCGCCTGGTGTGTGGTGAGTCCCTGCGGCCAGCGCGCACAGCGCGTCCCCGATGCAGCATCCTGGCAGGCGTCTTGGACATGGTAGACAGAGCGATACCGCGCGAAAGCCTCGCTCAGCCAGCTTTACCTCTCGCGGAGAGCGAGACCCAGAGAGAAACAGAAGCGCACCATCCAGACCCCCCCCCCCCCCCCGGCAGTCCACACTGAACCGCTTCACCAGGTGCGCACACCCACAACGGTCCGGGCCTAGCGGCGCCGCGCGGTGTCAAACACGCGCGCGTTTCGCCGGCGGCAGCTTCTGCAGCTGCAGGCCGCGCTGCACCGCCGAGATCGTCTTGCCACCCCCCTCGTTCTCCTTGCCGGCGATCGCCTCGTCGACCGATGTGACTGGCAGCGCGAGTGCGGCGGAGAGCTGCTGCTGCAGGCGCACGGCGTCCTCGAGCGCTTTGTCCACCGCGAGCGCCGAGCCGCCCGCGCGATCGCGCGCCGCCTCGCACCGCGAGCGCTCCTCGAGTAGGCTGGGCGCCACGAGCGTCGCATCACCGATGCCTCCGCCGAGCAGCGCCTCGTCCGTTGCGTTGCCCAGCGCAAGCAACTGAGAGAGCTCGCTTGCCTGCCCCTCCTCCAGCCGCTGCACCGCCCACGCCGGCACCGCCCTCCGCTGCTCTCCCACCCGTGCACTTAGCGCCGCCGCCTGCGTGGACGGCCGGCAAGTAGTGAGGGCGAAATGGGGGTAGCTGCCGCTTCGCGGCCGCTCGCGTGCCTGCTCCTCGAGCTCCACCACACGCGCCTTGAGTGCCGCTTCCACGTCGCGCGAAGCCTCTACAGGACCAACGGGGCGGGGCGGGGCCGCTGGTCGCGCGTGACTCGCAGGCAGTGGGCGGGGCGGCGATGAGGCCTGGCGGCGCGCCTTGCTCGCGCTCGACCATGCGCTGCGCCACGCGGGCACAGAGCTCGTCCGCCGCCGACGCGGACGCGCCCGAGACGCTGGAGAGGAACGGGCGCAGCAGCAGTAGGCCGCTCATTCGACTTGAACCGGGCGTGAAAAAAATGTCACTCGACGCATTTCTGTTCTCGAGGTTCTCGAGGTGGATATCCTTTGGCCGCGTTGGGTAGCGAGGATTGGTGTAACCCGAGCCACGGAGGCGTGTTTTCTGACGGCCGACCGTCAGTGCACGGAGTTGCCCCTTCTCCGACTGCCCCGGCTAGTTCCCGAGGTCGTCGGGTGTGACCCCTTCGCCGCCCGAGACCTAGCGCGGGTGGGTTGGAGGGGGCTCGCCCCGCTCCTCCCCATCGGGCCGCATGAGCGGCCACGCCTCGCAGATTCGTTTCTCGCGCCTGGGTCAGGCGCGCGGGGCATCCCCCGGGTCGCTCGACCAGCGATCCGAAGAGTGGCCGCTATGCGAGGGAAAGAGCGGGGCCCTCGACGCCTCAGTCCGGCCCTCCGAGGGGGGAAGGGAATGGCGGGGTCCCCTCGGGCGCCTCAGTTCGGCCCTCCCGAGGGGGGGAGGGGAGCAAGGGGGTGGGGGGATCGGGGCGGTGGGGAGGGGTCTCGATTTCGTGTGGCTAAAACTTGCCTTTCGGGGAGGGGCCTCCGTTCAAGCGCTCATCACAGGAGTGAGAGCTGCCTGACGTCTTCCCCCCCTCCCTCGAGGCAGCGAGTAGGCAGCGAGTGGGGGTGTCGAGCGCCTATATGTAGGTATGTGAGATGGCGATGGGAATGGGTGGTTGGACGGGCGGGCGGGCGGGCGGGCAGGCGGGCGGGCGGGCGGGCAGGCGGGGCGGGGCGGGCGGGCGGGGTGATCGGAGAAATCGTATCCGCAATCAGCAGCAGTGGAGCAGCAACAGCAGCAGCAGGCGCTAACGTAGCAGCAAGTAGCAGCAGCAGCAGCAGCAGCCTCACTCCTGCGGTGTCTAACTCTTTCAGTCTATCTAGGCGGCCGCGAGGTTAATATACCAAATAATGGTGTCAAAACACCGGGGGGTGTTTGGCGCGCAGGCGCCTGAGGGGCTCGTGCCGAGCGCGCAGATGGCTCGACATCAACCCCTCCACAACACGATGCACTGCATTAGACGCCACACCCTCTCTCTAAACTAGACACTCACTCTCACTGCTGGAGCAGACGCTGGGGGGACACCCACGCCCGGAGGCGGTACGCACGACCCGGAGGCGTGGGGATGGGGGGGGGCCGCGCCGCCGCCGCCGTGCCGCCTTCTCCCGCTTTGACCTCCCCCAGCTGCTTCTCCTCAAATCAACCTGTGAGCTTGCGAGGGCGGCGGGGGTGGGAGTGCTCTCGGGCGGCGTGTGCGAGCGCGCGCGGCGCGAGATCTCTTTCGCGAGGGCACGGTGGGTCGGGTGAGTATCTCGCGCGCTCGCACTATTTCACGTTATATCAGGCGCTGCCCCTGACTGCCTTTGCAGAACCGCCAGCGGCGGTGGTCGAACCGGTTCGCGGTTCGAGCTGGGACCTTTTGGCTCCCGGCTCGAAACTCGCTTGGAGGGTTGCTTCGCTCTCGCGGAGCGAGCGCGGGCGCGCGGGCGCGTGTGCGCGTGCGCTGCTGCAAGGCGAGGCGAGGCGCGGCGCGGCGCGGCGAGGCGGCCCGCCCCGGCGGCCGACTCTGGGATTGTAGGTCGAGTCTTGGTGGTACGGAGACGGTCACGAGACGGGACGGACGGGACCTCCGGACTCTAGGACGACGCCACGGGACTCTAGGAGAGAGAGTGTGAAGGGAGTCTGGCGGGGCTTTGGCCCGACGACCCACACCCCACACGGCCTGTTTTGCTTCTGTCGTACCGGTATCAGCCTCTCGGTAGAGCATCCGGGACGACCCCGCCATATCCATACCGCACGTGCCGGCTGCGCTCGGGGCTGCAGCAGCGCCGCTCAGGGCCACGCCGTCGCCAGGAGAGGCGGGCGGCCCGACGGGCAGCGCTTCCGGCATGGTTCTGGCGGAGGTTTCGCCGTCCGGGGACGGCGGGGTGGCCGCGGGGGCTGAGACGGAGGTCGCGCGCATCTTCGAGATCCTCGAGGAAAAGCGGGGCGGGAAGTCCCTTGTCACAGCATTTGGAGACGAACAGCTGGCTGTTGTCGCCGAGGCTATGGTTGGTGACGGGACGAGCGCCGCGGATTTGCGGGAGAACATGCTCGGCGACGCGAGCATGGTCGACGTCTTCTCGCCGGACTTTGCGAGAGCCATAGGCAGGGACACGCTGCCGCCCAGTCGGCAGGCAGTCCTCCGGGCGTGGTGGCTTGGGGCCGCCCAGGCTGGAGGCACCCTGCAGGTGGCCCGATCGGCGAGCGCCCCGGCGGGGCGCGTCGCGTCGGCTCCTGCGGCAGAGGAGGAGTCCGCCCTGACCGAGGCACAGGTCGCCGAGCTGGCCAAGCAGAATCTCACCTCGGCAGGCGCGCTCGCACTTAGCGTCTCCCTCCACACTGGGTACGTAGTCACAGCCAGTGACCTGGCGAGCGGGGGACCGGCCTTCGAGGGCGCAGTCTACTCCCGGAACCCGTCGACAGTCAAGTGCGTGCGGCAGACCAAAGACGACCCGGGCAGCCTCCACCATGCCCTCAAGTCTGGCGAGCGGAGCCAGGTCGTGCAGCATCTCCGCAATCTTGGCAAAGACTACCGAGAGAGGGATATGCTGGCCGAGGCTTCACTCATCCTCGAGTTCTCGTCCGGACTGGGCGACATCACGGATCCATTCCCAAGCAGTTCTTCACCTACATCCAGCGGTTTTTCCGCAAGTACCCGGGGCGCGGCCTGCCGGAGCTGCCGCTCGACCGCATCCTTCGCGACGACGTCTACCGCGAACATGAGAAGGGAGTCGAGTCGTTCAAGAAGGACCTGGCCGAGCTCGCCAAGCGCGTCACCAAGGCGGAGGCGGCTTCGGCGGAGGCCCAGCGGGCGGCCGAGGAGGCGAAGCGGTCGGGCAAGTCCAAGAACAAGACCTGCTTCCACTGCGGCGAGGAGGGGCACCTCAAACCTGATTGCCCCGCCCTTCTCGCTGGGGAGCCGAAGGTCAAGAAGGGCAACTGACGCCCGCGGGGCACAGCCCCGCCGACCTCGTGTGGGTTTGTCTAGCTTCCGCATGAAGTGACGCGCCTCTTCCTTATTATTTTCCAGCGCAGCTGCCGCTCAGTATGTGCGCCAACGACGCCTGTGGTGGCTCACTGTCTTCTTGTGTCCAGTCGTCCCAGTCTCTCCGTTCTCCGAGTCTCCTCCTTGCCTCGCGCGCCTCTTTTGTGGCCTCATCCCTAGCCGCCTTGCACGCTCTGCATCCCCAGAACGCGCTTCTCGTGGCGGGGCCACTCATTCCCCGCTTCTTTTCCCCCTCTAGAATACGCCTGTGTTAGGCTGAACAAGCTTTTCCTCTCGCACCCCGTCTCTTTTCCTTTCCTTTTTTCTCTACAGCACCCTCTCTTTTCCTCTGTATTTTCCCGGGGAAACCATCAAATTTTCCGGGCTCTGAGCCGAGTCTGAGGCTGGTTTGGGCCCAAAATCAGCCAAATCGGCAAAATACCGGGTATTTTGCGGGTACCTGGAAAACCCCGTGCATACCTGGAAAATACCCTGCGACCGCCTGGGTATCGTGCCGATTTCCTCAATTTTGCGTCAGATTTTGCCCCAGACCAGCTCTCAGACTCAGGGAAACTCGCGAGTTTCCAGAATGGAGCACCAAACACCCTCTGTTTTCCCTGGAAATTTCCGGAAACGCATAGTGCTGGGGACACCTCTGTTTTCCTTTTTGTTTGCCGGAAAAGCTTGTGCAGGCCAACGCCTGTGGTGTGCCCCGTGTGGCACCCCGACCTGTTGTCTCACCCTGGCCCTGTCTCACCCTCAGACATCGTGGTAGGTAGGTGGGGTGGTTTGACTTTGCCGCAGAGGCCGTCCCTAGCGGAGTGAGGCGTGAATCCGTTAGGATTCTCGCCCGCTCTGCTGAGGGGAAGGGACGGTCGACTGGGCCGGTCGCTCGACCCGATTCTACTCTACTATCAGTCTTACCATTCATGGACAATAGTGTCTGTGACGGCGGTGACATTCACAGCGAGGTCAGTTCACAGCCGAGCAGCCGATCCTGACACGCTCCACTTTCAGGGCCCCGCCGCGGCTCGAGCAAGGTCTCGATGGCGATCGGCATCTTGCCAGCTGTGGCTCGCCCGTCACCGCTACCGCGCCTACTAGATACAGTCGGGCCCCTGGCAGAGGCGAGTATTCTTTCTTCAGCTGTGAGAGAGGCCTTTACTCGAAGAATTCTTTCTTCAGCACCTCCTTCGGGTGGTTGCGATTGACCTCGCTCGTTCCGCGTATGATGGAGGACGCTCTGAGCGATCTGCTCGCTGGCCTTGGCCTCTCTCGCTACGCGCCCATCTTCGAGGAGGAGGCGATCACCGAGGTGGCGCTGCTCAAAAGCATCGGGAGCACAACTTTTGTGTCGTCAATGGCAGAGCTGAGCATGGACGAGTACGCGGCCGAGGCTCTGCGCGCCGAGCTGTTTGGCGCCGAGGCGCCACGGTCGGCGCCGTCGGTCCGACCCGGTCTCCTCACCGAGGAGTCTGACGACGAGCTCGCCCTCGAGGAGAACGAGGAGGGCGGAGGTGACGACGACCACGACAACCTAGCCCTCGAGGAGAACGAGCCTCCGCCACGACCGCCGGATATGACGACCACCGCTGCGGCCACTGCCGCCGCCGCACCCGCGGCAGCGATCGCCGATCCTCCGCCGACGCGGACTGCGCCTTCCGGCGGTGCGACCGGCGTGGCGGCAGCCGTCGGTGCGGCGGCTCAGGCGCGCCGCCACAAGGAGGAGGGCAACGCGGCGCTGCAGGCGGGCAAGCACGCCGAGGCTGCAAGGCTGTACGGCAAGGCGATCGAGTGCGACCCGACCGACCCGGTCTACCACTCCAACCGCTCCGCCGCCTTTGCAGCGCTACACCGCTTCGCAGCCGCGCTCGCCGACGCCGACGAGGCGGCGCGGCTGCGGCCAGGGTGGGCCAAGGCGCACGTGCGGCGTGGGGCCGCTCTGATGGCGCTGGGTCGGCTGGAGGAGGCGCAGCGGGCGTACGGGCGGGCAGCCGCGCTTGAGCCGGGCAACGCGCAGCTGCGGCAGCTCGCCTCCGAGGCGGAGGAGGCGGCGACGGCGGTGAGGGGCGGCGAGGGCGGCGAGGGCGAGGGCAGCAACTGGGTGTCGGTGCTGAAGGAGGAGGTGCGGTTCCGCACGTACATCGAGCTGGCGGACGACGACGACGAGGCGGAGGCGCTCGCCGCGTATGCGCGCGACCTGAGCTCGGCGCGCACTCCCGCTGTAGGATCCCCCCCCCCCCCCCCCTCGGCACATACACAAACACACTGCCGAGACTTGAAGACACGCGGAGATGCCACGAGGTTCGCTGCCTTGACGTCTCTAGACTTCACGGCCGACCACGTGCGAGACGGCACCAAAGCACGGCCCTGACATTGTCTCGCTCTCGCGCCGGTAGGCGCTTGACGAGTTGCGCGAAGGCGGCGCGCGCCTCGCCCTCCGCACTGGCGCGCGCTCGAAAGAGTAGGGGGGGGGAGGGGAGATGCAGCCAGTCCGATAGCGCGATTGCGCGCGGCGGTGAGCGTGGCCTCACGCTCTTCTTGGCCTTGCACAAGGCGCGCGCGGCGCGGCGGTGGACGTGACGGGCGTCTCGGCTGCGACAGCGGCGGGCCTAACGGTCGACGGCCCGAGATGCGGAACACATGCACGGACCCTGGCCGACACTGATGATGCATGTCTACACCGGGGTTGCGTACGGCACGCTTCACCTCGCCAGCCCCTCTCTCTTCATCACATAGGTCGAGGGCACTCTGCGCAAGAGCGGGAGGCCCGTGTCTGTGCGGCTGAGGCACCGGATCCTAGATGAGCAGCAGAAGCCGAGCAAACGGTGTTGCGCACGCACCTCACCGCGTTGATTCACACATCGCAAGAAGTCACGCGTTATTGCGGGTATGTCAATTCGACCGGCGTGTGTGCTCACCTCGCACGGGGCTATTGATCTATTCACACGTAGGCACCTCACGAGCTACCACGACGCCGAAGAGCACGAGGGCACGGCCGAGCAGGTCACGGCCCGTCGGCGCTCAGCTCGATTGATACTCCGCGACGCGTCCGCGACGCATGGGCTGTAGGACGCGCTCATCTGCTCCGAAATGGCGTCGGCCGCGGCAGAGGAGCGGCTGCGGCTGCAGCGGCTGAGCGGCGCCGCCGGCTGGTGCCAGTTGGTCAAGGAGTTGGGGAGCGAGGTGGAGGCGGCCGTGGGGGTAGGGTGCGAGCTCACGCGATACCCGGCGGTCTACGTCGACAAGATCGAGGTGCACCCTTTCTTTCCCGCTCCTGCCTCCGCTCCCCCCCCCCCCCCCCCCCCCTCTCACCCCCCAACCAGCCGCCCACACCGCACCGCCTCCTTCCCTCTCTGCTCTGGTGCGCTGTCCGCCGCTTTGTTGCCCCCGGGTCTGCCATCCCTCCTCGCCTTTCAGTACCTCTCCCCCCTCCCCGCAGGGCGTCCCCCTCTCTCAGTTGCTTGATGCTGGCTCCGGCTGCGGCGGCGAGGAGGATGAGACGCCGTCTCCAGAGGCGCTCTGCCCCCCCCCCCCCCCTCCGACCTATCCCAACAGCAGCCTCGTCCCAATCTCGCCTGCAGCGGCTAGAGCACGAGATGAGCATGATCAAGGCCGTGGCAACCAGCTGTCTCCTCGCTATGCGCGGCGCTGCGGCGGTCGGCCTCGGGTTCGACGGCACCGCGCCGTTTGCCGAGCATGTCTGGGTGCAAGGCCCGCCGGAGGGGGCGCGTCGCGCCGCCGACTGGTCCGTCGTCGTGGGAGAGGTGACGGAGAGAGCGCGCGAGATTGGGGTGGGGTTGGAACCGGTCGTGGGCGGCGCCCAATGAGGCGAGACGAACCAGGATCGAGCGCTGCACGCCAGTCTCCCAGCTCGCGCCCACTGCCACCTCAGCTTGGCCGGCGCCTCCACGAAGCCCTCACCCTTCCTGCCTGGGATGACGCTTGGTTCAGGAGCCTCCTCACGCGTGGGATGTGAGCAGGTTGAGCCGCTCGAGGAGCGGGACCCGTCGGAGCGCTTCAGCGCGAAAGACCTCGTCCGCTCGGCGTTGGGTGAGATTCGCTGAGATTGGCTCAGATATGGGGGGATAGCCGAGTCCGCTCGCTATTGGGGGGGCGGCGGCGGCGACCAATTTTTGGCGGCACTACCGTAGCGACTTCGGCGGTGCTTTGGCGCGCTGTAGGCGAGTGGTTGCGCGAGTGGTGGCGCTCGACGGCGCCCAAGCTGAGCATCGTCGACGGGCGCACTCCGCATGAGGGTCGCGTTGGCGCCCCGCTGCGTGGGTGCTGCAGAGGAGCTTTGGCCGAACCCTGCTGACGCCGTCCCTGTAGGCTACGCGCGCGTGCTCGGGCGGTATGGCGTGCTCAATTGGCTGCTGTTTGGTTGGGCCTAGATGCTCCAGTCAATCTCCTGTATCGAATTAGCACAAGGACACGGACGCATTCTGCAGCATTCGTTCACGTTGCAGCCGCTATATTTCGTAGCCCTCGTCTTCTCACACGAGGCGGCGAGTGCTACTGAGTTTTCAGGATGCTTTAACGCTCCAGGCTGGGCGGACGAGCAGCTCGACGGCGAGTCTATCCTGCAGCTTGTACAACACGGGCCGGTGCGCAGAGAGCCTTGCCGTCATTTGGAACCACCCCATGAACGAGCTGATCCAGCGCGTTCGTCCCGGAGAGCCCCGCTTCGCCTCTCTAACACCATCTCTGTGAGACAAGGTGAGCGAACGGTCCGCTGAAGAGCGCGAGGCGGCGCAGCGCCGCTGGGCTGCTTTCACACAGGAGGCGTTTGTGCGTCTTGGCCCGCGCCGTTTCGACGAGATGAATGCGCAGATCGGCCAGATGAACGACGGCGAGATCTCGGTCGACGATTTGCTTGCCCGGGCGCGCTATTTCATGTGCCCTGACAATGAGGATTTGCACGCGGCCCTCGGCCAGATGATCCGTGGCTAGAGCAGGTGGAAACAGCGGTTGGGCCGCCATCTTCATCCCCCCCCACACTGGTGTGGGGCCCCAACGCACGGAGGGGGGACGGGACGCGAGCAGGCGCGCGTACTTCCTCGTGTCGGTGTGGCCGTGTGGGAGCGATAGGCTACAAGGGATAGGTTTTGGCCTTCTGCCATATGGTATTGGCCTTCTGCCATATGGTAAGGATTTCGCCGGAGATATGGTTATAGCTTATACCCCCCCATCTTCTGCATTCTCATAGAGGGACCCCGTATCGGCCGTGTGTGCACAGTGCACACAGGCATCGTGGTGGCGTGTGGCGCTCTCCTCTGTGCTCTGTCGACTGTCGTCGGTCTACCAAGCTACCTCTACGCAGCTGTGCCCCTCTCCTAGACTCCTACGGCATGATCACGCCGGCGGATATGGCATATGCGTCCGTGAGGAGGAGGAGGAGGGCGCAGTCGAATGGGAGGAGGAGGGCGTGTCTGATTCATTCAGAAGAGGAGTTGGAGAGCTGAGGGAGGGTGGGATCTGGGATGGGTGTCCAGCTCCAGGCGGTTTCCGTTTTCGCATGGGCTTTCTCTTTGTGATACTCACACCTCGCGCAAGATCTCAAAATGTGTGGCATTGTGGTCGACTTCCGGCTCGCTTCCCCCCGCCCCCCTAAGCAACAACAGGGCACCCGCAAAGGGGCACAGCTGATTAGGCAATAGCCGAGGCGCCTCGATGGAGGAGACGGTGACGGAGGAGACGGCGGAGGAGGCGCCGTCAGGGGTAAGTACAAAGATGCGAGTCCCGCCAGGCTGATGGTCGGTGACATAGAGTCGCCCGTTGATAAAAACGAGTCTGCAAGGGTTTTGCATGCCGTCGACCCGCATCTCGCGCTGGTAAACGCCCGAGAGCGAGAAGACCTGGAAGCGGCCATATCGCTCCTCGTCCTCAGGCTCCGCGTGGTCGCACACATAGACCTCGGTGCCCACCACGCACACGCCCTGGACTTCATCTAAGTTCCCGGTTCCGAACCGGATCCGCTCGGCGAGTGTGAGAGGGTCGAGAATGACCACCATCTCTCCGCCTGCAGCTGCCTTGGCACTGGCAAAGAGCGTGCCATCGGGAGCAGCGGCCAGAGAGACGATCTCCTCATCGAGGTGCATCTCGACACGGATTTGCAGCCTGCTGTCCCCTATCAGCTGGCTCAGCCGAATCGTCGTAGGATAAGGCATGCTTGCCTTAAACTGCCATGAAGAGCACTAAATTTGCGGTAAAAATCTCTTGAAAGCGCCACAAAATGTATTTGAAAAGCGGGCGAATTACATCTGAACGGAGGATGAATGGCGGGAGAATCTCTCGTAAATGAACAGCGAAGGGCGCAGTGAAAAACGATAAAACAAATCTTCGACCCGGGGGATGCCCCGCGCGCCTGACCCACCCAGGCGCGAAAACGAATCTGCGAGGCGTGGCCGCTCATGCGGCCCGATGGGGAGGAACGGGGCGAGCCCCCTCCAACCCACCCGCGCTAGGTCTCGGGCTTGACGCATGGGTGGGGTCACTCCCGCGAAACTCGTGAACTAGCCGGGGCAGTCGGAGAAGGGGCAACTCCGTGCACTGACGGTCGGCCGCCAGAAAACACGCCTGCGTGGATCGCGTCACACCAATCCTCGCTACCCAACGCGGCCAAAGGACTCGAGAACCTCGAGAACCTTCGAACCGCCTTGTATTCATGGTACTGTGTCGAGCCTGTCTGCTGTGAGAGAGAGTTGTTTTGTTTAAATTCATGGTTACTCAGAGTAGGCACCCTCGCTCTGTGCTTGTTCGCCCTCCCCAGAGGTGGTAGGAATTTCCTATTACATGAGCGCGCTCACCGAGGCCGAGGCCGATCGGGCCCTCTTCTATTACAGCTCTTACCTCATGGCTCTCGGGCATCAGGCCGGGCTGCGCCAGCGCGCGTGCCTGACTGCGGCGCTGATCTTTCGCCGCTTCTACAGCTCGCGCAGCTTGGAGGCTCACGACCCTCTCCTGCTGGCGCCGACCGCTCTGCTGGTCGGGTCAAAGGTGGAGGAGTGCCAGGCGGCCGCTTCTGCCCTAGAACGCGCCATGCCGAAGCTGAGGAAAGACCTCGGCGACGAGACCAATCCGTACAGCGCTCAGGACATGGATGCGTGCGAGCAGGTCCTCTTCGAGGCGGTGATGTTTGAACCCGAGGCGCCCGTGTCGTGCGACCCGCACGCTGCGATCGCGCGCCACCTCGCGCTCGCCATGGGCGAGGGCGACGGCGCTGCCGGTGGCAGCTGCGAGGGCAGCGCAAACGTCGAGCTCACCGCGACAGCGTGCTATCTTGCCAACGACATCTGCAAGACGGCATTGCCGCTCAGCGTCGCCGACGACGCCATTGGGCTGGCGTGCGTCGCGCTTGCCTGTCGAATGCTCCGTCGGCCGCTGCCGCCGCCGCTCGAGTGCCCCGGCGCCCTTCTCGAGCAGGTGAACGACATGTTGGCACGCCCCCGCTCACCTTTTCTCTCTGCCTCGAGCTCCATCCCCTGAGCTCTCGTCCTGCTCTCGCCCCCCCTGCCCGCCGGCCAGGTGGCGGGCGCGTTCACGCAGGTGTACCGTGCGGTGGCGGACGAGTCTGGGCTGCAGTTCGGGAAGTCGTGCCTCGGGCTGCACCAGCGAGTCGGCGCCAGCCACCGGGCCGCGCGGACGCGCGCACGCCCTGCTGGCCAGCGCGCGAGGGCGCGATGATGTCAGTTTTGTCGGCTGGCTGGCCATTCCGGGTGGGTGAGTCGTTTGGTCGCGTCCGTGTGGGTGGGCTGGGCGCGGGGGCTGCCGCCACACGCGCACGAACGGTACATGCGCTGGCCGTGGCGCGCTGTCGTCTCAAGTTTCCCGTGCCGGAGTTTCTACACAGAAGTGTACGCACACGGCGCGTGCTACGCTGACACACCAACATGCGCCGAGTGGTACACATGTCATGCACTCTTACACCATTCTATCACACAAATATTTACGCGAGAACCGAGACAGTACATTGATGCACACCGCGACTCGCGCGTGCCTCTCGGCTCTCGGCTTCGGGGTGCCGGGAAGACACACACGACCCGGACCAAGAGCAGCGGAGCGCTTGAGCGCCGAACCGACGTACGAGGTACCTCGCACGCAGTCGTGCGGGGGCGGACGGGGGCGGGGGAACGTGTGCAGGGTTGTGGGGCGGGCGGGCGTCGCTAATCAGAGGGGGTGAGAAGGCGAAACCAAATGACTGGAGCTCGTCGAGCGCACGACGTGCATGCGCATCATTGCTCCTGGTCCGCGCCAGGCCGATCCTTGGGTAGGAACCTGCATGCGCCAGCCGCTGCGGTGAGAATGCCGGCTCCTAGATAGAGGCGTTCGGCAGCGGGGCCACTCACCTCCCCTCCTTGGTGCGCGGCCGCTTAATCGCAGACACCGATCGACTCACTTTTGGGGCGCAAGTCGGGCGCTTGGCCTTGAACAGACGGCGCTGCTCTATGCGAGACCGCCGTCGGGCCTCTATGCGAACCGGCGTCGGAGAGTCCATTTTGGCCGGTTCCCTGGGGGGGGGGAGCGGTTATACAAAGGGAGAACCGGGCGGCGGTTATAAAAGCTAGTTCTCGGAAGTTTCGCGCCTCGTTTGATTAAGTTGATCGCAAGTTAGGTTGATCTCGCTCGGAGGTTTGTCTCGGATCGGAGGTTAATCTCGGGTCTCACTTAATGTGTTGCTTTGTACTTGAAAGCTAGATAAGTCAATTCTTGACTTGCTTGGGGCCCTCGCTCGCCGCTCGGGGAGCCGGGGAAGGGAGGCCTGCGTGCGCGTGCGGGCGGGCGGCAGCCTTTTCTCGAAGTTTCGAGATAGATACACAAAGCGGCCAAGCTTGTTATCTCTTGCACCAGACAGTTCCGTTTCTTTTGCAAGCGCACGCGGCCACACTTCGACGCGTCCAAGTAAACGCGACCGTCCTCCTGGGGGCCTTCCGGAGCGGGCTGCGCCCGCTCCCGGATTCCGGAGCTGCGCTCCGGAATCCGGAAATTTTCCAGGTATACCCGGGGTTTTCCAGGTATACCCGCAAAATACCCGGTATTTTGCCGATTTGGCTGATTTTGGGCCCAAACCAGCCTCAGACTCGGCTCAGAGCCCGGAAAATTTGATGGGTTTCCCGGGAAAATAGAGAGGAAAAGAGAGGGTGCTGCAGAGAAAAAAGGAAAGGAAAAGAGACGGGGTGCGAGAGGAAAACCTTGTTCAGCCTAAGGCTAAGCTCCTCCTGTCGAGGCGCCCCGGCAAGAGTCCGACAACGACAGCTTGCCGGGTCAGGGCTACACGTCCAGCCACGCTCGATAGCCTCCAACAACGCCTCCCCGGCGCAGAGGGCTGAGGGGCCCCCGGAGGGATGCTCAACCGCCCCACGCCACGCCGCTTGCGGCGACCCGAGGCCACTTCTTCTTGTGCGCTCAGCGTCCTTATCGACTGGGCCGGGGAGCTAAGAAGCGCACCCAGCGGGCCGGATGATTGGCATCTCGCGCACCTTTTCTTTTTTTGCGCGCTGAGAGCGTCCTTATCGAGGGCTGGTGCACACACACGGCATGAAGCGGAACTTCGAGGTTCCCAGCCTCCAGCTGCCCGGCCTGAGCGAGCTGCCCTTTCCCGGCCTCTCCGACTTCGCCGCTCAAAGCGCGGCGACCAGCGGTGGCCGCGCTGACGATGCGCCTCCATCACCGCCAGACGACCTGGCCGAGCTGGATGGCTTTGGCACCTGCGACGTGGTGGGTCCGCTCGCCGCCGTCAACCTGGTGGCAGTGGGCCTGCTCATGTGCCTCATGGTGCGGCGGCCAATCGCCCGCACGGCGGAGTTCTCCCTGCTCGTCGGTGCGCAGCTCGTTGGAGCGCTCGTGCAAGCAGACTACCTCTACATCTGGCTGGCGAGCGGCGGCGTGACCGAGGCGTACGCCCGCGCGCACCCGATGGAGGAGTGGTTGCGCCTGTTCTCGGGCCTCGGCGTCACTCTCTATTTCCTGGCCATGTCGATCCAGCTCCTGCGCACCGTGCGATCGCCCTTCCAGGCGCGGCAGCCGCGACGTTGCGCCGCAGTCTCCCGCCCCACACCCCACGTTGCGAGCGCTGCCACCCTCTCGCAGGTCGGCAGTAACGCCGCCTACCACATCTTCGCCTGCAGCGTCGCCGCCGGCTTCGCTGCTCTCGCCGTCCAGTTTGAACTGAGCGATGAGGCGCTGCTCGATGTGCCGCCCGGCGACGCTGCTCGCTGGGCCCTCACGATCGTCCGCTCTGCCTTGTACATTCTCGCGCTCGCCACCCTGCTCTATGCGTGGAGGCTCATCCTCCGCGGCGTGCAGGCTAGAGTCGCCCAGTTGGCCCGAGACATCCCACCCGAGGCAGCTCCGCGGTGCCCGCGGCGGGCGCACCTCCCTCTTCCGCGTGCGAGCGAGAGTGTGGGCCGATGTCCTTCTGTCGCGCAGAGCCCGTGAAGCCGCGAACCCCCCCTCCCCCCCTCCCACACCGCCCCTCCCCACCACCACCACCACACACCAACCCTCTCCGTGGCAGGCTGCTGACGCGGCTTACACTCAGAAGCGACGCATCCTGACCGTTGCGCTCGCCACAATACTCCTCATCGAGGCCGTCTTTGGCATCTTCCCGCCGCTGGTGCCATCGCCGCCGCCGCTGAGTGGAAGGCACGGGGATTGTTCGCGAGGAGCGCCGCACGGATGCTGCTGTAGGTGCCGTTGGTGCTCATCGACGGCTTTCACCTCGACGGCCACTCGGTGGACCCCTCGACACGCCCCAGACGCTCCATCGCCGCTCTCACTGCCGTTTCCTCCTCAACACCACACTCCTCCTTACCACGCCGTCTCGCCCCTGCGCCACAGGCCGCGTGCACCGCCACGATCCTCCTTGGGCTGCAAGACGCCGTGCTCGCCGCCTCGTGGCTGCTGGTGCCTCCCTTGCTCCCTCGCTCCCCCCTCGCCCCCCCTCCCGTCTTACTCGCCGTCTCCCCCTCCCAGCTCCCTTCTCACCGTCCACCTGCATCTGCTCCCCTCCCAGGTGCTGCAGTACTCTGCGCACAAGCTGCGCGAGGCGGCGCAGGGCGATCGGCGGAGCATCTCCCTCGAGACCAAGGGCAGCTTCGAGCCTGAGGGCGCGGGGGACCTCTCCGCCGCGCTGCGGAAGCAGCTGGTCTCGCTTATCACGGAGGGCGCATGCCGCTCAGCATGGGAGGCGGGGCGCGAGAAATGGGTTTCGGCTGGTGGCCGCTCCGCGCCGCATGACGCCCGGACGGTTCTTTCCTAGGTGGAGCGCGAGTCGGAGGAGGGGCTCGTGTCGAGTCTCACGCCGCCAGAGTGCACGACAGAGCAGGCACGCGTCTAGCGAGCGTCCAGCGAGCGTCCAGCGTCCAGCGAGACGACACGCACACACGCACACACACACACGCACACACACACACGCGCGCGCGCGGCGCGCGCGCGCACAGAGAGGCGGAAGGGGGGGGGGGGGCGTCATGCCCACCACACGACAGCCACACCGACCACAAGCGCACGGCGCCCACCATCCTTCACGCTACTATACCTCGGGGAAGCTCGACGCCGGCCAGCGAGTTACGCTCCTGGGGGGGGGGGGGGGGGGCTTGGGTTCCTCAGGCCATGCCATTGGTCACCTTGGGGCCGACATCCGTGACCCGGCCGCAGGACAAGGTCGAGCTGGCCGAGGAGTACCGCAGCGTGTCGACCCTCTCGCGTTTTGGCACCTCCCAGGACGTGCGCGGCAGCCGGCAGACGCCGGTGCACGTCTCCACGTTCGCTCCGCGGATCTTTCATGAGTTGCGGCGATTCGGCGGCGTCAGGCGCCTCTTCCGGGCCTTTCCACCGCCCGCCCCCCGCCAGCCGTCTCGCTGCCTCGCTACCTTCGCAGCTGTGGCTCTCGCATCGCTGTCAACCGCCCCGCTCGCTGTCTCACCGCTTCCCATCCCCACGGTGTCAGCACGCGCGAGTACACGCATTCGCTCGGCGGTGAGGCGACGGAGCGCTTCACCGAAGGCAAGTCGGGCGCGTTGCTCTTCCTGCTGGAGCGTGCGCTGTGAACGGCGTCTTCACACTTGCTGGAGCGAAACAGGCGCCTTCTTTTACTTTACGCACGACCGCCGGTACATCATCAAGACGGCGAGTAAGGTGTGGGAGACGGATCCTCGTTTCGCCACATGGGGCGGCGCCGTCACCGCCGTGCCGCTCTCCTCCCCGCAGGAGGAGTTTGCCACGCTGATGCGCATCCTGCCGGTGACATGAGAGACGCTCGAGACGGCCGCTAGAGAAGAGTCATGGGCACCTTCCAGACGCTCTCTAGCTGTCGCCCTCGGCGCCCTGACCCCCCCCTCCCCTCCTCAGCGCTACCACACGCACGCCAAGCGGCATCCACACTCGCTCATCAACCGCATCGTCGGCGCACACGAGCTCTCGCTGTACGGGCAGCGGGTGCGCGTGATGGTGGTCGAGAGCTGCTTCCAGGCCTCGCGCGAGGTGCACGAGCGGTACGATCTTAAGGGCTCGTGGGTCGGGCGCGGTGGCAAGATGCTGAAGAGCCGCGGCGACGTGCTCAAGGACTAGGATCCTAGATGCGGAATGATCCTCGTATTCACTTGCAGCCCACCACGTTCTTGAGCACGCGGCTCGAATGCGTCGCCCCGATTGGGGGCTACAGGCGCGGTACCATCCGTGTCTTCACTGCACAGGATTTGGACGTGCGCAGCCGCTTCCTGCTCGCCGAGGAGGACGCGCGCCGCATCTCGCGCCACTTGCGGGAGGACGCCGCCTTTCTGAAGGCCAACAATCTGATCGACTATTCGTTGCTCGTCGGTGTCACGAAGACGCGCTACGAGATCGAGGGCGCGGCGCAGAGAAGGGACACGGCGGTGGTGGGCAGCGGCCCCGGCGACGGCGCGGCCAGCGCACCCTTCCACCGGCTGGACTCTGGCGGCCTCGCCGCCGCCTACGTCGAGGGCGCGGAGCTCTACTCGATGGGCATCATCGACATCCTGCAGGACTTCAACTTGCGCAAGCGCGCAGAGTATCTGATCAAACGCTTCGTCTGCTGCCAGGGCAAGGGCGTGTCGGTGCACCCCGCTGGCGAGTACGGCGATCGCTTCGTCCGCAATGTCGTGGAGGCGCTCATCGAGCCGGTGCGGCTAGGCGCGGAGCCGCGCGTCATCCGAGGCTACACTCCCGCCGGCTCGCCCCTCGGGATGTTTGACCTCAAGCAATCGGAGCGCCGCGTTGCGCTGGGGCGCAACCGGACGCGCGCGGCGCCGGTGGTGCCGCACCCGCAGCAGCCCCAGCCGTTCGGCGCGGAGCGGTCGGGCGTCTGGGCGCCGCCGCGGACGTCGCCGAGGCTCGTGGCGGCCGAGCTGGGCCGCCATACCGATGGCAGCAGCGGTGGGCTTCCCACGACAGAGCCACCGCGGGCGTTCACGTTCCCGCGCGACGGAGTGCAGGAGAGAGAACACGCGAAACCAGCATCGGGCCAGCAGCACCAGGAGAGGGGTGCAGATTGCTCTCCATCAGACGAGAGGCGTTGCGAGCTGATGTGAGCCGCGTGTCGGACGCGTAACAGAGGCCTCGTCTCCAGAGGGGTCGTCACTGTCGGCTTTTATGTATGTAAAAGAGGGAAGCAGTCGAGAGGACAGGGGAGGGACGCGGTCAGAAAGGAGTTTGTGCCTCTGGGGGGAGGCGGGGGCCCTAGGGGGTACCCGTGCGGGGGGGAGATATGGGTCCCCCAGCCGCCGCCGCAGGCGCCGTTTTTTTTTTGCGCACTTGGAGCACTTGGAGTGCAGTCATTAGCCTCACATCCAGGGCCGGGGAACTAAGAAGCGCACCCAGCGGGCCGGATGATTGGCATCGGGTTACGGGCAAGAGAGCCCTAGCCCCGGGGGTGCGCGTTCGCAGGGCAAGGGCCGTAAAGTAAACACGGGTCTCCAAGGGTTAGCCCCGCGTACCGGGTTTCCCCTTAACTGCAGAACGCCCCCTCTACTCGGAGCTAATGAACACCACACTGTACGCCCCACACCACCAGAGTCTGCACTCACACGCACAGGCATTTGAGTAGACCCCCCGCCTGAGGGCTCACCCCCGGTCTTCCCAGGGTTCCGACCCTCCTTGATTCGCTCTCTTGCTCATCTCCCGAGCGTTATGCGACGACCGGTGTGGTCATTTCCCTCGCTGTTGGTGTCGCTTTCTCTGCTGCCGCCCTCCGTCTCCGCCAGTTCCTCCCGGCTCCACCGAATCCGAGGGCGTCGACGGCCCGGCCAAGGCCCCCCCGGGCGAGTGCGGCGGCTCTCTATCCTCTCGCCACGACTCCTCGGGAGGTCGAGCCACCTCTCACTGGTCGGCAAATCGCGCCCGCACCCGCGGCCTCTCTATCGTCTTCGGCTCGCCCCCCCCCTCCGCCGGCTCCTCTTCAGGCTCGGGGAGGCGTGGCCCTCCCTGCCGAAGATCACGGTGGTCCGGCTGCCACCGCGACGGGTCTTCCCCCGGTGAGCTCGTACGTCCCGACTCCACTCGCAGAGGCCGCGTCAGCTCATCTCTCGCCCTCTCCGACAACTGACCCCAAGCCCCCCCTCGCCCGATGGCGATACCCGATGCGAAAGTACCAATGGGCAAGCCGTTGGTTCTGATCAGTGCGAAGCGGCCGTCTCTGCACTCGCGATGTCAACAGGTACAGAACCAAACAGCGGTATCAAAAAGTGCATTGTTCCGGGGGACAAGTGCAACAGTGGCTGGAATCACGCCCCAGACGGATGCAGCGCGCAGCGCGACACCTGGACTCCGCACTAATATGAGTCTGACGGCAGATATCATGCTTCTGGCGACGGATACAGCCTGGTGTGCATTGACACGACGGCATCAGCTGATGTTAAGCGATGGAAGCAGCAGGTGATCTCGGCTCACCAAGAGCTTCACTCTGAAACAGGGTGCGATGTGCATGGTAACTGTTGGTACCTCAATCCAGCTGGCGATCGTTCTTGTACGAGGGGGCAGCTGGTTGGTCAGGATCAGTGCGAAGAGGCTGTCTCCGCAATCGCAAAGACATCGGGTGAAATACCAAGCGGCGGCATTAAACAGTGCATTGTTCCCGCCAACAGCTGCAACAGTGGCTGGAATCACGTCCCGCAAGGCTGCAGTGCGCAGCGTGGCAGTTGGATTCCGCACTTCAGGTCCGGAGGCCCCAATCCCAAGCCTCGCGATAGCCAAGAGTACAGGCTGGTATGCACTGACGCGACGGCAAACTATGTTCCCATCGAGACGTGCCGGTTCGCCGTGGCCCACCAGGGCCAGCCCCAGCTCCAAGATCGAGATGTGCCATGCCACCAGCGAGGATCGGTGCTCGGTCAAGGACAAGGAGTCCCGTCGGTTGCACGGAATTGCATGCAAATGGACAGCATCCAGAGGATGCGAGATCTCAGCACAGGAGCTTCCCTGCAAGGCAAACACCGTCGAGGATTGCAAGGCAAATCGGCTGTAGAGTGAAAACGAGAAATGCGTTTCGGGTGGATCAATGTGCTATTAGTTCAAGGGAGTTGAAGGATTTCAAATTCTCGTTCCCACTGAGGAGAGCGGGAGCTATAAGATCACGCCCACCACCTGCTGTACAAGGACCACCCCAGTAATACCGTTCGAGACGAAGACGAGAATCCCGGAGTTGCATTGGCCCTCCCTCGGCGAGTCTCGACCTACGCAGGATTCGACTCCAACGCCCGGGTCCTTCGACGCGGGCAAGTTTGCAGCCGACCTTGCGGTCTCTGCGGAGGAGACGGAGCGCCTGATGTTGACAAATGCCTCTTTGGATACATTGAGAGTCACCTCGAAGCTTTCGTGGACAAAGAGAAGGCGATTGAGATGATGGGCGTATGAACCACAATTTAGATATCTTGGACAGAGAGCTCCTTCGGCTATTCGACATGCTTGTTTACCACAGAGGGAAGACGCGCGCGGAGCTATTCGATTAGAGAGTGCGTTATGGCAACTCACCTATAAATTTCATTCAATCAGCTTGATGCAATTGACAGTTGGTTCGACAATCACATTACGAACTTTTACCTCACCTTGCAGCGTGTCTTTCTAGTCACCGATGTGGGAGGTAGAGGCAAGTTTCCTGAACAGGCAACTTACGCTGCGCAGTTCGCAACGCCGCTTTTCCATGCCTGGGTCGTGAGTCTCACTTGGCAAAGAAAAACCTACAGCAACCGCCGAATTGTTGAGTCTGTGTTGAATCGCCGAATTGTGCGAAATTTGCTTTTGCCTGTTCCCGTGGATAGTGGATAGTGTCGTGAGAGAGAGTTGGGTGTAATAATTCATCTTTTGTGGAGTGATTTCTGCGCACCAGGGTCGTTTCTGAAAATCACCCACACGGGGATGGCCCACGGTCCAGAAGACAGAACATGGACAAACATGTCTCATGTGAAGGTGTGTGAAGCTGAAGGTAAGGCACACACAAGCAATCGGGGTGGTGGCAGGTGGGGTGATGTGGCGCGCAAGACTTACTTCTTACGTCAGAGCCATGTGCTGCAAGAGATCTCTCTCTCTCTCTCTCTCTCTGTGCTGCTACGGTCTATGCCTATGGGCTATGGGCGGCGACACAGTTTCTACGAATTGGATTTTGCGACCATGATCGCAGGGCTCCGCGAGGAAATACCCCCCCCCCCCCCACCCACCCACCCACCCGCTATAGGCGTCATTTGTCTTCAAATCTTCGAGTTGTTTGTCAGTGTGCGCGCGAGCGAGCGGGGATACACTTTGGAATGCGATCCGAACGAAAATCTCACTCACCTCTGCACCGTCTGAGGCTGGCCAGCCTGAGGCGCGTCAGCGTGCCGCTGCTGCCGCACGGGCTCTTGCTGGTCTGTGGCCTGCTTGCGGCCGGCGCAGCGCTTGGCTCGCTGCTGTGGCAGCCTGCGCCGGTGCCCACGCGCTCAACAGACTTCGCGCACTTGTCCGCACCTCGGCAATCCGGCCCTCCATCTTGGGACCAGCTGGAAGGGGATGCGAGCGGCCCTGCCGACGCGGAGCGGGATCCTCTCGCAGACGCGAGTGATGACGGCGGCGACAGCGACGGAGGCTGGCTTGAGGCGGTTGGCCCGCATCCCGTCAACATGAGCAACGTCGTGGTCGGGCTGATGACATGCGACCGCTTCCTGCCGACGCGCGGCGCCGCCCTCCGCGACACGTGGCTCTCCCGCGCCCGTCGCGTCCTCTACTTCTCCGACGACGCCTTTGCTTCCGACGGCGGCCGTGGCCACTTCCTACAGGGCTCGCTCCTCCCATTCTCGGACACTCGCGAGACGTCTGCTAGGCGGACCTCGGCGCGAGCCTCCTGCCTTCGGAGCGCCGCTGGTGAGGCACGCCTTCGCGCCGACGCGGCCGGGCGAAACTGTGCCCGAACGCATCTATTCCGGAGGCAACTGGCGCGCTGTCCCCATCCTACGCTCTGTGGCGGAGGCATTCTTCACGGCCGACGCGGCGGCGCGGCTAGCCGCACAAGGCGAGCCGGCGGCGGAGTGGGCGTTCCTCGCGGACGACGACTCGTTCGTGATCACGTCGCAGTTGACGGCAACGCCTTCTCGGTACCTCGCGTGGAGGGTGCGCTGTCTGGCACCCGCGCGAGGCTCTGTGAATAGGCCACGCTTTCCCGGTACGACCCCTCCAAGCCGCACTACCTCGGCTACGCCTTCCTCGCGGCGCCTCACCTCGAGGGCGTTATCAAGGGGAAGCGGCAGCCAAAGTTCGCCAACGGCGGCGCGGGGCTCGCGCTGTCTCGCGCAGGCATGGCGCAGGTGCTGCCGCATTTGGCCGCATGCGAGCACGCCTACAAGTGGAACTGGCCAGGCGACGTGCGCACCGCGCAGTGCTTGCTCGATGCAGGCGTCCAGCTCACGTGGGTTCGGTCCTTTCACTCGGAGAGCCCGCCGACCATCCTGGAAAAGGCCAAGCCGCCCCCCGGGTCGGTCGCGGTTGGGCTTACTTTGCCACCCGTCTCCTTTCACCACGTGGACCCGGGCGAGACAGAGCCGAGAATGTGCCGAGAGGTGGCGATCCTTTCACCCAGATTCGACCCGCTCGTCCTTCCCCAAAGCACCGCTTTCCCGGTTTGCCCAGGCCCTTGCCCCACACTCCAGCGTTGTGGAGCCCGTTTTACCCACTTCGCCGCCGGCTGCAGAGTGGCTGTCGCGCCTCGAGGCGATGAGCGTCGTGCGGCACGGTGGCATGTACTACGATTTCGGTACCACCTAGGACAGCCGTGCGCCGCACCTCGGCCCGATATCTTTGCGCTACCCCTCGGCCGTATCTGTCGATAGGCCATCTCGTCCTCCAGCCGTGTGCAGGGCGCGTAGAGAACAACCGCGGCGCCGCCCCCCCTCGTCTCGTCGGCATTTCGGCTTCATCTCGGTTTCATCTCGGCTACACTTCAGATACAGGCACAGCTTCTCTCGTCCTCGGCTATTCCGTTTCCCTCTCCTCCTCCTCGCCCTCGGGCAACGACCGATTCTGAGAGAGGCCGGGCGTGAACGGCATCGTCACACGTTTCGGCTGTGACTAGGCGACGACCGGTTCGGAGAGCGGCTGGAGACCGTGTCCGTGGAGGGCGACGCGGCGAGCGGCATCGCTTTTGTGCAGCGCTATGCGGGGGGCGATTGTCGCGAGGTGTCGTTTGCCGCGTCGCTGCTGCGTCGCGCTGTTTCTCGGTGCCATCTCGGCGGCATCTCGGATGTAGGTGGTTGGCCGCATCGTTGCCGCATCGCGTTGGCACTAGGCGTCATCTCAGCTGTATCTCGGTGATAGGTCGCCGGCCGCGTCGACGCTGGGTCGCGCGATCCTGCGCGGTTTGGCGAGCTATACGGCGGGCGCACGGCGACGGTGCGGTTGCGGTGCGGCAGTTGTGGCGGTGGCGGCGGCGGTGGCGGCGGTGTTGCTTCTTCCCCATCGCCTCTCACTCTCTGCTCTTCTGCGCTGGAGCGCGGCGGTTGCTCGTTGGCCCTCGAGGTCAGCTTTGCGAGATGCAAGAGAGATGTGATGTGCCGAGATGTCGAGATGTTCGATCCAAGCGTTCGTCCCCGAGGAACACAAGTCTGGCTCGAGACGTTCACGCATCACTGTGCGCCCGCCGCACTCGCCCGTCAGGTTGCCATCGCACCCGCGTTGTGCCCTCGCCGCCAGCGGCTCCGCCGCATCGGCCTCAAGCAGGCGTCCGGAGCGGTTGTTCGCGGCATTAAGTTGTGAAGGCCGGAGCTGTGCTGTGAATAGGCCTCGACGTCGGCACTGGGGCGGGGAAGGCGGACGTCGTCGTGGACGGCGTCGCGACGTTCGCGTGGTCGCCACGCTGTACGGACGCCGCCACCGGCACGTCTCTCACATGTGCGGGGGTCATTCTGGCCGGAGGACAGACGGTTCGCAATTTGACCCTGTTCGTGCGCGTCTTGGCGGGCACGGCGGCGGTGGCGCTGACCGACGTTGCGCCTCCGCTTGGCGTGAGGTTGCGAGTGTTGCGGCGGCGCGATTCACCAGTACTTCTCACCGGCGACGCTGCGCCGCGCGGGCCCGGCGCGCTTTCGCTCCTCTGGCGCCGAGCCGTGAAGGGTTTCTGTTCTGAGCACGGCCTGTGAAACAGGCGCGCTCTCGCTCCCCGCCATCGAGCCCCGGCCGCTAGCCATCGTGTTGGAGCACGATTGCGGCGGCGGCGGCGGCAAGAGTTCACCCCAGGCGAAGGAGCGCTCGGGCGCGGCGTTGGCGACGTTGCGCGCGCATGGACACCCGCCGATCCGGCTGAAGTGGCAGGTAGAGTGTTGAAGACGAGTAGTCAGTATATCTAGACTCTAGCCGTACGCGCCGGGAGAGTCTACATAAGTTTTGACAAAAATGGAGTGGCCGGGTAGAGGCGGTGGAGGTCGGGCCCGCGCCGGCGCGGCGATCGCGATCGACTCTATTGCACTCTTGTAAACTGTAGGTGTATGGACTAAGCACATCGCCATCGGGCGAGACTACGTAGTGACTACGGCTCTACTCCGCCAGGAGGAGACCAATCTCTCGCGCTTTTGTGCCATAGCGTCCTATCCCTCCCAGCCACTGGCGGCGCAGCCAAGCCCCCGCAGTACCCAGTACCGCCCACTGCCTCGCCGTCCGACTCTCAGGTCCGACTCCACCCACCAGACCTCAAATCGGGATGGCCAACTTTGGCTTCTTCGGCGGCGGCGCCTTGGCCCTGCCTCGGCTCGTCGTCCACCGCCGCCGTGCTGCCGCCGCCGAGAGTCGTCTGTTTCATTGCCTTGCCGCCAGCCTTGGCCCTGCCGGCGGACGCCGACTTGGCGCCGGCCGACGTGGAGCCAGCAGCAGCCTTTTTGCCAGACCACTCTGCGACATACTGCTTAACGTCGAACTTGCGCTTGCAGCCGTTGTAGTTCATGTATCGGATCTTACCGAAGACGGCGCGCTCCGCCCATCCCATGTCGTGCACGCCCATGACGGACCAGCCGACGCCGACGTAGCCGTTCGGATCGCGCCCGTCGATCGAGTACTTGTCGTTGAGGTAGAGGCCAATGCGCAGCGCCTTGCATGACAGCCCCTCCTCCGTCTCGGCCGGGACCCGCCGTGCGGGGGCCTTCGAATACACATAATGATGCAACGAAATGCAATCATTCGCAAATGCAACGAATGCAAATATTGTGCAATCACGAAATGCAACGAATGCAAATATTGCATAATGCAACGAAATGCAGTCACGCGCAAAATGCAGATAATGCAACGAAATGCAAATGCAGGTGATGCATGCGAATGCAAAAAAATGAAAAAAATGCAATGCATGGGCAAAAACCACACGCATTTTGGGCAAGAACCACACTTATGCCTACGCGCCCAACCCCCACAAACACCCATGCAAGATGCACCATGGATGGCTACAATGCGCGCCAGTGCACACCTTCGTATAGTCGAGTATAGTAGCGGCATCGCCGAAAAAGATACGCGGATGTGCATGGTCTTACGCCTTCTCCTTAAAATCCCTGTTGGTGGGCCGAAAAAAGATTGAGGGACGGCACTAAGCGAAAAAGAAACCCGAGCTTTCGATGCTGTTGACGTCATTGCTTCACTCGTCCACAGCCTTCACCTTGGCGCGGGCGCCGGTGCTCGACGGTCACCCGCTGGCGCCCGCCACACGCGCGCGCCATCACGCCGTGGTCGCTCGCGAAATCGCGTTCGTCGCGCAGTCAGAGGCACGGTGCGAGCCCTTTGCGGCGACACGCGCTCGGCCGCTTGGCGACTGGTTTGCTCAGGAGGACGCGCTGCGAATCCTCATGTCCCAGGCCGAGTCCTGCCGTCGGCTGGACGAGGACGCGCCGCCGGGCAGCGAGACGCAGCGGTGGGAGGTGGTCACGCCGATCGAATTCCCAGGCATGGTTGCTCGCAGCGTCACCCCGATGGACATCCGCGTCGACGCTGCGGCGGACCGCCCAACGCTGAGCATCTCGTCCGGCGCGTCCGAGACTCAATGCTCCGGCGGGCCGGGATGGGCGCAAGCGCTCCTCTCACGCATCGGCGAGATCGCGACCACAGTTTCGAGCAACACCGTCGACGTGCAGGAGGACGAGGGCGGCGGGCTGACGGTGGTGTCCCGCGTCAAGCTGACCGTCAAGCTGTCCATCCCGACACTGCTGCTGCCGCCGTTTGTGCCTGCCGGCCCCTTTGAGCGGTCGGGCAGCGAGTCGCTGCAAAAGCTGCTCGACCGAGACATGGGGACCGTGCTCGGGCGCTTCCGCGAGGGGTACCTGACTTGGGCGACCGGCGACTGACCAGAAGGCCGCCCTGTAGAGGCCTTGCGGGGGTAAGAGAGAGGTGCACACGCTGATGTAGTCGGGCCCTTCTCGGACGTGACGGACTCCGCGAGCCCCGACACCGGGTGGCGGGACCAGCGCCGCCCGTGTCGCACACACACACACACACACACAAAAAGTAATATATCTTTACTTCCAAAACCCGGACGTGCCTCCACCGGCACGCCGCTTCCGACAGGGTGATGGAAGGTTCGACGCACCCCCGGACTGGGAAGAGAGGTCCCAGGAGCACGCTCCTGGGCACTCCGCCCCGCCCCCACTTGCCCTGACTGCACAGGATAGCGTGCCCCGACAAACGGCGACACATAGCGGGGGACACTGCGCCGGGGGGTATGCCTAACTTTGGTGCTTTGTGTGGGTCGCGTTCCCTTGGTAGCTGTGTGGTTGAAGCCCTCGTGCCGCTGGCTTGCCCCTTCCAGCGGCTGGCCCCTCGAGACTGTCGGTGCTTGTCCCCCTCCTCCCGCCAAGTGTCGCACACACACAAAAAAGCGACGCTTGAGACAGTGTTTACGTTAATAGCCAGACGATCCATCATCGCTGAGCGACTGCGGATTCTCCACCGACAGTCGAACAAGAACCCGTGTGATATGATCCAGCAGACACTGCGGGGAGCCGGTCTAGCCGTGAGAGTGTGGCGCCTGGCGCGCGGGTGGCGCGGGTCGCAGCTCCACCTCAAGCTGTCGCAACCACGCAAGTCGCAAGGTCTATCTACAACGCCGGTCGTTCAGGGGCCGATCACCAGCAGCACTGGCACCGGCAGTGACTCGCCGTCGTGCGTGTCGGTGATTCGCCTCATCCGCTGCTTCTTGTCCTTTGAGCCCTTTGGTCTGCCGCCCCCAGGCTTCCGCTTGACCTTGTCCTTGGATCCCTTTGGCCGGCCGCCATTTTTGCGAACGCTCGGCGACCCATTCTCCACCCCGCTCGCCGCCGCGGCTGTGCTCGCACTGGAGCTGGTAGCACTGGTGCAGTCCGCCTGCGGTGCGCCCGACGAGCATGCTGGTGTCGGCTTCGCCGCTGGCGCCGCAAGCGAAGCCAGCTCGACTTTCGCGGTCGAAGGGTGGGCCTCGCACTCGTCCGAGCGCGTCTTGAGGTTCATAGTGACCGTTCGTATGTACCCGTGCCCTCTGGGACCTGCACCTGGACCTGTGTCGACAACGCCGAGTCCGATGTCGTCGGCGGCCGATCGGTGATAGTATTCCGTCGAAACGCGAAGGAAAATTGCACGGTACTACGTTTTGAGCTTTTCTCTTGCAGATTACTACACACCACACAATCCAGAGAGAGATTTTCTCCCAGTAAGCTAAAAGTACGTACACAATCCACCTTGCAGATTACTACACACACAATCCACCTTGCAGATTACTACACACCACACAATCCACCTTGCAGATCACTACACAGACACAATCCACCTTGCAGATTACTACGTACGCACCACACAATCAATCAATCCACCTTGCAGATTACTACGCACCACACAATCCACCTTGCAGATTACTACACACCACACATCCACCCCGCAGATTCCTCACCTGCAAATCCGAGCTAGCAGTTACTGGTTGAAGCTGAAACTTGATTCGGGCGTCATCCTACTCGCTGGCCAATTCGGATTGTCATTGTCTGCTGTGCTCTTCTGTCTGGCCGGATTGCCTGCACGCGATGGCTGACGATCGCGCGGTGGCCTTCTGCGAGGGGGACCTCCTCGTCGTGGACGACGACAATCATCCGACCCACCATCGATCGTTGTGGCCACAGGAGTGGCGCGCGTTTGCCGACGCTCAGGCAAAAGCCAAGGTAAAGATTGCAGCTCCTCCGGACTCGGCGCTGGAGTCGGTTGCGACGGCAAAGGAGTGCAAGCTCGACGCCGGCGCTGCGACTACGACCGCTGTCGTCATCACCATGCCTTCAGTAACAACTGGCTCTGACCGTTCCGACGGGACCACGAGGGCATGGTAGACGAGTCTACCGCAGTCTATCTACAGACGGGCTGACGCATGAGCGACTTGGTGAGGTTAGCAGCTTGGTGCGCGTGGGGAGGTCCCTGAAGGCTCAGGAGTGTGTGGTGTGTAGTAATCTGCAAGGTGGATTGTGTGGTGTGTAGTAATCTGCAAAGAGAATTGTGTGGTGTGTAGTAATCTGCAAGACAATTTGACCCGCGCGTAGTAATCTGCAAGACCAAGAGAAAAGCTCAAAACGTAGTAAACTGCAATTTTTCCAAACGCGAAACCTGCCTGCTGAGCCGCATTCTTCGCGTAGCCTGCGATATCGCTGAAGGACTTCACCCAGTCACTGCTCATCTTTACACGCGCTGACAGCGTGCGGCGCCGCGAAGAGCACACTAGCAAAAGGTGCAGGCCGAAAAAAAATTGCGGCCAGAAATAGGAATAGAAACACTCCGGCAATAACTTGATTCGTATAGATGCGCGTCTCCCCTCCCCCTATGTGCCGCCACCCCCCCTCCAATCCGTAATTCCGTAAGAAAGCGCCGTAATCGAACCCTCCGGTGTGTGTGTGTGTTCCCCTGTGTCCCTGATCGTCCTTTACAAGATCCTGCTCGCGCAGGTGGGGACCCTGTCCTTCTCCCACCCCTCGTTTGGCGTGCCCGTTTTATTTATTTATTTATGTGTGTGTGTGACGGCGCCGTGCGAAGAGCAAAAAACCAGGAAGAAAAAATCGCCTGTCGCGATCGGGCGTGCGGCTACCAACTGCACTCCAAGTGCTCCACGATGCGAACAGGTGGCAGCCGGGCTCGAGCTGCTCCAGCACCAACACCTCCCGTCGGGGACGGCGCCGCTCCCTCAACATCACACGCCTCACAGACGGCCGCCAGGTGCGGGCTGGCTTGCGAGAATTCCGCCCCGCTTGCTCTTCCCGTTGCTCAGGGCGGTGTGGAGTCGGCGCAGGTCCTGCCAGCGCGGGTGCTCGAGATGAACGCCTCATACTACTACCAGCAGACCCACCTCTCGCCGCTCGCGCCAACGGACGGTGCGGGCGTCCCGTCCCTTCCGCCGACCGGGCTGCTCACCTTGCCGGAGGAGCCTGCTCAAGAGCTTATGTGAGGCCAGCTGGCGGCAGACGGCAAGCTTAGTCACTTTCGGTAGACCGACAGTGGACGAACTTAGAGAGCGACAGCGATGACCGCTGTGCTAGGCTGTGAAGAGTTAGACCCACAGAGCTAGACCCACAGTGGACCAACTTAGAGAGCGATAGGGACTTAGGGTGTTAGGGAGGGAGGACAGCTCCCGCCCTATCAAGACAAGCAAGCAAGCAAGTGCTCAAGACAAGCAAGCAAGCAAGAAATGAACCGCTAGAGACATACATACATCCACTACTGATCTCACAGTGAAAGCGCGCTCTACATCGCACAGCTTCTCTGGCAGCCTGACTGACAGCACGCCTCTGACAGCAGAGTCTGACACATGGAAGCAAGATCCGGGGGGGGGAATTCGCCGTCCGATCGATGGCCGACCCGGTCCACCATCCAGGCGTACAGCGCGCGGGAGCTGTCCCGCCCGAGACACAATCGCTATGTCGGGCTTCCTCCAGCAATGTGCAGAGAGCCAAGAACGTTCACCCAGTGACTTTCGCCTTGCGACCCGCTCCGTGGTGGTGCGCCTCAAGGGCGGGCTGGGAAATCAAATCCTTGCGCTTCTCTCCGCGCAGGTGGGCAAGTTCATAGGAGCCTCCGAATGCAATAACGAGAAGCACGCATAACAGAAGCACGCATAGCGAGAAGTACGCATCGCACTAGATCGGTGCGTCGATGTTCTCTCAGGTCCTCGCGTGCCTCACCTCACGAGCGTTCTACATTGAGGAGAAGCCGGAAGGCGACGCCCTACTCACGGCTGCATTTCAGCTGCGATGGGAGGGGCGTCGGGGGTACAAGACGCTGCCCCTCAGAGGCAACGCAAGTGGCACGCTCTCGCGGATCGACTTGCGTGGCATGGGCAATGCGCGAGCGCATTCGCGCCTCGCGTGCGAAGCGGATGTGAGCAGCCAGAACCGATTGCTACTCATATCAGACAACTACTTCCTCAAGGTTTTGCGCCCCAGACATAACCCTTCGACCAGCTGACACCAACTTCATCACCAGGTTGCCCCTGCCCTACCACCGAAGGCTCTCATGGTCAACCAGTGGCATCGGCCCGAGATGGAATCTGCTTGCCCCAATCCAACCCGCTGCTTTGAGGAGCTCTTCTCCTTCTTTATGCGCCCGCAGCCGACGGTGAGCGCTCGCGCCGCCACGAATACCCCCGCACTCATTATCTCATCCTCCCTTCTTCCCGCCTGCTGGAATCTTGGCTCTCTGTGCCGCAGGTCCTGCAAGCGCTGCACAACGCGCTGCCCTCTGGCCACTGTCGCGTAGGGATGCATGTGAGGTCTGCTGCGACGATCGCGACGCGCGGTCCGCTCACCGGCATTAGTCGAATGCTCGAGTGTGCCCAAGAGCTGCTGCGCGGGCCTTCCGAGTTGAAGCTGCTCGAGGAGCGTCCTCCCTCCTTTGTCTGGCTAGCTTCCGGATCAACCGACGTTCACCAGAAAGTCGCCTCTGGTGACAAGGAGAGAGGGGGAGAGAGGGGGGGAGAGAGCGCGAGTCTGCACCGATTTGCCTCGCTTTGTCCTCGTCGCAAGGCTCCGCGCCTCGGGGGCGAAGGTCCACTTTTTGGGTTCCGGCCACAGCCGTGCGAACGAGAGTGACTTGGCCGGCTGGGGGCAGCCCATCTTCGCGTACAGCAGCACCGCGATGCAGACGGCAGCGGTCGATCTCCTGGCGCTGTCGCGGTGCGACCTCATCTTGGGCACGCGACACAGCACCTTTTCCTACGTGGCGCAGGCTATCCTGTCTCGTCGGCAGGCGCGAGGGCGTGCTCGCTTCCCCGACCCCCCCCCCCCCCCTAGCGAGTGCGTTCTCACGCGCTCTGTGGTGCCATCCACCTCCAGGCGCGGATTCGAGATGAGGAGGACCCTGATGGCAATGCGGGGCCAGTCTGCAAGCTCTACTCGTTCACGCAGCCGGTCTTCCACGCCTGGACGCGCTATCGTCGCATACGCGAGCACGCGTCATGTAGAGGTCAGCTCCGCAGCCACAACCGCAGCCTGTACGATGCGATTTTCCAGGCTGAGCACTCGCTGCCGCTCATGTCACAGTAAACGAATCCCCTCTGTCAAATCCTAATGATTGTGCTGCTGTGTGCGTCCGAAAAAGCAGATACGAGTATGTCTCTAGCGCTTGGCTGAGTGTCTTGTCTTGTGGTTCTGTGTGTCGCTCCTGTGTGACCGTCACCGCCCGTCTTGCGTCCACCCACCCATACGCCATACCGCGCTGGTGTCCCAGTCGTGGTCGGTCTCGGACTCAGGTTGGACTGTGTTTGTTTCGCGTTCCTATATCAATCAGACGAGATCAGAGCGGTTTAGAGCTCTTAGCCGTCTGTCTCCCATTTTGCCCTCGGCCCGCCGCCTGCAATTCCCTATTTCTCGGCGACGCGAGTCCGGCACCAACTTGATTCGTAGATGCGCGTCTCACGGCCGGACCGCGGGACGGGGAGGGAGGGGGGTGGATCCGTAAATCCGTACCTTAAGGTAAGTCCGTAAATCGTGTAACAAAAAACCACGAGAGACTCTCCCGCCGCACCCAGCTACAAGGCAGGCAGAGACACAGCACTCGCGACACGCTGAGAAGCCGGAGGCTGGCCTCTCCAATGCTCGCGCAACGCTGTATCTGAGTGTCTGTGCACGCGCAGCAGCTCTCTCCGGGGTCCGCGCGGGCGGCGCACACAGTGGGAGGGCGACGACCGTGCGACTGTAACGCTACGTATATCTCTTAACAATCACTATATTCGCGCTTGCGCTGCGCCTCTGCGAGTGCGACTATCAACCTCTCTCGCGTGCGCATATAATCCCCTCCATCTTGTCGTACAGCCTTGACCTCTCCGCCTCTGCGGCATCAGCGCGCCTCGCCTCTGCCTCCATCGAAATCTTCAGCGCGTCGACGGCTCGCGCAGCTCAGCCTGCATCTTGACCCGCATCTCGCCGATACGCCACTCGAAATCAGCTCGAGCTGCGTGTGTTACCTCGTCGGCCATCCGCTCGGCCGCTTTGATGTCGCGTTTAGCAGCCTGCTGCGCTGTCCTCAGGTTGTCGCGGTCGGAACGCCTAAGATCTTGTGCCGCAGCAAGCTCAGCCCGCGCCGACGCGAGCGCCTTCTTCACAGCGCTCGCAGAGCGCTGCTCAGAAGCGAGCTCCTTGGTCTGTGACCGCAACTTCTCTTCCAACTCCTGCCGGAGCAGCACCTCAGCACTCGCACTCTACTCGCGGCTGCATGGATGTCCGAGCCCTTTAGTGTGGTTTGCGCGTCTGTGCTGACGAGAGTGCGGGAGATGCTGCCGTTGTGCTGACCAGAGATTACGCCAGCGGTAGCAGTGCTGCTTGGGCACACAACAACATTGCTCGTGGCCGAGCTGGCATAAACCGCCGCACCAGCCTCTGCGGCTGCAGCGGTGCTTCGGATCGCGTCGAGCATTGCGCCTGTATCGTGCTTGAGCATGGCCTCGAGCGTACTGAGGTCGGCTATCCCTTCGTTGAGCAGGCGCTCCAGCACAATGCTGCGCCGGTGCCTTGTGTCGACGTGTCCAAGGGAACGGACGTCGCCGAAGGCCTTTATAGTCACGCCGCAAAAGTACGTCTAACGGCTCCTGCTAGCTGGGGCACGCTCCCACGCGGCTGGGGGCCGCTCTCCAGGGCTCGATTACGGCGCTTTTCTTACGGAATTACGGATTGGAGGGGGGGTGGCGGCACATAGGGGGAGGGGAGACGCGCATCTATACGAATCAAGTTATTACCGGAGTAAAGAAAGAAAGAAAACACACAACCCAAGGGAGGGATGGGAGAACGGCACGCCGCCACCACACAGGGATTTTAAGGAGAGGAGTGTGGTGCGCTAGCCGTCGCCCACCCTGGGGAGTCTGCCTCTTCGTATCTCTTTTCGCAGTCTCTCGCCGCTTCTCGCTGCAACCTTCATGCCACCTCGCGGCCGTCCCACTCTCGTCGGTCTCTCCCTTGTCACTTCCTCCTCTGTCGCGTCGTTCTCTTCTGCCTCGTCCTGCGACGCCGCCGCCTGCCGATCCCTTGTTCTCGCGGCTTCTTTCGCCTTGCGCAACTCCGTCCTCCTCGCGGCGTATCCTGGCCCCTCGAGTCTATCAAGCTCCCCTCGCGCAAGGACCACATTTCTGACTCCCACTCCGATCATTTGCCTACACGTCATGTTGTTGCTCAGGTCCACTCTCTCTTCGAACACTTGTGCCTCTACGGATGATGCCGGCGCTGGGGTCCCCTTCGGATGCATCGTGACATCTGACAACTGAATTTCCACTGGTTCGTCCTTGAGTCATCTTCCCCGTCCTCCTCCCGCTCGGCCCTTCGCTCGGGTACGTACGGTGTGTTTCTATTCCCTATTTCTGGCCGCAATTTTTTTTCGGCCTGCACCTTTTGCTAGTGTGCTCTTCGCGGCGCCGCACGCTGTCAGCGCGTGTAAAGATGAGCAGTGACTGGGTGAAGTCCTTCAGCGATATCGCAGGCTACGCGAAGAATGCGGCTCAGCAGGCGTCCACGATGATGGCCGGCTCGGAGCTGGAGCGCAAGCTCGCCGAGGCGACGAGCAACGAGCCGTGGGGAGCGTCGAGTGCGCCTTGAGAGAAGCGGCGCTGCCCTGCACGCGCCGCGCGCGACGCCAGCCGCCACCGTCCTCCCTCCGCCCGGCCGGGCCTCTTCTCCACGGCAGCCCGGCGCGACACCCCTGCCGTGGCTCTCTGAGCGTGTGTGTCTGCGCTCCGGTCTGCGCAGGCACGATGCTGCAGGAGATCTCCCGCGCCACCTTTGCGTACGACGACTTCAAGACAGTGATGCTCTTCGTCTGGAGGAGTGCGCAGAACCAGGGCGCGCTGTGGTGCGCCGCCTTCCCCTGCCATCGGCCCCGACATTGGAGCTGCACCACCGACCGTCAGTGGAGCCCGCTTGCGCCTAGGCGCGTCACCTACAAGACGCTAAACATGCTCGACTACATCCTACGCCACGGCTCGGAGCGCGTGATCGAGGACGCCAAGGATCACCTGCGCGAGATCAAAAAGCTCCAAAAGTTCGAGTACGTTGACCCCGACGGAAAGGACCAGGGTGTCAACGTGCGCGAAAAGGCGAAACGCTGCACCGCTGTTGCCTCTCGCCAACGCCCCTCCTCGCTTTCGCCTCTCTCGTTCTGCGCCTCCCTCGCGGGACTGCTGCGCCGCTGCTGCCCTCGCCGGCGCCTCTCTCCTCACTGCCGCATCTCTTCTCGCCCGCGCCTCATCACTCTTCCACCCACGCGACCGCCGCCCTCGCCGCCGCCGCCCTCATTTGCCTCGCCCGCCGCCCCAAAAGGCGCGCCAGCTCGTCGAGATGCTCACCTCAGAGGAGGCGCTCAACGCGGAGCGCGACAAGGCGCGGGCGACGCGCAACAAGTACGGCGGTGTGTCGGCGGCCGAGATGAGTGGCGGCGGCGGTGGCGGTGGCGGCGGCGGCGGCGGCGGCGGCGGTGGCGGCGGCCGGAACAACGACAAGGGGCGCAAGGGCTTCTCGGACGAGGACTTCAAGTACGCCGCCGACCGCGATCGGCGCTCCTCGGGCTCGGACCCGGTGATGGGTCTCACCAGCTTGGTGGGCGGCTTGGTGTCGTCCGCGACCGAGTACGCGTCTGCGGCCAGCAAGCAGCTGCAGTCGATGCAGACGCTCTTCCCGTCGAACGAGCTAGACCGCAAGCTGACCGACTGCCTCTCCAACGACCAGCAGATGCCGTCCTCGTCGCTGCTCTACGAGCTGGGCCGCGCGACGCACCGCGAGGACGACTACCGCATCATCTTGTCGGCCATCTGGCAGAACGTGCTCCGTTCCAACCAGCGGCCGCGTGTGATGCTCAAGACGCTGCTGCTCCTCGAGTCGACGCTGCTGCACGGGCCCGACCGCGCGCTCGAAGAGACGATCGACATGAAGACCGACATCAAGGCGCCCTCGCCCTCCGAGATACAGCCGGGATGTAGCCGAGGTGTAGCCGAGGTTTTGAAGACAGGCCTCTCCTCTCCTCCTCTCCCTCGCTGCTCCCCTGTGCCGCCCGCACCGCTGCTGCCCGTGCTGCCGCCGCAGGTGCTCCAGTCCTTCTCAAGCACCGACTTCAACGAGGCAGGCAAGGTGCAGGCCAAGGCGAACGACATCATCGAGCTGCTCGACAACAGCTCCAACCTGCAGAAGAAGCGGCGCGAGTCGGCCGACTCGGTCGCGGGCAAGTTTGTCGGCATCTCGTCCTCCGACAAGCCTGCCAAGCGAGACGAGGCTCCCAAGCGGGAGGAGTGGGCGCCGGACGACGGCTTCGGCGCCGCCTTCGACGCGCTCAAGTCGAACGACCCCGCGCCGGCGCCCTCCAACGTCAACCTCTTCGACGTCGACGCGCCCGCGCCCGCGCCCGTGCCCGCGCCAGCGGGCGCGCCGACGGCTGCGAGCGGCCTCTCGGCCAACATTGGCTCGATCAAGGTCAACATCAACCGCGAGGGGCGGGAGCGGCCACGCCACGCCGCCGGCGGCGGCGGCATCAGCCTCGGCAAGCTCCCCACGCCCGCCGCGGCCGCCGCGGCCGCCGCCGCAGGCGGCGGCGCCGGCGGCGGCGACCTATTTGGCCTCATGGACGGGCCGCCGGCGGGTGCCCCGCCCGCCGCTCCGCCGCCCGGCGCGCTGGGCGGAGGCGACCTCTTCGGCCTGGACGGGCCGGCGCCCGCCGGGCTCGCCGCGCCCCCTGCCGCCGGCGGCGACAGCTTTGGGGCGGACTTTGGCGACTTCGACTCTGCGGCGGCGACCCAGCCTGCGGCGCCGCCAAAGTCGGCCGCAGAGGCGATGCTGGAGAATGCGATGCTCGGCCTGGCGACGGGGGAGGCGCCTCCCTCCGCCAACGGCAGCGGCGCGGCCGCGGCCGCGAGCGCGCCGTCGCCGCCCGCCGCGATGGGGAAGGGGAGCGGGCTCGGCCTCGCCTCCATCCCCACCATGGCGCCGGCAGTGCGGCCGCCGATTGGGGGCGGCGTGCCGATGGGCGCGGGGCCGATGCCGCCGATGGGCGGCGGGATGAATGGCGGCATGGGCGGCGGGATGCGCCCGATGGGCGGCATGGGTGCGCCACCCCTCGCCCCTCGCTGCTCTCTCCTCTCGCACTCCTCACCCCGTGCTGGCTCCGATCAGGCGGCATGCAGCCGATGGGAGGGATGGGCGGCGGAGGGATGCAGCCGGGCGCCCCGATGGGCGGCATGGGCGGCATGGGTGGCATGCGCCCGATGGGTGGCATGGCGCCCATGGGAGGGATGGGCGGCGGGATGGGCCAGCCCATGGGAGGAATGGGCAGCGTGCCCATGGGGGGCGGCATGGGCGGTGGCGAGCCGCCCTCCCTGCAGCGGAGCACCGTCTGGAGCCTCCCCTCAACCTCCTTGGAGCCTCTCCCATAGGCATGTCGATGGCGGCGCCGGAGCCGCCGGCTGCCGCGCCGGCGCCCGACCCGTTCGCCAACCTTATGGGCAAGTGAGGAGGAGCGGAGCGTCGTGCCTTTCTAGACGGCTCGCGCGCTCCAGAGCGTCTAACGTAGTCGTGTGCGCTGTGACGGTTGTGTCCTGTGACTCCTCCGCTGTGTGGGCGCAGGTGTGTCCGGGGTCAGCGCGAACGCTGCCCGGCCCCTCGCGCCTGCGCCACTCGCTCTCCGGGGTCTCTCATCTCGCGTCCCGTCCAGTCTCCCCTTTCGGCGCGCGGCGCTGTGTGACACTGTGTGATCGCGGGCTCGCAGAGAGCTTTTTACGTGTATTGGAACACAGAGGTCAGAGCTCAGGAGGCGGAACTCGTTTTCCTCAAAACCGTTTTGTGGATTGTGCCAGGCGGCACACGAAAGCCTCACACGCAGGTTGCAGCAGCATCGTGCAGGCCCGAGAGGTGCAGCTGCAGGTGTGGCGTGGCGCACCCAGACAGACGCAGTTTGTGACTCGAGCGCAGTGATGCACAGTGATCAGTGTGTACACTGAGACTCAGTTGCGCACCGGCTGCGAGCGCGCCGCACACGCCTCTTGGGCTTGGCAGGACAGGGGCGTGCGCGTTTCTTGGCGACCTGACCCAAGGCGCGCGAGCACACTAACGTCGATGGATGGGTCCATGGGATGCGTACATGCATGGTACCAGCAGCGGGCTAGCCGCGCCGTACAACGAGGCCTCTGCACTCCACCACCACCTCCTCCTCGCTCCTCCTCACTCCTCCTCCTCCTCGACGCGCAGCCGCAGCAGCGCGCTCGGAGCCAGCTTGAGCTCCTCCAGCGTCTCGCCACTCTCGTAGAGAGGCCCGTCCACGGCGTGGCCGGCCGGCGCGACCGGCTCCCACGCGCGGAAGGGCGCGAGCTCCTCGAGGGAGCGCAGCCACGCAAAGACCGCCCACATCGGCGAGTCGGCGCGGAAGCGACGCGTCATGCGTGTTCCGTTCGGCAGCACGACACAGATGGTCGCCACGCCCGGCGTGCCCGGCTGCGGCTCCGGCTCCAGCGCCTCGCGCTCCCTCGCGCGCCTCTCCGCCGCCGCCGCTGCAGCCTCCTCGCGTCGCCGCCTCTCCCCCTCCTCGGCGCGCGCAGCCTGGCGCGCTGCCGCCGCCGCCGCCAGTTCCGCCGCCTCGCGCTCCTGGTCCTGCCGCAGGCTCTCCTCGTACTGCGCGTCCATCTCCCGCCGCTCAGCCTCACGCGCCTGCCTCTCGCGATGCGCCGCAACCTCGCCTTTCCGCTCGTGCTGAGCCCTGTGCATCTCCGCGGCGGCAAACGGCACAATGCGGCCGCAGATCTCGCACTGCTCGCCCTCGCTGCTGCCGCCGCCACCGGCACCCTGCGCGCGCCCGAGTGCGATGCCATCTCCGGAACTCGAGGCGCCGCCGCCCCTGCCTCTGCCCCTCCCCCTCCCTCCGCCTCCTCCTCCTCCTCCTCCACCACCTCCGAGAGTAACGCCGGCACCCCCAAAGGGCTGCAACTGCGGCGCCGCAGGCTCATCGGACGGGTGCGAGTACTCTGCGGTGTGCTGGTGCTCGTGCTGAAAAGGGCAGGCGCTCCCCAGCTCGCAGACTTTGCGCTTCCGCCCGCGGCCGCCACCGCCGCCGCCGCTCCCGCGCCCGCGGCCGGCGCCGCCACGGCCGGCGCCGCCGCGGGCGGGGGGCGGATCAGGAACGCCCCCGCCCGGCCCGTCCAGGTCGATGACACCATCGACCGCGTTGAGCGGGTTGGCGCAGCAGCCTGCGTTGGGAGCGCACCACGCGAAGAAGTCGCATCGCTCGTCTCGCTTGCGCGGGCAGGCGAAGAACTGGCGCCCCTTGTTGGGCCCCTCCTTCTTCACCGTCTGCCGCTCCGCCGGCGCGCCGTGCCCCGTGCACATGGGCGCCCGCTCTCCGCTCATGCCGCCGCAGCTGCACTCGGGGCCACACTTTGCATTCTTCTGGCGGCAGGGGCACCGGCCGGTGGCGCAGCAAAGACCGTCGCTATTGGGCTTGCAGCCGCAGCCCTCGCGCGGCGCGCGGACCGTCTGTGTGCGTGCGCCCGAGCCGCCGCCGGCCCGCGTCGCCATCGCCGGGTGGGGTGGTGTAGCGACCACCCTGGTACTCGCGGCGGCAGGTAAAATTCTTTTTTTAGTGCTAGCACGCGCCTGTGTCAGCACCTGTGTCGAGCCTGTCTGCTGTGAGAGAGAGTTGTTTTCATTGTTTTTCTCACGAAGGCTCCAAGTAACATACCATAGCGAATCCCTCGCTCAGACTCGGAGTAATGGAGAAGTCTGTCCGCGCCTAAGGATTCTGCCTTTCCTATTCTGCTCTACTAAACAAGGATTCTTGCTATTGTACCTCTCACCAGATTCCCCTTCCCAGGTTCCTCTTCTGCTCAGATATTCTGATTCTCTTCCCAGACTCTCCCATCTTGGCCCCGCTTTCAGCACTTGGATGGAGCACTTGTTGGAGTGCAGTCAATAACCGCACATCCAGGGCCAGGGAGCTAAGAAGCGCACCCAGCGGGCCGGATGGTTGGCATCAGGTTGCGGGCAAGAGAGCCCTAGCCCCGGGGGTGCGCGTTCGCACGGCGGGCTGCGTCGCTGCGTGAGGCGGAACGTGCCGCAGGGGGCGTTGGTCAAGAGCGCCTTGTGCTCCACTCGTTCGCCGACGCGACGCGTCATCACACTCCGCGGCACGCAACGTACGTGGTTGAGTTGGATGAGTTCACTGCCAGCTCAGCCATTGTATCTTGCAATCTTCGTCGCTCCGATGGGACGTGTGTGGCAGACCCTATTGTCAGGAGCGGATTCACACCGGGATCGTGTCCCTGGGAACCTAGGCAACCATTGGTGGCGACGAGTAGACTGCGCACCTCCTACGACTGCAAAGAGCCCGAAACCAGCCAGGTGCTGAATGTCCCACCACAAAGCGAGGAGCGTTGCTGGCGTGGTGTGATGACTGATGTGTCATCGCACACGACGTGTCAACTTTACGGTAGGATTACCGTTACTATGAACGTACTGACGACGAGAAAAACAGAAAAAGAGCGGCAAGGGCCGACTACAGTCTACACACTCTGTAGGCGCGCACCTCCACACCTGGACCTGCCTGCTGACGAACGGCGTTCTAGCTCTGAGAGGTGTCTGTTGATTTATCGCTTACTCTCAGGGTGAATTCTAAACTATTCTAAATAAAAGCTGGGAGAGTGCTTTCACGATTACGTGTAGAGAGAGACGACACTCCACACACAACAAGCCCTCACCGTAGATACCTCTCCGAGTAGCCCGTGCCGCGTAGACTGGGCGTTATGGACGGCGAACTCGAGCGCAATATTCGCATGAGGCTGGGCACTTTAAATGCATGAACTTTTCATACACGTTGCCGCTGGTGCAGTATCCGGCCGCTGCCCAGCTGACGCACATTGAGTTGTGGTCCACGCACGCGCCGCGGTGTGACTTGGAATGCCGCGCACGCAGCTCTGCTCCCGCTGTCCTGCTCGCCTCTGTGGGGCGAGCGCAGTGCTGCCCGTTCGAATCCGAAACAAAGAGCGGCGCCCGCGATCTCGGAACGCGCTCGACTGCGGCGGTCGAGTTCAAAACAAGCTCCGGCGCATTCCGCGTGAGGCCCCACCGTGCATGGACGGTCATCTGACCCAGCATGTGGTGAAAGCATGGGAGCGGCACGCTGGCCGAGACGCCGCCCAGGGCGCAACGGGAGCACTTCTGGCCGGGCCTGCTCGGGTCCTCGCCTCGAAACTGGTAGAGGACGCCGGGCGCGCCGTGGCGCAGCAAGTTGAAGAAGTTGGAGCGGTGTGAGCAGCCGCAAGCGAGCACCATCAGCGGCACGCCGTGCGCAGGGAGCCACATCGCGTTCATCATCGAGGTCCCTTGCATCCCAACGTAGAGGTCGTGTCGCGATGTGAGTGCAATCTGCTCACGCAGAGGCAATCGCGCAAAGTCTACCACGGTCACCTCCAGCCCTGGCCTCCGGCGCGCCGCCGCAATGAGCGCAGCCAAGTTGACAATCCGTCGCTTCACCCCTGAAGCACCACGCCTCGCGACCATCAACAGCCGTATGTTGCGGTCGGTGGGTACTTGCGGCAGCCCGATCCCCACTCCGAGTCGCGCACGGACCCAGCGCAAGTACTCGCCCAGCAGCCCACGACGTCGCTGCCAGTCCTGCTCGGTACGGCTCGGCAGGTAATAGTCCAGGCTCGGCGAGCCGCCGACGGCGACGGTCTCGTAGCATTGGGGCCGGCGCATAGAATGCTGGTGCAGCCAGGCGGGCGTGCGGAGAGGCTCCCGGGGATTCGACATAGCGGCCCACACAGCAGTCCAAGGGCCGACCGATGCCCGCAGAGGGGAATCGCTGACGCAGCAGGCGCCGCGCTGCTTTGTGTCTTCTCTGAGCGTGTTGAGAAGGACAATCGTTGGCCGCAGGGCCTCATCAGCCGTCGGGTCGAGCAGCCCCTGTTCATGCAACAGCCCCCATGAATACATAAAAGAGTCCGCCATCACGTGCCAATGGTTTCCATACCGCGAGACCGCGGTGAGTAGGAGGCGCTTCTGCCGACCGTGTCGCTGGCACTGTGCCACGAGGCGTCCAAATGCCTCTGGCTGCAATGGGCCTACCTCGACGCTCACCACGCCGTCCGACATGAAGCCAGGAGCCCAGAACGCGGGCCAAAGTACATTGGTGGCCCGGCTTTGGTTGGCGGCTGGTCGAGAAGCGGGGCTGTGGTTGGCCGTGCTGAGCAAATCCGTCGCATTGAGTATGAGCTCCCCGCGGAACACCACCGCCGGAGATGCAACGCAGCTAGATCTCGGCCGAATGCCGAGGGAGCACACCATCCGATGGGCCTTTCAAGATGTTGCCGTCAAACATGGGCACGAGGGGCTGCAAGAGATATAGAAGAGGCAGACGCCCCAAGGGTGGGCGGCATAACCATTACTTTTCTCTTAAAATTGCGCTTCGGCGGTTCGTGCTGTTCTGCACCTTCCTAACTAACTAAGTAACTAACTAACTGACTTCGTGGTGCGCTCACCTCCGAGAAACCCTTCGGGTCGCTCCTCATCGCAAACCCTGTCAGCAGAGTCCTCCTACCTACGGGAATGTATGTACGTAAGAGCTACATACACTGAAAATGTTTTACCTCGAGGTAGGATCAAGGCACAGAGCTCACACAAACTCCTTAAAATGAAACCCTTCACGCACCCCACAGCAAATCGGTTTTTGCCCTTAAATAGTGCGATTTCTCACCGATGCCAAGCGAAAAATGGGCCACCAAAAATCGCACTATTCTCGACGCGCGTCGAGATCCAAAACTCGATCTGGCCAGCCCCATTCCTACCAACCGTCGGCTTTCGCCGCTTCCCGTTTCCTTGAGCGGCACCAGAGATCACCAGGATGACAGAACTGGCCGTTGCCAGACTGGGGACTATTGTGCGCCTCGGCGAGGCGCTTCCGGTGGTATTCTTTTCGAGCGCAGTGGACTTCATCTTGCCGCGTTGCCGGTCAACTGCCGGCGGTCGACAACTGCCGTTCGAGCAGCGTCGGGTACCGCCGGCAAGATGAACTCACCTGAAGCTGAGCCGCGGCATGCGGGGCGGCACGCATGAGAAAGAGCATACGAACCGTATGAGAAAGAGCATATGAACCAAGAACACAAGCCCGCTCTCACATGACAAGCGATCCCACGACAGCGATTGTGGGGACTACATGATCCGCACGTGAAGGGTGGAGGGGCCCGTCCGCGGAGCTAGGCGACAAAAGAATAATGGAATGGCCGGCTCGCGCTGTTTCCGAAGGCGGCTCAAAAAAGGAAAAACGTGTGAAGAATATATTTTTGCACATAAGAGGGCTCCCGCGGCGATCAACACCGCAACTCCTTTTCTAAATTTCACCACTCTTCTAACGCGCGACGTCGCGGAATTCGTGCGTACCGTCGCCGTTGGGACGGTCGTTGCTCGCGCCGTTGGGAAACGCAAGGCGCACCTTTTTGTTTTGAAGACCTCGATACTTAGCGCACTGCTCGGGCGAGAGCTCAAACACGTGCCGCGTCTCGTCTTCGCCGCCGGCTACGCGCACAGACACAGTACGCGGCAGCGCCGACACGTCAACCCGCGTGTACGTCAGCGACGGGTCGCGCACGCCGCACGAGGCGCATGCGTGCAGCGGCAGCGCGTGCGCCATGCGCTCGTCGCTCCACTCGCCCAGCAGCCGCCGCTTCGTCTCGTCGGAGACGTGCACGCAGCGCTGCAGCAGCGCCGCCGTCTCGTCCTCGGGCCGCTCCAGGTCCATGACGACGTTCGTCGAGGCGTGGAAGCGCGTCTCCAGGTCGATGGCCGCCTGCTCGGCCGCGGCGAGCTTGCCCTGGTCGACGCACATGCCGCACACCGCGTGCGCCGGGCAGCCGCACTGGCCGCGTTGTGGGCGCACGGTCTTGGCGACCGCCGGCGCTGCGCGCCGGTCGTGCTGCTCACGCTGCCGGCGGCGCTGGTCGCGCGCCTGCCGATCGCGCGTGTTCGCGGCGGCTGCATCTCCTGCTCGTTTCGCTCGCACCCGAGCGGCGGTCGCCAGGCGCTTCAGGTCGGCGGTGCTGCGCGCGCGGCCGTCGGCTCTGCACAGCCACATGTCCTCCTCCTCGGCAGGCTCGCACGGCTTGCCGTCGAACTGCGGCGGGAACCCGCGACGACGCTTCGCCCAGGCCGGGCACGATGGTGCCGCGACGAGCGGCGTCGAGGCGACGGCCATCGATGGGTCCAGAAGACTTGGAGACACTTCTAAACCAAAAAATCAAAAAAAGCGAGCACAAGTGCGTTACATGGGCATGGCCGGCGAACGATCTTACTTTCGGTCTATCGAAAGTGTTGATCGATAACATATGATCGCAGCCTCGCTTGCCACCGTCGCCGAGTCCACTCGCGCCGCCGCCGCCGCCGCCGCCGCCGCCGCCGCCGCCGCGGTTCGCCCATCTCCGCGGCTGACTCAAGCAGTGCCGCTGGGCGTGGCCACGGCGGTGGCCGTGGCGGCGGCGGCAGCGGCAGCAGCAGTGGCCGCCACCCTAGCGCAGCCTCCCGTCAAGGCTGCTGGCAAGGCGGAGCTGCTCGCGCAGCGCGAGGCTGCGCTCCGTCGCGAGCCAGCCGACCTGCTCGGAGAGCAGCTCTCGCGCAACTGGTCCTTTCTTGGCGATGAGGCGCAGGGCGCGCTGAGCCGCTCGCTCGTCGTCATCGTCGGGCTCGGCGCCTCGGGCAGCCAGGCGGCGGCGCTGCTTGGCCGCTGCGGCGTCGGCTGCCTGCGCCTCGTCGACCCGGCAGACGTGACCGCCGACTCGCTCGCGCACCACGCGGTGGCGACGGCAGCAGACGTCGGCCGCGGCCGCGCGGAGGTCTCGCGCGAGGCGCTTCGGGAGACCGTCCCCGCGCTCGCGGCCGAGGTGTGCCGCGCGCGGCTATGCGCCTCCAACGCGCCATCTCTGCTGCGCGGCGCCGACCTCGTATTGCTCTGCATCCGCGACCCCGCCGCCGCCGCCGCCGGCCTCGCCTATTGCGACGGCAAAGGCGTGCGGGCCTTTGCGGTGCTTGGCGACGCGGCGGCGGACGGCGTGGCGTCGGCGACGCACCAGTGCCTCACGTACCTGCACGACGTGAGCTTCGCGCCCGACGCGAGGCGTCTCATCCGCCACCTCCGCACCGAGCTCCGCCGCGGCGGCCGCAGCTCGCCGCCGACGCCGCAGCCGCTGCTCGACCAGCTCGTCGTGACGTCCGTCTCGCCCTCGGTGGCGGCGTGGCCGCGCGCGCCGCCGCCCGCCGCCGCCGCGGGCGGCGCCTCCGCCGCGGTCGCGGCGGCGGGGCTCGGCCAGCTCGCCGCTTCGGCTGCCATTTGCGCGTTGGCCGGCCTCGAGCTGCAGCCGGCGGCGCCGCTCCTCTCGCGGAGTACACGGGCCGACATGTGGCGCGCGGTGGCGCGGCGCGAGCGGGATGTCTTTGGCGCGCGCGGCGGCGACGCCTTCGATGGCCTCTGGCCCGAGGACGTCGCGTACCTCGTCAACGAGGTCTACGGCCGCCGGTGCCGCCTCGCCCTGCCCCCGCCGCAGTCCGCCATTAGCGAGCCGGCCTCGCACGCCCCGATCTAGCACGCGCGGCGGGGCCACACCCACACGCGGCACACACGGTAGCGCGACGCACGGGTCGCCCGTGGCCCGCGGGTGGCGTGTCCCGACCTCCTCTCTGCGGCCCGCGAGCCACGCACCGCTGCACCGCTTCGCGCCGCAGGTGCGCAAAGACGGCGAGCTCGCTGGGCGGCCGCGCGGCGCTCGTCCTGACGCGGTGGCGTGCCGATCGGCCGGCGGCGGTGGACAACGCGATTCTCCTCACGAAGCGGGAGGCGGAGGAGCACGACACGGCGGGTAGCACCGAAGCCGTCCCCGCCGAGGCGGCGGCCGCGATCGAGGCGGCGCTCGCAGCGGCGAGGACGGAGGAGAGAGCGGAGCCGGTAGCCGGAGGGGGTCTCTGCTGGCTAGCCTGCAGTTCGTGTGAGTAAAGTGACATAAATAAAACGGTCAAACTCTGAGACGAGATGGGATTTAGGGACATGACGAGCATTGTCTTTTTGTTATACGCAGCGCGGCGCGCCCAGTGCGCGCCTCCCATGGCGCCTCCCCCCGCCACCTCTCAGCTCTCGCACACACCCCGCCCGTCTCTGCCGCAGGAGAGGAGTCAGCAGTGTGAGACTGTGCTGCCCCTACCGGCGACCGGGAGGCCGCGATGTCCAGCTCGAGATCTCCAGATCGAATCTCCAGACATCTCATTCTCATCTCAAGAGAGAGTACAGAACTCAGAGGTGGGGGGGGGGGCGGGGGGGAGCACCGAAGCCGCCTCGAGAACCCGTAGGCTGGACTTTGTGCGGTCTCCCGATGTCATCAGGGGCGTACGCATGCATGGGCGGCCACACCAGCCAGCAAACCTCAGAGCCGGCGAATGCTGTACGCGCCCCCGTTGTTGCCGCGCACGGCCGAGATGCGAGAAGCCCGCGATCGCGTGGCCCATGTCAAGCATTGGCTCGATCACATCGCGGCCGACCAGTATGCCCTGCGCCCCGCCGATTGCGGCACACACGCGCTGTTCGACGCCGCGGATCCGCACGCGGCAGTAGGCCATCGGATACTCGTCCACGCCGTTCACGCCGGCGATGGTCATGCGGTGCGGGCTGGCGCGCAGCCCGGCGGCACACGCGACCGACTCCGAGACCATCGTGGCTGCGCCGTTGCCGGTGTCGAGGAGGGGCGCCCACTCGGGCGATGAGTTCGGCCGCGTGTCGAGCCACTGGGAGGGAAGGTGGTCGGGCCGGATCGAGACCGTCTCGCCGTACACGGACAGGGCCATCTGCTGCTGCTGCGCGAGGCTCGCCTGAGCCTGCGCTGCCGCCCTCGCCGCCGCATCCGCTCGCGCGCCCGCATTCTCCGCTCGCCGCTCGGCCTGTGCGACGCGGCCGCGGTCGCCGGGCTCGTCACCGCCGACGCCGCCCGCTGCGCGCGCCCACATGAACCAGTCGGTCACGAATCCGGGGTTAACGCCGGCCAACCTCGCAAGGGACCGCATTTCGGCCGGCGACTCATCAGCGTAGGGGTCCTCCTCGAAGGCCTCGGCATAAGCGTGTGGTAGTTGTATGCGCGTCATCTTCAAACACCCCCCCCCTCGCACCTAGCCGCCCCCATTCTCGCAAGACGTGTGAGCATGAGGGGGGTGGTGGTACCCCCCTACAGGTGCCCCTGGCCAGGCCTCTGACCGAGAGGGGGGTACACCTCGCGGGAGCCAAGACTGCTCGACCGACAGGGGGGTGCCTGCCCAAGACCCAGGTAAAACCCGGGTATACCCGAGAAAGTCCAGGTTTACCCGAAAAATACCTGGACGCGTCCACATATGCCGCAGCACGCCATACTCCCAGGGCCCCTGTGCCAACTGCGGCGCGCACCGCCTGCTCAAGTACGCGCACCGCACCATGTGTGCTCGCTACAAGTGCCAAAACGCAAAAGGCAGCATCGGCGCCAGGCACGGCTTGCAGGCGGCGGTGCGGACGACGCGGTCGTGCCAACATTCTGCTACAAGATCGAGGCGGTGCTCCGCATGCGCTTGTGCGACCCCGATCAACTGATCGGAAAGAAGCGGCGCAACAAGCTGACTGCTGCCGACACACTATTTGCTACCTCACGCGCGGTGAGTTTGGAGAGGATGAACACGACTCTCGGGTTTCACCGACACACGCTGGGTGGAGCTCGAAGAGCTGTACGAGAACTGCGGAACGGACGAACGTTTGAGTGGTGGTAGGAAACACGTGTGTCCGTGTGTGTATGAACAATGAGTATGAACATGCAAAGTACTCTATCACGTATCGTATGTCTCTCACTCACGTGTGACACACTCTGCGAGCCGTCCTAGCTACGCAAATAACAGCACCAACCAGCGTGTGGTTACTTCGGCTCCGCCTCCCATGGGCGCGGCAGCTCCTCACAGCCGTCAGTGCCCTCGCAGCAGCCAGCCACACCGCCGGGTGACTTCTGGCAGCTACAGCTGGAGACGCGCCTCGTCATGATACGCACTGTTTCGTCTGGCAGTTGCACGCGCTTGCGCAGGCCGCAATCAAAGTGGAGGAGGAAGCGTCCCTTGCGGGGGGCACAGCGGCTATTGTATGCAACAATGGTAGCGCTATAGTAGTCTTCGTCCTCCTCGTCGCCGTCTTCAGGGCACCACAACACCGTGCAGCGCCGGCCAACTAGTGACGCGTCATATTTGATTGCCGCGCGCGCGCTGCCGCAGATCGCGATTCTGCGCGACAAGTACGAGGGCCTCATCACGCAGCTGAATGACACGCTGACCAAGGCACGCTCTATCGCTGGCGCAGCGGCGAACAGCGAGCCGCCACCGAAGCGCATGGCCGCCACCGGCTCGGCGGTCCGCGTGCGTGCGACCAGGGGCTGGTCCGCATCCAAGCAGGCGAAGCAGGCGAAGGAAGCGGGTGACACCCGCTCGTACGTGAGCGTCATCAACGACGAGGTTGTGACAGTGGTGCGCTACACGACCGGCGAGGGCGGTGCGTTTGTCGACGCAGATGGCGACGTCAACCTCGACGCTGCTTGGTTCGAGGTGGAGCTCGAAGACGGCACGAGAGGCCTCGTGCCGGCCCAGATGTCTAGCGGTTTCAGACGCTTCAAGAAAGTGGAGCAGCCGCAGGCACGCCCGGCACCGGCACCACCGCCGCCACTCTCCTCCGGCGAAGATTCCGAGGATGCTGAGGGAGCTGCCGGGCGCGACCAGTACGATGACCAGTCGGATGGCGGCGGCGCCGGCGCGGAGAGCTCCGACAGCGATGAGGTCCAGCCGGAGCTCACCCTCACCACCGATGGGCGGGGCAAAGAGGTGTACCAGCAGTTTGCGGCGCCGGCGCCGGCGCCGGCGCCGGCCGCGCCGGCGGTCGCCGCATCAACACAGCCGCCCGCTCCCCCGCAGCTGCCAGCCGGCTGGTCGTCGGCTTGGTCGGCAGAGCACGGCTGCTACTACTATGGCAACGGCCAAGTGTCGCAGTGGCAGTTCCCTGAGTAGAGCGGTCACAGACACACATCGCCTCCAGATGAACCTCGGATTGCGGGGAGTAGGATGACGGACGCGTCGATTTTTTATTTCGCCATGTTTTGCATCAAAAGGGCCTCTCCCGGTCGCGTGCACCGCCCGCGCCGCCGCCGCCCAATCATCCTTCATCTCGAGACGAGATCGCGATCTCGGCGATCTCGGGCGATCTCGGGGGCGATCTCGAGCGAGATGTCGGACATGGACTCGACGTGGTCTGCGTGAGCTGATGTCGATCATCACGCCGTCGAGACTTTGGCGAGGCGTGGGGCGCGATGGCAGCGCCGCCGCCACCTACTCTCCCTTCATCTCTGGGCGAGATCGCGATCGCGCTGATCTCGGGCGAACTCGAGCGAGAGGTTGGACATGGACTCGACGTTGTCTGCGTGAGCTGATGTCGATCATCACGCCGTCGAGGCTTTGGCGAGGCGTGGGGCGCGATGGCAGCGCCGCCGCCTCCTACTCTCCCTTCATCTCGAGACGAGATCGCGATCTCGTCGATCTCGGGCGATCTCGAGCGAGAGGTTGGACGTGGACTCGACGTGGTCTGCGTGAGCTGATGTCGATCATCACGCCGTCGAGGCTTTGGCGAGGCGTGGGCACGCGAGTACGCAGACATCGCGACTCTATCCCCTCGCTCTCGACGCTTTTGCCGTGAGAGTGAGATCTGGGGTGTGTAGGGGCGGCGGCGAGCTCCCGGTCGCAAATACTCGCCTGACGGTACAAGATGGCGGCTCTCGCCCCCAACCGTGCACCAGCGTGCCTCTCTAGTCCCGCCTGCCACCCAGATACCGAGAGCTGGGCGCACTCTTCGACTTGGGCTATTATCTGCCCTCGGGAGGGCGGCGGCGGCGGAGTAGGGGCGGCGGCGAGCTCCCGGTTTTGCAAATACTCGCCTGACGGTCCAAGATGGCGGCTCTCGCCCCCAACCGTGCACCAGCGTGCCTCTCTAGTCCCGCCTGCCACCCAGATACCGAGAGCAGGGCGCACTCTTCGACTTGGGCTGTTATCTGCCCTCGGGAGGGCGGCGGCGGCGGAGTAGGGCTAGGGGCGGCGGCGAGCTCTCCCGGTCGCAAATACTCGCCTGACGGTCCAAGATGGCGGCTCTCGCCCCCAACCGTGCACCAGCGTGCCTCTCTAGTCCCGCCTGCCACCCAGATACCGAGAGCTGGGCGCACTCTTCGACTTGGGCTATTATCTGCCACCGGGAGGGCGGCGGCGGCGGAGTAGGGGCGGTGGCGAGCTCCCGGTTGCAAATACTCGCCTGACGGTCCAAGATGGCGGCTCTCGCCCCCAACTGTGCACCAGCGTGCCTCTCTAGTCCCGCCTGCCACCCAGATACCGAGAGCTGGGCGCACTCTTCGACTTGGGCTATTATCTGCCCTCGGGAGGGCGGCGGCGGCGGAGTAGGGGCGGCGGCGAGCTCCCGGTTTTGCAAATACTCGCCTGACGGTCCAAGATGGCGGCTCTCGCCCCCAGCCGTGCACCAGCGTGCCTCTCTAGTCCCGCCTGCCACCCAGATACCGAGAGCATGGCGCACTCTTCGACTTGGGCTATTATCTGCCACCGGGAGGGCGGCGGCGGCGGAGTAGGGGCGGCGGCGAGCTCCCGGTTGCAAATACTCGCCTGACGGTCCAAGATGGCGGCTCTCGCCCCCAACCGTGCACCAGCGTGCCTCTCTAGTCCCACCTGCCACCCAGATACCGAGAGCAGGGCGCACTCTTCGACTTGGGCTATTATCTGCCCTCGGGAGGGCGGCGGCGGCGGAGTAGGGCTAGGGGCGGTGGCGAGCTCCCGGTTGCAAATACTCGCCTGACGGTCCAAGATGGCGGCTCTCGCCCCCAACCGTGCACCAGCGTGCCTCTCTAGTCCCGCCTGCCACCCAGATACCGAGAGCTGGGCGCACTCTTCGACCTGGGCTATTATCTGCCACCGCGGGAGCAGGGCGGCCGCGGCGGTGGCACAGGCGACAAGTCTTCAAGCACAAGGGCCGACGACCGATATTTTGCTTGCAAAAAACGCAAAATTTTCTTCGCGGGGCTCCGCCCCGCACCCCGCCGGGGCTCCGCCCCGGACCCTAGCTGACCGAGGGGGGGGTCAGCTCCGCAAGCTGCGAGGGGGCAGGACCGAGGGGGGGGTAAGCTACCGGAGGGGGGGTCAGCTGCCGCTGGCTCGGGACCGCTGAGCGACAGGGGGGTGTAGGTACCCCCCCCCCACCTCCACCTGGTCAGACCGTCGACCTAGAGGGGGGTCCCCAGGTGCGTGGGGGGGGGTGTTTGAAGATGACGCGCATATTGTGGTCGCCCGCTCCGTACTCCTTGACGTAGCTATAGTCGTCCCAGCGCAATTGATTGCCGTAGCGATCGAACAGCTTCAAGTGAAGCGTGTCCGCGCTCTCGATGCTGTAGTCTGCCGCCGTCTTCAGGCCGACTAGTTCGCGCTTCTTGTGCACGAGCACCACGGGCGCCCACGCAGGTCAACGTCGTCGCACTGGGTCTGCACCGCCGCCCTGAGCAGGCGATCGGCCGTCTCGTGTGGCTGCACCATTAATGTATGCGACCCATAGCACTTGGGCGAGAAGGCAACACTCACCGCCATCGACCCATCAAAGTCGCGCCAGCCGCGCTTGTGCCAGCCCTCTCCCTTGCGTGCCTTGCCCCTGCCGTAAGGGCTGTAGCGGTACATACAGGAGTGGGTTGGGATTGGTAACAGCGCCGAGGGGGCAGCGCTAGCCAGAGATTTTTTTCTTTCTTCCTGCGCGCAGAACACGATTTTTTCTCGCTTCTCCCACTTCGAGCTGCTTCGTGACTGGAATGAAGCGCTGCTGTTGCAGAGCAGCCCCGCTGCTCGCGCTCCTCGGCATCGCACGCGGCAGGCCTGTCGGTTCTATGCGAGGAGGCGGTGGGACGTCCTTCCTCTCAAACATGTGCCGACTCCGCGGCGGGCAGCACGGCGCCGCCGCGGGCGAGACGCAAATCTTCGAGACGGTCGTCAGCAGTGAGGTGACGCGGGTGGCCACATCGCCGTTCGAGGGGCAGAAGCCGGGCACGTCCGGGCTGCGCAAGAAGACGTCCGTCTTCCTCCAGCCGGGCTACCTCGAGAACTTCATCCAGAGCCTCTTCGACTCGCTGCCCGATGGCGAGCTACGTGGTGTGTCTCGCGATGCCTCTCACAGCCGCCGCACGCCGCGATGCCGCTCATAGCCGCCGCACCGAAACCGCTGCACCACACGCTGCTACACCGCACCGCACGCCACGTTGGCCACGCAACTTCCCGCCGACCTCGGCCCTCGCCGCCGCCGCACCGGCTCTGCGCCCTCTCACCGCCTCGTCGCCGAGATCAGGCGCCACACTCGTCGTCTCGGGCGACGGGCGGTACGGGAACGCGGCGGCGGTGCAGATCATCTGCAAGATGGCGGCTGCGCACGGCGTCGCGCGTGTCTGGGTCCGGCGCGGCGGACAGTCGCTCGTCGTGGCGGAGCCTTCCCCGAAGTGTCTCGGAGCCTTCGCCCGTAGGTCGGGCGCGACGGGCTCCTCTCGACGCCCGCCGCCTCGTGCGTGATCCGCGAGCGCGAGGGCGGCGTCGCGTGCGGCGGAGTGATCCTCAGCGCGTCGCACAACCCGGGCGGGCCAGACGCAGACTTTGGCATCAAGTACAATGTGCGCAACGGCGGGCCGGCACTCGAGTCGCTGACGGAGGAGGTGTATGCGCTCGCCTCGCACGCACGCACCCGCACGCACGCACGCACCCGCACGCACGCACGCACACACGCACGCACGCACGCACGCACGCACGCACGCGCACGCACGCGCACGCACACACACACACACACACACACACATGGCACACGGCACCGTGCCTCAGGTGTACGAGCGGTCAACGCAGATCCGCGAGTACGCGATTGTGGCGGGGCTGCCGGACGTGGACCTGTCGCTCGAGGGGCGGCACGTGTTTGTGGACGAGAAGGGCGGCGCCCCGCACTTTGAGGTGGAGGTGATCGACCCTACCGAGGACTATGTGGCGCTGATGGCGTCTCTCTTCGACTTCGACGCGCTGCGCAGCCTGCTCCGCCGTCCCGACATGAGCTTGGTCTTCGACGGCATGCACGGCGTGGCCGGCCCGTATGCGCGCGCGATCTTCGGCGCGCTCGGCGTCGCGGACGAGGCGCTGCCCCGCCCATTCGCCGGAGCCATACCAGCCGTCCTCCCCTCCACACGCCCTCCTCGACTGCCCAGGCGCTTCTCAACTGCATCCCGTCCGAGGACTTTGGCGGCGGCCACCCCGACCCCAACCTGACCTACGCCGCCGCCCTCGCCAAGCTCATGGGCCTCACCGGCCAGCCTGCGGGCGGGGAGCCTCCGGTGCTCGGTGCTGCGGCCGACGGCGACGACCGACTGCAGCGCGGCCGTGACAGAGTGCGCGGGAGGGCCTCCTGGAGCCTCTTCTCGGACGCCGTAGGCGACGCGGACCGAAACATGATTGTCGGCCGCCGCTTCTTCGTCACGCCCTCCGACTCGCTGGCGGTGATTGCGGCCCACGCGCACGCGCTGCCTTGGCTCGCCCGGCAGGGCGGCTTGCGCGCTCTCGCCCGCTCGATGCCGACATCGGGCGGCCGGCCGAGGCTGGGCGAGGGGCGTGTGGCGAGGTTGCTGTTTGACGCGAGAGGGGCGTGCGAGCAGGCGCCGTCGACCGCGTGGCGGAGGAGCTCGGGCTGCCCCTCTTCGAGACGCCGACCGGCTGGAAGTACTTTGGCAACCTAATGGACTCGCACCTGCTCGGCGGCGCAGACCTCTCGCCCCTCCTCTGCGGCGAGGAGTCGTTTGGCACGGGCTCGTCCCACATCCGCGAGAAGGACGGGCTGTGGGCGGTGCGCGCACCCAAGCCTGTCCGCGCGCACCCGCGCGCCACCGCCGACACGCGCGCGTGCATGCCCACGCACGCTGCTCGCACATGCCCAACGCTGCTCGCCTCGCTACGCCGCCCCATGACCGGCCGCCACACAGCCGCACCCGGCCCTCTCCGACGGCGGGCCGTTCCCCGCAGGTGCTCTGCTGGGCGTCGATCCTGGCGCACCACAACGTTGACACGCCCGAGGGGCAGCTGGTCGGCGTCGAGGAGGTGGAGACACACACACACACACACACGCACGCACGCACGCACGCACGCACGCACGCACGCACGCACGCACGCACGCACGCACGCACACACACGCACGCACGCACGCACGCACGCACGCACGCACGCACGCACGCACGCACGCACACACACACACACACACACACACACACACACACATGCACGCACGCACGCACGCACGCACGCACGCACACACACGCACGCACGCACGCACGCACGCACGCACGCACGCACGCACGCACGCACACACACACACACACACACACACACACACACACACACATGCACGCACGCACGCACGCACGCACGCACGCACGCACGCACGCACGCACGCACGCGCCGCCTCCATCGCCGCCCGTGCGCCCCCCCCCCGCCCCCCCTCACCCCTCCGCCCCTCCGCCCCTCCGCCCCTCCGCCCCTCACCCAGGTGGTGACCCAGCACTGGCGCCGCTTCGGCCGCAACTTTTACACGCGGTACGACTACGAGAACGTCGACGCGGCGGCGGCGGAGGAGATCGTCGAGCGGCTCCGCGCGATGGGCTCCTCCTTTCGAGGCGCGCCGGCGTCACGCCCCCCCACCCCTCCCCCGACCGACCGAGATCACCCGAGGTCACTCGAGATTGGCCCGAGGGTAGGCGCGGGGTACGGCCCCTCGGAGCCGCAGCTGCTGCAGGACGGGTTCGCGCTCGCCACCATCGACGAGTTCTCGTGCCGCTGCCGGGTCGAGCGTTCGGCCACAGCCAGGAGCCTTCCCGGAGCCGTCCGGAGCCTTCCGCATAGGTACCGCGACCCTGTGGACTCTTCGACCACGAGCCAGCAGGGCGTGCGGCTGCTCTTTGCCGACGGCTCGCGGATAGTGCTGCGCCTCTCCGGCACGGGCTCAGTCGGGGCGACGGTGCGCATCTACATCGAGCGGTACCAGCCGCCCGGCGACGAATACGCGCTGCTCGCCAACGCCACGGACGCGCTGCGGCCTCTGGTCGACCTCGCGCTGCACCTCTCGCAGGTGCGCGAGCTCACGGGCCGCGAGGCGCCAACCGTCATCACCTAGAGGCTGCGGCTCTAGCCGCGAGACCGAGAGTCTCATAGTGCAGAGAGCCTGCCTGCTGCTGCTCGCTGCTCCTGCTCCGCCTCCGGGGCGCGCGCGGGTGGCGCGGCATGCACGCTCCCTGTCCCCGGCCCCGCCATTTTTTTGAGTTGTAACCTGTAACCCGGGCGCATGTTAGACTTAGAGATGGCATGTAACGTACGACGTCGAGGTGAGTTGCATATATATGCGCACTCATCACACTCTCTCTGATACAAACGAAAGGGTGTTGTGTGCATCAACTCATCAGAGTATACCGTCCAATAAATATCAGAGATCCACATGCGTGCGGGGGCACACCGCACGCGCGCTTGGACGAGTGCGGCGAGCGCAGAGAGGCGGCCCCATGAGAGGCGTGGAGCAGCTAGGCGGCGGCTAGGGTGCGCGAGGCGTGCTCCGAAAGCCGCTCGCGTGAGGCCGCGCTCCCGCCCCTTCGGCTCAAGGCTTCAGTCGAGCCCGACCTTATTCTTATTCGGCGTGCCTGCGTAGCGCTCTGGGGTGAGATCGACGAGCCGATGTTCTAGGCCCTCATGTTCAGGCAATCAATGACGGGGCGGCAGCATCAGTGGCAATGCAAGGAGAGAGCAGGGAGAGAGCGAGAGAGGAGAGAGTGGGCAGGGAGAGGCGCTTACCGGTGTAGCCCAGAGCGGAGCCGGGGAAGTCGTAGTCCTTGACGGTGCCAAAGGAGCGCGCCATGCCGGACACGATTTTCTCGATCTCGCCCTGATTCGCAGCCGGGTTCTGGGAGAGCGCCTGTCGGGCGGGTGGGCGAGAAGTTCGACTCGGGCTCGGGCGGGTGGAGGCACTGGCACGGGCGGCCGGTGAGAAGGAGGACTCCGATGGCAGAGTGTCGGCGGCAGGGAGGGGGAGGGACAGGTGGCAAATGCGCCTGCAGTCGGCCGAGCATGAGCAGCGCCTCGACTTGCTCCTTGGAGGTCTTGGTGCCCTCGCGCGACAAACGCTCAGCCTCAATGGTGAGCTCCGCCACCAGGCTCTGCACCGTGTCCACCGAGCACTCCTCCTCGAGGCAGGCGGCAGCCAGCGAAGATACGCCAGTCATCAACGGGTGCGCCACCCGCACCGCGTGCGCCGGCGCAAACGCCGGGATGCGCAGGCCTACGTGTGACGGGCAAGCGCGTTAGATGTGGCTCGGAGGAAGGCTGGACGGAGTATGTTCTGGAGGGATGCCAGTGGCCACCGCGGCGAGCATTGCAAAGATAAGCTTCATGGACATCACAGACAAGATCCCTGATTGCCCAGACTCACCGCTGGCTGTTGCCAAAAGTAAAACGCGCCGCGCCGCTCTCGGCTCTCAGAGAGGCGTTATATCTCAGTAACCCCGCTCGCAGGTACTAGAGCAGCATTCGTCAAGCTCAAACCCCACTCTACACAACACAGAGCAGCGTTTGCCTAACAAGACTCCGCTCTGCAACCTTCAGAGCGGACTCTTGCTCAGAAAAACACCGACCGAGCACGTTCGAGCGGAGTCAAGTCAGTGCAACACCGCTCAACATAGCGGGAGCGGTCAATTTCCGCGGAGAGGCTGCTTTCGCCTCCCTCAGTCGCGCTCTCCTTCGCTCCTCCTCTTCAGAGCGGGACTTTGCTAAGTGAACACCGCTCTAGCTAGTGAGAGCAGCGATTGCTTTAAGCTGACACCGCTCTAAATGGCGTGAGCGGCGTATCACTAAACGCGACGCCGCTCTGACTACTCGGAGCAGTGACGACCCACCCACACGCTGCTCAACCCCAGGGGCGGGGCTCGCCACGCCGCCCGCGCCGCGCGCCACGAGCGATCGTGGATCCGCCGTCGGCGTCAGGTGGCATCGCCGTCCCGGCGTCCCAGAGCAGCGTCTATTCAGGGCGACGCCGCTCACGCCATTTAGAGGGGTGTCAGCTTAAAGGAATCGCTGCTCTGACCATCTAGAGCGGTGTTCACTCAGCAAAGTCCCGCTCTGAAGAGGAGGGGCGGAGGAGAGCGCGACTGAGGGAGGCGAAAGCAGCCTCTCCGCGGAAATTGACCGCTCCCGCTATGTTGAGCGGTGTTGCACTGACTTGACTCCGCTCGAACGTGCTCGGTCGGTGTTTTTCTGAGCAAGAGTCCGCTCTGAAGGTTGCAGAGCGGAGTCTTGTCAGGCAAACGCTGCTCTGTGTTGTGCAGAGTGGGGTTTGAGCTTGACGAATGCTGCTCTAGTACCTGCGAGCGGGGTTACTGAGATATAACGCCTCTCTGAGAGCCGAGAGCGGCGTTGAGCGTTTTACTTTTGGCCCTCAGCCCTCACCGATGGCCGCGGTGTTAGATCAACCCTCGAACTAACAACTATAACACATCTCTCTCTTTGTGTGAGTGTGTGTGACAGAGACAAAACTTCTGATGCCATGCGTGACCTAGTAGTGTCCCCAGCTATGGGCGTGTCCACGTTGGAGCCAGGTGTGGTGTGGACGCGAGAATAGCTCCGCCGTTCATGGAGGCAACCGATGCGAGTCGACTGGTGTGTGTCGTCGTGGTTTCGTATCAAGAATACTCACTCACATCTCTCTCTCTCTCAACTCCACTTAACACACAACAGATGACACACAACAGATGTTGTTCAAACACTCTTTGGTTGTTCAAACACGCTGTCGAAACACGCTGCGCGAGAACGGGCAGCTTTAAGGCGGGCAGCGCTCCAGCACAAAGCTGCAGATGTCCCGGATGAGCCCGTCCGCCGCCGCCCTGTCCGCGGGCAGCGGCCGGTGCCCCTCCTTGTGCTCGACCAGCCGCGCGCCGCGAAAATGCGCAACGAGCTCGACGGGCCCCTCCGCTGACACCGTGTCGGAAGCGCCGCGCACCACCAGCGCCGGGACGGGCAGAGGCGCGGCGAAGAGCCGCTTCCACGCGTCCTGATGCGGCCAGCCGGGCCGAGCCGGGGCGAGGAGCACGACGCAGCGGAGTGAGGTGGCGAGCGGGCCGACGCCCGCCGCGGCGCGCGCCGCCAGCATCGACGCAAAGTTGGCGCCCTGAGAGAAGCCGAGCACCGCGTCGCAGCCGCCGGCGCCGGCGATGCGCGCCTCGAGATCCGCGACCGCAGCCTCGGCGGCGGCGGGCTCGTACGTGCGCCTGCCGGCCTCATCCAGGAGCGCTGGCGCGTACTCGCGGAGCACCTGGTCGCCAAATATCTTCCGCATCGCTGCGCCGTGCGGGTTCTCGGCAGCAATCACCTCGGTGCCTTCGTACACCGCCGAGTCGGCGCCGGCCGCCTTGAGCGCCAGCTTAAGCCGCGAGGCCTGGATCGTGAAGATGCGCTCGTTGCCCGCCGTGCCGTGCAGGCACGCGACGCGCGCACGCCGGCCGAGCGGAGCAGCAAGACTCCCCTGCGCGCTGCTCTCGACACCGCCGCTCTCGAGGAAGGCGACGAGCCGGTCCTCGCTCCAGCCGGCGGCCTCGGGCGGCACCTCGACGTCCTCCGCAAAGTTCTCCGCCTGCAGCTCGGCGATGCGAGTGGCAGAGGGCATCGAGCTGCGCCGTGCCTCTCCGCCGTCCAGGACGTGGAGCCACCAGCTTTCGGCGAAGGGACGAGAAACCGGGTACATGTACGTACTTTTAGCTTACTGGGAGAAAAGAGAGAGGGGGTTGTGTTCTCTAGGCCCCTAAGGGCGAGGAAAGTCTCGGCTTGGATTCACGCCCCGGCGGGGGTGATATTGGATGGGCATCCCGGGCCGCGCGAGAGAGGGGGCTGTATCTCCCGCGATGTGTCGCGGACAAACCCAAGTAGACGCCCGGTCGGGCGGGGGGGTGGTACGCTGCGTGGGGCGAGGTTTTAAATGTTATTGCTAAAAGCTCTCTCTCTGTCTCTCTTCTCGCGCCGCGCCTTGGCTCGGCGTGCGGAGTCACCCTCGCGATGCGGCGCTGAGCGACTCATTGCAAGGTTGCGGGCGCGGCGCATCGCCTCCCGCTCGTCGGTCTTGTCCATAGCATGCCATTCCGCCCGTGCGGCCTCGAGCTCCGCGCCCTCGAGGCAGCCAGCAATGCGCCATGGCGGCAGTCTGGGGAAGACGTGCATTCGGCCGCGGCCTGGGTCCCCAGGCACGATGGGGACGGCCTTTCGGCGCGGCCGGGACGGGCACGCGCCGTTGCAACGCCGGGAAAAATCCACAGGCGGTGGGGCCGGAAACTTGGAGTCCGCTACCCGCTTGCGGAGCCTGCGGAGGTGGCGGGTTCTTTCCTCCTCATCCATCTCGTCCATCTCCCGATTGTCTGGCGTCTGAACCTTCTGAGAGGCGAGCGCGAGCCCGTTGTTCAGCCTGCACGCGTGAACCCCGATGGCCCGCGCATGTCAACATAAACGCACGCGAGCGGAGAGAAGAGCCGGGTGACGGTTGAGGAGGACGTTTTGAGAGATAAACCCGGTCTTTTGTACTGAGAACTCGTACGCTCGGGCCCACGCGTAGTGGCGCTGGCTGTCGGTTCAGACCGGCTTCCTCATTCCGAGACACGGCAGCGGTGGGGTGGGGTGGGAGAGGGAGGGGGGCGGCGCACATCCGCGCGTGGTGGCGGGTTCTTCCCTCCTCATCCATCTCGTCCATCTCCAGTTGTCCTCCACCGGGCTGCATCGCAGAGCCATCGCGGGGAGCCAGCGGCGGCGAACCGAGCAGCATGGGCGGCGTGTCATTCTGCAGTCGATCGCCGCCGAGCGGCATAGCGGCGCCGTCGCGGTCGCGGGCGGCGCCGTCGCGGGTAGCCAGAGGCGGAGGGGCGGCGGGAGAGGGCGGTGGTGCGGGCGGTGATGCTGATGATGTGGCCATTGGCCGCCGCCGCGTCCTCTTTGCGAGCGCTCTCGGCTTCCGTCCCTTTTTACGCTTGTCCCCCCCTTGCTCGTGTGTCTGAGCTTTCTGCGGACCAGGCCACACGCGATCGGCAGTCTACTTGGGTTTGTTTGAAGTTTCCCCCGGCGTCTTTCTTTCTGCGAGCATCGCTTGAGCTCTGGAGAGAGAGTATCCTCTTCCCACCCAGGTTTCGCGACTCTGCGTGGCCGACTCACACAGCGAGCCTTCCTGTCTCCCTGCTGCCGATTCATCGGGCATGCTGTGTTTTTGATATTGTCTCCGCAAGGCCTCCCGACCGCGTCGAACTCACGGCGCGGGCTCTCTCGGCTACGGGACCGGCCCCAGCTTCGGCTGAGGGCTAACAAGCTGCCGAGCCCAAATCACTGTGAGAGTCGTGATATTGTTGAGACCGACCATATGCAAAAAACACTCTCTCTCCATATGCACAATATCTTGACTGAGAGCTAAGCCCAGTTCGACGATCGGCAGCCTCACCGCGGGTCGCGCCGCTGCGCAGCGAGAGCCAGGCTCGCCCGGCGAAGGAAGGTGACCAGGGACGAGAAACCGGCTTCGTGAAGTTTGGCGCGCCCGTCTTTCTTTCTGCGAGCATCGCTTGAGCTCTGGAGAGAGAGTATCCTCTTCCCACCCAGGTTTCGCGACTCTGCGTGGCCGACTCACACAGCGAGCCTTCCTGTCTCCCTGCTGCCGATTCATCGGGCATGCTCAGTCAAGATATTGTTGAGACCGATCTGAGGGAGGGTGTAGACGAGAAACCGATTACTTGAGTACGTTGAAGTTTCGAGCAGGCGTCTTTCTTTCTTGTAAGGGCTCTATGGGCTTCCAGTATCGGACCTTCAAGACATGCGCTTTTGGCCGGTGGCCTCCTCGGCGTAACCTCGGACATGGTACCTCCGGTGAGATAGTGGCTGCCAGTTCGAGACTGGGGCCGATCGAACTTGACTTGTTCGGAGGAGGAATCCGGCCAGCACGGGTACAAAGAGGGGTCCCGGAGAATCCCCAGCTGCGGAAACGTAGTGTCGCTCAAGAGGTGCGATACTGCGGGGGAGTGTAAGGTGCCTATATGGGCTTCCAGTATCGGACCTTCAAGACATGCGCTTTTGGCCGGTGGCCTCCTCGGACATAAACCGTGTCCACACCATTTTCACACCGTTCAAACGCGGCGGTCTTTTTGCGCAGTGTGCGTGAAATGGGCTGGCAGCTTGGTAAAACCCCCGGGTGCAAGCAGTAAGGCGGCCGGCGGTGGGGCGAGGGGGTGGGTGGGGGGGGGGGGGGGTATGGTCCCGTCGGCGGGAGGCTGGGTCTTTCAGCTGGCGGGGGGGTATGGTCTCGAGGCGTGCATACCCTGCGGGCACATCTGGCAAATCGTCTCCCGCATGCGAGCCCGCTGGGGCACACGGCGACACGGGTCACTCTTAGGACTAGGACGGCTACCTCCTGGGGCCCCCTCCCTCGTCGCCACCATGCGCGCCGCGCCGCGGTTCCTTCCTGGATTCGCTCGAGACTGGCCGGCCGTCGCGTCGACGGCCGGCCTGCCTCCGCACGAGGCGATGCGGTGGCTCGCTGGCGAGCTTGCTGCCGGCGCGGGTGATCTGGTTTTGGATGCAGAGGTCGGATGCTCGTACCTCGACGCTGAGCTCGTGCCGGTCTCGGTGCCCGCCCTCGCCGCCTACCTCAGCGAGCCGCGCGCGGCAGTGGAGGCGCCCGGCCCGTACCTCGCCCAGGCGGACCTTTTCGCCGAACGCCCGGGCCTGCGGGAGAGGCTGCTGCCGCCTTCCCTCACGGACCGCACACCGCGCCCGTACCGCACGGTGGCTTGGCTCGGAGGCGCCCGCGTCGCCACCGCTGCCGCTAGCACCCCCACGGAAAGTTGTGGTGAGCTCCTCTCGGACAGTACAGGCGCCACCTCATCGCCCCTCCACCACGACCCGTATGCCGGGCTGCTCGTGCAGCAGATTGGGCGCAAGCGGTGCGCGCTCCTGCCACCCGACTCGCCATCGACGCAATCGCTGCCGCGGCACACGCTGCTGCAGGGCAAACACCTCGCCGGCGGCATCCTCTTTTGCGCCCTGGCGTACCTCGGAATCTGCTCGGAACCTGCTCCTAGGCAACTCCTCTCCGGTTGACCCGTTTGCGCCGCGACGCGACACGGAGCGCCGCCCTAGACGCCGACACCGCCAGATGCCGACACCGCGCTCCGCTGTACGGCCACTGCAGTCCATGGCGCACCCACCCCTCTCTGTGTGCCAAAGTGTGCTTTGTGGGAGCGCTCATGCCTCTCATCGCGCTGTGCGTACGCCGGTAGGAGCGCTACCCTGACTATCCAGCGGCGGCGGTGCTCGAGCACGTCCTGTCCGAGGGCGACGCGCTGCTCATCCCGCGCCGGTGGTGGCACGCGGTGCGAACGGACGACAGCACGTTCGCCTCCTTCTCTCTGACGCTGTGGTGGGACGGCGCGTCGGCTGACGCGGAGGCGGAGAGGTTTGTGAGGGGCGTTTTGGAGAGCAAGGAGCGACGCGACGAGGGGGACGGTGGGAGCCGAGAGAAATGGATGAAAAAATAAGACTTAAGTCTTAAGCGGAATTTAGTGTGTGTGTGTGAGTGTAATTTCTCGGTGTAAAGCTAAAAAGGAAGTGTTTATGAGAAAGAGGTACACGTTTCCTCACTTTGGGGGAGGATGAAAAAGAAGCCTGCCGGACATTGTGCTCAACCACTCTCTCTCGGTCTCGCGAGGGTGGCCGGGGACACACACTCAAAACCACCACCCGCGCGCTCGCCGCCCGCCGCGGCCTCGGCGGGCCGCCCCGCCGGCGCCTCGACTCAGACGATGCCCCAGACCTTGAAGAGCCCCATCTCCTTTGGCCCGGGGATGAGGTCTGGCTGCCAGTCGTGCGCAAACTTGACGGCGAGCAGCACCCAGATGAAGTTCGCCTTCCCGAAGAAGAAGAGGCCGAAGATGAAGAGGATGCACGACTTTGCCCAGCCGACGCGGAAGCCAGCCTGGTCGAAGGCGCCGCCCTCGCCGACCATCCTCGCGCGCCTCTCGTCGAGCACCTGTGGGGCATGTCCTCGACGTGTCCTGGACGTGTCCTCGACGTGTTCCGCCTCTGTGACGGGGGGTGACCGCCCACCCCCCCCGTGGGACGTGTCCTGGACGTGTCTTGGAGAAGGGGGGAATGCGGCGGGTTTGGAGCGTATCTCGGCTGAGTCGCGGCTGTCTCTCGGCTGCATCTCCGCGCCTTGTACGGGATCAGCCCCGAGCGGCTCTCGGCGAGACCATCAAAGAGGACGTTGCACGCGGCACGCGTCACGGGGAGCGCCTGGAAGTCGTCGACGGTGAGACCGACCGAGGCGGCGATCTTGGCGTTGGTGAAGGGCAGGTTCGGCACGTTCTGGAACATCGCCTACCGCGCCGCATCAACCCCTCGCTCAAAAGAGTGCGCCCTCTCTCCTCAGAACTGCTGGCTCGGCCGCTGGCGCGCCGAGCGCTCGCCGCACCCCAGGCGGAGAGCCATCTGGTGGCGGCCGGTGGTGAGAGCCTGCCGCTCGTCCTCGTCCTTGGCCCGCAGGTCCGTCTCGTCGATGAAGATGGTGCGGTCTTTCCACTCGGAGCACCGCTCCCACCGGCCGAGCACGTTGACAATCTCGAGGAGCGAGGCCGTCTCGTTCTCCCAGAAGGCGCTCCGCCGCCACACGTCGCCCATGCTCTTGTCAGAACACTTTTCGAGCAGCGTGCGCAGCACCGCTTCGCCCTCCTCCCCGAGCGACCGCACGCCATCAGCCTCCACCACGACGTTGAGCGCTGCTGCAGCTGCGGCGGGCGGCGCCTGGGCGGGCTCGACGCCAGGCACGGCCTCCGCCGTCATCAGTGAGGCGCCGTGGCGCTGGCCGCTGAGCAGCAGCGGCGAGCGGCTCAGGAATAGGCCGACAACCGGCGCGAGAGAAAGCAGGGCGGCGACCATCGCTCGGCTCCGGGCCGGGATGCAGTTCACAGTTTTGGGCTGTGAACTTAATTACGCGATCCCTTTCTTCTCTTCTCTTGTTGGCGTAGTCAGAGGATGAAGCAGCAGGAAAGAGAACGACGAGAGTGAGAAGACCGCGAAGTGACGTGAAGGTCGCTGCGAGAATTGGCGAGGCCGAGGGAGTGCGAAGAGAGATAGGAAGGAAGAGGCTGCAGACAGGGGGGAGAGAGAGATTTTTAGAAGCCAACAAGAAATGTGGCACACACAGTGATTTGGGCTCGGCAGCTTGTCGACTACCAGCCGAAGCCGGAGTCGGAACCGTAGCCGAGATGGTCGTCGAGGGTGTCGAATATGCTTAGGGGTTAGGGGACCCCTAGGGTTCTGAGGGCCGGGTTTTTTAAAGACCTTTTCAGAAACGAGGAGGTTTGGGGGTTTAACTTGCCATTTAAGAGATTGCAGGCACGGGGGGTCCCTCTTTTAAGATCGTTTAAGAAAATCGGCCTCGCCGGCATGCGTCGCGCTGGGGGTTCCGCGCCGTTTTCTCCAATTGTCCAATACTGCCGTTATTGGGCACAAACCCGCCTCCGAAGACACATCTCTAAGTCTGGTGCACTGGCAGGAGCCATACTCGCATAGGGGACGCGTGCCAGCTGACTGTAGCCAGCTTCCCGGCCTACGGCGTCTACCGGGAGCCTCCCGGACCATCGACCTCGGGAGCTCTCCGCACCGTTTAAGCGTTTAAGACCGTTTAAGGAATCGGCGGCCCAGGCAGCCTTAAAAGGGGCCCGGGCCCGTTTTAAGCCGTTTAAGCCGCAGGCGCCCCAGGGCCCACCCTTTTAAGCCTAGGGGTCCCCTAAGCGAATATGTCATTCGCCTCGCTAGTAGAGCCGGAGCCGCATGAGTCTTGGTCGGAGGAGGAGTCGTCGGAGGAGCGGTCGGACCGCTCGCGCTTGTCGCGCCTGATGCGCTCTGCGAGGGGAGGGGCAGTTTCGTCTTTCGAGTTTGCCCCGCGGGCCCGCGCGCCGCGCGCGGGCCCGCGTGTGCCGTGAAGCTGTGACCTGTGTCGTGTGTGTACACGCCGGCGCCAGGCCGACTGCACGCTAAAGGCTACACGCTCGCACACCACTTGCAGAGTGGCTCTCCCAGGCGCTCACCCCACCCGGAGGCACGCCAGGCCCCGGGCAGCCGGCCGTCACTCGCCTAAGCGCCTAAGCGGCCTACGTCAGTAAGCGGGGGGTGCTTAGGGTGCTTAGGCGCTTAGGCGGCCCTTGCGAGCGTGGCGGCGTCGTAATACAAGTGACTCCGATGGCAATCATGATGCCCCTGCTAGTGTGTCATCGCTCAGAGAGCAGCCTCACGCACGTCCACTGTCTACCACTGGCCCTGGTCGCACACTGCCACTGAGCTGCGCTGGTCCGCAGGCTGGTGCGGGAACTCAGCATCAGGTCGAGTCGAGGAAGATGAGATCGCGGAAGGTCGAGTCGAGGAAGAGAACAAGATCAGGGGCGGGTCCGGTAGACCGGTCCGCGGCGCCATGTGCGTGGCAAAGGACGCGAAAAGTGCCCACTGAAGCTTCCGCGCCTTGACTTCACGTTGAGCTGTGATGATATGCCCACAGCCCAGCAGCAAAGGCGGGCGGGCCGACCCCGCGGCCATCGCCGCCGCCGCCGCCGCCCCCTCCGCCGCCGCCCCCTCCGCCTTCGTCGTCACCTTGGGCTGCATCACCCGCGCCGCCGTCGTGCACCGGCTCTCGTGCTCATTCAACGGCGCCTCGAGCTGCAGGCCGGCGGCACTGGCGTTGTCGTGGTCGGGGGCTGCCCAACGTCGGTGCGGGAGGGAGGGGGCAACGCCGTTATGAAGAGCGAGAGCGAGCGCCGAGAGGGCCCAGCTTCTTTGCAGCAGCCCGCCTGATCAGCAGCCCACTTGCCGACGTGCGTCCAGAATTCCATGTAGGTGAACGCCGAAGTTTGCTCTCCGACGCCGTGCCGAGCGAAACCTTTTCCTTCGAAGCTCAGCGTCGTAGCCGGGCGAGCGGAATAGGGCAGCCCTAGAGAGCACCTTGAGGCCGTTCAATAGAGCCCGTACTATAGTCGAGAATCTCGCCGGCCGGCGCAGTGCTGCTCTGACCGCTCCGCCGGGCCCCCTCCGGGCCGCCGCCGCGGAGACGTGCACATGGCAAGTTGGTATTTTCATATATGAACTTAAAAATAGTATTGGCTAGTCTAATCCTACTCATCACAACTCGCCAGGAACACCCCCACACTATAGAGTCATTGTGTAGCCCTGCTTAGAAGGAAAAGGTTTACTGCAAGGTCCGTGTAGAGTAACAGTGATGGCCATTTACTGGTAAAAGAGTGGTATTTACCACTTATTTGATTCTCCAGGGGAGTGGTATGGTATGAGCAGAGAGTGGTATGGTAAATTACGAAACTCCGTAGAATCATCAAATTTTCGGGATCTGAGCCGAGTCTGAGGCTGGTTTGCGGCCAAATTCAGCCAAATTGGCAAAATGCCGGGTATTTTGCGGGTATGTATGTAACTAGTGAGAGGACTCGAGATGTGTTCGAGATTTGGGCGGTCGTGCTTTTCGGCGGTCGTGGAGGTCGTGGAGGTCGTGGAGTGGTACCTGGGGAAACCCGGGTATACCTGGAAAATACCGGGTATTTTGCCGATTTCTCCGATTTTTGTCTGATTTTGCTTCAGAAGTCGTGGTAAATCTTACCACCATTTGATTGTGGCCGTAGAGTGTTTGATTGTTCTGGGGGGCTATACCAGTAAATGGCCATCACTGGTACGAGAGTATGTGGCTCTCACCGTTGTGTAGTCGGCCGCCATTTAAGGTAGAGCCAAAGAGCGGAGACTCTCAAAGAGGGGGGTGGGTGGGGTGGGAAGGTGGTGGGTTTTGCTGAGGTAGTAGACTCTAGAAACGTAGACAAGAGACAGGTAGGAAAACGGTGTCCGCCTGCAGGCACGAGGCAGGGCCAGACGCAACAAAATCGCTCTCGCAAAATCGCACATTCTTGCCAGGGCGGTGCTGCCGCTTCCCGAGCGGCTCTGGGAAGCGGCGCACTCTTGTAAGCCCGGCGGTGCGCAGCGGAGCGTGCCGGCAAAAGGATCGGGAGGCGGGGGGGAGGGGACACGTCAAGATGGAAGCGCCCGCACTATTGACGCGGCAGCGAGAAGGGAGCCGGAGAGGATGAAGCCAGACCTGGGCCGCCGCTCGGCGACGGCGGCGGCGCGGGCACTGCCGCCACGTGCGTGTGCGGCCGTGGCCCGAAATCCAGCGTCGATCCCGCCTCGACGCCGTACTGGACGAGCGGTTTTCCCGCCTCGAGCGTTGTGTCCTTGTATGAAATGGCGAGCGTCTCGGGCTTGACAGCAAGCTGGCGCGCGGCCTGGCGGCGTACCTGCAGCGGAAGGGGCGTGGGAGAGCCGTGTCGTGTCGCGTGTGGTGGGCAGGTGCAATGATGAGGCTTTCAAAGTTGTTGGTGGTCGTGCACCTCATCCGCGTCCGCGAGGTGCAGATCGAGGAGCATTCTGACCCTCGAGACGCCCGCGCGGCCTGGCGCGCGACCCATCACGAAGATCTCCGTGCTCATCTCGAGGCCCCGGGCGCCTAGCGGGCGCGCCGCGAGTGACGTAGGCCTCGCTGCTTCTCGTTTGTTTGTGATGCCTTTGCACTTGTGATGAGGATGCGAAGTCCGCGTTTTTTTTTGCCGTCCGAACAGCCTCGCGCTCTGCACGTCGGCGCCTCCTCCCTCGGGCTGCTCCCGCTGCGGCGCCGGCCGGCTCCCGCCCCGACCGACCTTTCGTGGCGTCGCCTCCACTAGGCGCCCGTACGTACTGCGCCTGGCGGGGATGCTGCTGCTGCTGTCGCCGGGGTGGGGCTCTGGCCGAGCATGCTGCTGCTGCTAACGCGCCACTTTGCGGCGGCGCAGCGCGCGCAGGCGAGCAGCCCCGGGGGCGTGAGTGCCGCGGGCATGAGTGAAGTGGGTCGGGTTGCGGACTGCGGCACGTGGGTCGTGTGTCTGCAAGAGCGGCACGTGGCGCACCGTATTCTTTTAAGCCCACGTACGGCGTGTTCGGGGCTCTGCGGGCGCAGCTGGGCCGGGCTACAGCGAGCCGAAAACACTTAGTTCTAAAATAATTCTTTTTCCACCCGAGGCTTTGGACGCTTCATCGCTGGCACGCTGCCAGCAGTGCCGCAAGGCCCGCACCCGGCTGAAATTGCCGATTGCCGGTGGCTCGCGCGAGCCCGGCGGCGGACGGTGCAAGCAAGGTGAGCAGCCGAAGCTACCGGCATATCACTTTTGCGCGGCCCTGTGCCTGTCTTGCGCCATCGCGTCGGAAAGCAGCGCCAGCCTCAACTTGCCGCATCCACCACAGCTCACCGCGATGCAGCACGCTCTCGCACGCGAGGCCCGCTTGAAGCGGCGATGTCCGCGCGATGACGGCACTCATCTGATGGAGGCATTGATTGATTGATTGATGGGAAGGCGAAACACAGTCCGACCAACGACTGGGACACCAACGCGGTATGGGTGGACGCTAGACGGGCGATGACGGTCACACAGGAGCGACACACAGAACCACAAGACAAGACACTCAGGCATTGTGATGGTCTGTTTTCTTTCCGTTTCTTTCTGAATTCGTCTTTCTCCCTTTTAAGGGCAGGCGTCGGCGACCGGGGGGCGGGCGTTGAGTCAGCAGTCTGTCTGTGCTCGGAAAAGAGTTTTAATCAGTTCGACTCTCTCTCCATGAGAAAAGCCACAGACCACAACGCTTCGCGAATTGCGTGTACCAGAGAGGAGAGAGTGTGGGAGCTGTGGGAGCGCCCAACTTCAACTGAGCCAAGTTAGCATATTAGATGGGGGGGGAAGATAGGCGCAGGACGACGTCGACGAGTGTTGCGCAGCTCCATCTCTACCCCTCGGGAAAAGGGTGGCGATATCGTCTGTGCTCTCGAGTATCGTCTGTGTGAGCTTTCCTATCAAGCCTCTAATGCTTCGTTGTCCATATCGTCCGCTGCTGTACAACTCTGGCCGTCTCTTCCTTCGCAAGGGCCCCGCCCCCATTGGGGAAGGGGGCGGGGCCCACGCAGGGGGACCTCTAGTTGGACCATGACGATTTCCGGCGACAAAGGAGTGTTCCGTCCGTCCCCGTCTTCTCCTATGGAGTCAGGCTTAGACGAGGACGGGCTTCACTCGCCCCCACTCGGCGGCTACACCGCCACCGGCGCGCCGCCTAACACACCGCACGGGGCGCAAGGAAGCTCGACCACACCGTCTGGCCTGCCGCATGATAGCGGCTTAGGTCAAGATCCGCACGGCAGTCCTCGCCCCATCGCATACTTACGCACCGAATGCACCATTCGGTCAAGCGATAGCCAGCCAACAACGGCATACAACGGCATGCCGCAGATGCACGGACATTCCATCATGCCGCAGTACAACATCGCACCGCAGCACATGCATGCCTATGCGCCACGGTACCCCGCCGCAGCTATACCACCATATCAAATGAGCACGCAGCACAGTGCTGTCATCCAACAAGCCGGGCACATGGGCGCTCAGTGGATGCACACAGGCCCACAGTATGGCATGCTCGGAGCAACTATGCCAAATGCATACGCGGCGTACCAGCCTGGGTCGGCCCCACCCGGTTACCCAATGCCGCATAATGCCTCCGGCGCCGGGACACAGTCGGCACAGTGGGTGCCACCCTCGCCTAGCGCGATGCCGCACGCAAACCAGCCTGGACCCGTAATTGTAACAGATGCCTTGGCGTACGTGCCGCCCTCCGTTTGGACTCCGCCGTTGCCAACGCCTCCGCCTGCGCCCGCAGCCGAGCCGTCTACAGGCGATGGTGGCAACAGCGCCGTTACGACAGCTGCTCAGGCTCTACGCCAAGGATCTCAGCTCTGGCGACATCAGCGCGCCCACCCGGTCGCCCGAGGGCGTTCCCGCAAGCAGAGAAGACAAGAAAGAAAGATAATCCTGGGGGGAGCAACCATCTACATGTACGTTCGCTAGGCGTGTGTGCCCCGTTAGTGCCGCGTTCTGTGCCCCCGAGTTCATTTTAATATCGGAGGTGTAGTATAATGTGTTTGTTCGAGAGCAGGCACACTAGAGTGACACCCAGCGAGGGGCAGACCTCTCGATGATGGACGAGCCATGGCGCCGGCCAGGCGAGTCGTCACACCATCCCAATACGCGTCAAGAACGCGCCATTCGCGCGCGCGCCAGCACCTGCCAGCACGACTTATACGTCAATTACGCCACACACGAACACTTTCGATGTTTGTGAGTGTTCCGACGGGCGTTGATCGAATCCTTGTGCGACAAATCACGACTCCCACCGAGCCGCGCCGCGCTTGCCCGCGAAAAGAAAGCCAATTCCTGACTTGGCCCCTCGGGGCCTGCGGGCGACCTTCTCTCGAGGTCTCGAGATACACAAAGCGGCCAAGCGCACTCGCTACCACCGACACCCGTGCGTGTCACATAAACGCACAACCCCGGGCCCCGAAATCGCACAGTGAGATGCCGACAAATTTCTTCTTTGCAAGTCTTGTGTAGTACTGTGTACTGCTGCCCCTTGCATGTCCTCTGCTGGGCACCCCGAGATGCCTCGGCACGGGCCCCGGCACGACTCGCACCACCACCGACCCGGACACCACGGCGGCGAACGGCACCACAACGCCACACGTTTTGCCGCTTTGGCAGACCTGCCTGCGGCGGCGCCCGGCGGTGTGCTTGAGCGGCTGCAGCAGTCCTTTGCAGACGAGCATCTCGAGCTGGCGGTGCTGCTCGGTGCGAGCCTGCTGTGCTTGGCCGCGTGGGCGTGCCTTAGCTTCACCGCAGCCGTCCCTGCCTCGCCGTGCGCCCAGCCCATCTCCAAGGCGGTCTCGTCTGAGAGGCTCGTCGAGCCAGTGGTCGAGGGCAAGCCGGTGCCGTCGAGCCGAGGCGACACGACGGTGTACCGGAGGCTGCGCAACCGGTACCTGGTGGCCTACTCGCTGGCCACCTTTGGCGACTGGATCCAGGGCGGCTACCTCTACGCGCTCTACGCCAATCACGGCTACTCGATGCATCAGATCGCGCAGCTCTTTGCGGTCGGCTACAGCTCTGCAGCGACGCTCGGCACGTACACGAGCGCGATCGGCGACGTGGGCGGGCACCGGCGCAACTGCGTCGCGTACGGCATCCTCTACGCCGGCTCTTGCCTCCTTGCCAACTCTCCAGCCGGCCTCCCTAGAAGTGGAAGACGACATTCGTACGTGTGTTCACGTCTCCCGACTGGCGCTCGAGAGGACACGGAGTCAGCCGGATTCCACCGTATTCATCTGCATTCCGCTGCACTCGCATCCCCTCGTCTTCACGCGGTGCTCTGACGACTCTGCACGAGGCTGGCGTACTCAGCACTGTAGGCGGGCCTCGCCCTCGCGGCCAGCCGGCTGCTCGGCGGCATCTCGTACTCCATCCTCTTCACCTCGTTCGAGTCGTGGCTGATCGCCGAGGCCGAGGCGTGCGAGCTGCCACGCGGCCAGCTCACCCATATCTTCGCCGCATCCTCCTGCGTCTACGCCTTCTCCGCCGTCGTCGCCGGCATCGCCGGCCACGCCGTCGTCGAGCCGCCGTCACAATGAATAGTGCACAATGAATGATGAATGATAGGCATCGCCGGCCACGCCGTCGTCGAGCCCTCTTCCTAACGAGTAGTCAATCGGTGAATGGTGAATGGTAGGGATCGTCGGCCACGTCGTCGTCGAGCTCTCGCCGCCGTCGGCCGAGGGGGGGCACAACCGATTCGCTGCTCCCTTCAACGTCGCCGCGCCCGTGCTGCTGCTCGCCTCCTTCCTGTGCCAGGTGCAGTGGAGCGAGCGGTACGGCGACAGGCGGACGACGCCGAGCGCGTCGCTGCTCCGCTCGTGGCGTGCGATCGTCGCGAGCCGCACGCTGCTAGGTGCCTGACCGGCACCCCCAATCTCCCCCATGTCTCCCCCATATCTCCCTCGTATCTCCCTCACATCTCCCCCATCTCTCCACCAGCTCTCGGCGTGGTCAACTCGCTCTACGAGACGTCGCTCTACGCCTTCGTCTTCATGTGGACCCCCTCGCTCGAGCGCCGTGCGCCGCACCAGATCTCGCACGGGCTCATCTTCTCCATCTTCATGGTGAGTAAGATGGCGGGCGCGCAGGGCTTCGCGCTGCTCGACGCGTACGGCGTCTCGCCCACCAGGCTGCCCGAGATCGCCCGAGATCGCCCGAGATCGCCCGAGATCGCCCGAGATCGCCCGAGATCGCCCGAGATCGCCCGAGATCGCCCGAGATCGCCCGAGATCGCCCGATGGCCACCCCAGATCACCCGAGATCACCCCGAGAGTACGCGAGATTGCCTGGTCCTCTGTCTTTGTCGTCGTCCTTGCCTGTGTCGAGGAGCGTGCCCGACCTCACCGTGCCTCTCGCCCACCAGATCTCCCCACATCTCCCCAGATCTCCCCAGATCTCCCCAGATCCCCCCATATGTCCCCGATGACAGTTGCCTGGGCGGTGTGTTTGCGGGCTCCGCGCTCTGCCTGCTGGTGCCTGTCGTCTCGAGCTCGTACGAGGCGCTGCTGCTCGCCTGGCCGTCTTTCCACCAATGAGGTGGGTGACGTGAGGGAGGGGCACGCTCTTCATTCAGGCGCTGCTGCTCGCCTTCTCCGCCTTCGAGTGCCTGCTCGGGCTGTACTGGCCGGCCATCGCGCTCGTGCGGGCCGGCGAGCTGGATGACTCACACCTCTCCCCACATCTCCCCCACATCTCCCCACCTCTCCCCACCTCTCCCCCACCTCTCCCCACCTCTCCCCACATCTCCCCCACACCTCCCCACATCTCCCCCACATCTCCCCACATCTCTCCACACGCCTCCCCACACATCTCCACACGTCTCCCCGCATCTCCCCCCAGGCGAACTGGACGACTCGCAGCGCGCGTCGACCATGGCCGTCTTCCGCGTGCTGCTCAACGGGCTCGTCATCGCCGTCCTGCTCGGCGCGGGGTATGTGCCCGAGCACGCCGTGTACGCCACCGCCTCCGCGATGCTCGTCGTCTGCCTGCTCGGCTCGCACGTGCTGGCGATGCCGTCCGACGCGCACGGCGAGAGCAGAGGCGGCTCGGGTGCGTCCTCGGAGGTGGTGCCGATCATCGCGGTGCCGGAGAGGGGGGGGCTCTTCAAAAAGAGGTCCCCGACCGAGAGTCCCGAGCTGGACGACGCGGAGTGAGAGTGTGGCGCCTCCCTCGCGCCTCGGGCGGGGAGGGGAGAGTGTCGTGGCGGGGCGCCGGGCCTGATCCCCGGCAGTACTGGTTTGATATAGCACGGAGTCCTCTCGCTCCAGTGCAGTACGGAGTGTGTGTCGCATCGCATTTCAGTGATGCCCCAAAAGTCTGAAAAAACAGCACTCAATGAAGAGAGAGGAACACATTGAGTGGCTGAGGAAGCTCTTCACTGGGTGGAAAGAGGCTCGGCCGGCCTTGAGAGGGAGTCGCGGAGGAGGAGGGATAACGCAGGCAACGCAGGGACGGGCCAACAGCCAGTGGGACGAACGAGGGCCGCGACGGCGGCTCAAGCGGGAGGGAGCGGAGACGGTGGGCAGCGAGCGAAGTGGGTGAGACTGATGATGCTCCTTCGACTTAGGGAGCGGTTCAGCTGCTGGGCGGGCTTCAGGCTGGTGCTCACGCGAAAAGGAATCGACGCGATGTGCAAAGCATACAAGAAGGGGACAAGGAAGAGGAGAGACGCCAGTGATGACGAAGCAGAAACTAGCGCAGACGAGGGCAGGGCAGAGCCGGGGACTGGGGAGCCGGAGCAGACGGCATCGGCCGCCGAGGGAACGTTGGGAAGAGGCACGAGGAGGGCGGCGACCTCGACCGACTATGGAGGACCCGTCGCCAGACGACGCAGGGCAGAAGACGGTGAGGCGGAGCAGACGCGCAGGGCGAGACGAGGGAGGGAGCAGGACTTTGCGGAGATCAGCAGGAGGATGTACGAAGAGATTAGGAGCAGCAGGGACCCGAGGGACCATGTGGAAGACGGCTAGTGCTAGTCCCCCGTCCACCCCTCCGCGCGCCGCTCAGTTGGACGACGTGCGGCAGTTCTGCGCCGACCGGCAGCTGTGGAGTCTATTGCTGCGCCGATGACGGCGAAACCTTCACAATCGCCTGGGCCAGCCTCTCGTGGGACGCCAACAAGATCAACACCGCGTTCCCGCTGACCTGAGGCACTGGCGCCAACTTAGCACCGTGGTGGTTTAACTAGCTCCCGTAGTTATGTCCTGGCTAGCTCCCGTGGTGGTTCTTTCTCTTGTGGTTTATGTGTTGTGTCCACACCGCGGGGGTTATGTCCTGACTCCTCAGGACATAACTCCTGACGTGAGCGGTGAGCTCGTGAGGTCTGCCGTGGGCGCCCAGCCTCGAGCGCCCGGCGCGTCTCGTGCCACGCCGTTTTCTTATCGTTTTTAGACAATAGGAAGCCGCCGGAATACTGGGGCCCCGGACGTAAGTGGGGCGGGCCCGGGCGGGCCCGGTTCCCTGAGCCCTGGTGTCGAGGTGTCGAGGCCCGGTGTCGAGGGTGTCGAGCTGCTGTCGAGGGATAGAGGTGTCGAGGCCTGTCGAGGCCTGTCGAGGCCTGTCGAGGCCTGTCGAGGCCTGTCGAGGCTGAAACCATGCTTGTCCGTGTCGAGGAGTGTCGAGGGGTGTCGAGGGGTGTCGAGGGTGTCGAGGGTGTCGAGGGTGTCGAGGGTGTCGAGCGGGTGTCGAGCGGGTGTCGAGTGTTGTCAAGAGGCGTCTGAGGTATCGAGGTGTCCAAGGTGGCAGGTGGATGCAGTTGCAGCCCATCAACATACAACAAAAGTTGGGCAGCAGTTGCAAAGCTGTTTCATCCCTTAGTTGCAGCCTCAGTTGCACCCTGTTGATGTAGCACAACCTGAGCACAACCAGTATACTCTCTGTGGACATTTGAGGACATCAAGTGCCGGGAGTCATTGCCACTGTGCACCAAGGTGCTGTGCAGGCGCAGCACCGCAGCAGCGTCGCTGCTGCAGCAGCGTCGCTGCTGCAGCGTCACCGGCGCACAAAGCGCAACTGACCACAGCGCTCATGGCACAAGGCTGGTGCCATGAGTCAGTGGACATTGCCACTGCACAAGGTGCTGTCCAGCAGCTAAGGGCTACAGTACCCCATCGCAGCAGCGTCGCCGCCGCTGCAGCGTCGCCGTTGCAGCGTCGCCAGTGCACAAAGCGCAATGGACCACAGGTCTGCACTCATGGCACAAGCTCACTGGTGTGAGGATTCATTGCCACTGTACAAGGTGCTGTGCAGCACCTTAGGGCTACCTGAGTACTGCCATGTTTGCTGCATCAACAGGGGTGCAACTGAGCTGCAACTTGAGCTAGAACTTGAGAGGCTGCAACTCAGGGATGAAAGTACTGCCAGCCAAGTATTGCTGCTGCAACCCTGATTTTCTAACTCTGTGACTCCAATGGGTCTACGTCTCTGCTGTGTTAGGATCATCAGAGGTGTCGAGCGGTGTCGAGCGGTGTCGAGGGGTGTCGAGGGGTGTCGAGGGGTGTCGAGGTGTCGAGTTTGGCACCTTGACACGGACGAGCATGGTTTCAGCCTAGATGGTGTCGAGGGGTGTCGAGGGGTGTCGAGTTTGTCGAGTTGGCATGGGTTGTCGAGGTGTCGAGTCGGTGTCGAGGTTTGGTGTCGAGGTGTCGAGGCCAGGGCTCAGCCGGTTCCGGGCCCGGCAGGGGCACCGGCGGGCCCCGGCCGGGTCAAAAGTGGCCGCTCCCGGGCCGCCGAGCGTGCTTTTGCCGGGCCGGTTTTCTCCTCGCCGGGCCCGCCTCGCTCCTCGACCTGCTGATTTGGGCGCTTCGGCCCGGGAGTGGCAAGCCGGGCCCGGCAAAGCGCGCGGGCCGGGCCCGGGAGGGGCAAGCAAGCCGGGCCCGGCAGGGCGCGCGGGCCGGGCCCGGCACGGACGGGTCCGAGCCGGGCCCGGCAGGGGCCCGAGCCGGGCCCGGCCGGGCCGGCGCCCCTAGGGCGCCCCACTTTGCAAATCGACCCGTTTCCCATCCAATATCTCCCACTCGGCCGCGGAGGCCCCAACTGCGAGAGCGGGGCCCGGGGGAGGGTGTCCCTACTGGTCGTGCCCACCCCTCGCACGACCCCGGGCGACAGCGGGGGACCCCGCAGCTTCTACGACCGACAGGGGCCGCACAGCCCCATGTCCGTGCCTCGCGCACACCGCTGGGACATCGTGAAGGCACTCCCGCTTGTCCTCGCCGTCCTCGCCGGCCTCGGCCTGCTTTCGCGACACCGGCACTCTCCGCGAGCGGCCGTGGCTGATTTGGCGCCGGTGGAGGTGGTGGCCGTGGTGATAGCCTCCAACGGCTACACCGCAAACTACACCATCAACACGCTCCTCACGGCGGGCCGGTGGGAGGGTCCTATCTACGTCGTCGGAGAGCACTGCGAGCGGCGGGTCGCGCCGGGCGAAGCCGACGCCGCGGGCTGTGCGAGCGAGACGTGGCAGCGGCCAGACCTGCTGCCCGCTGGCGCGCCGTCCCGGGCGCTGGGCGCAAAGGCGATCAAGACGCGCCTCCTCGACGTGGCGGTGGGCGCGAAACGGGTCCTCTACCTCGACTCCGACATCCTCGTGCGCAGAGCCGCCAGACACAGACATACAGATAAACATGCATATTGTCCAGCTGTGTACCATCGCACCACATCAGTTGCACTTGCACAGCGTTCTGCTGTGTATTCGTGTACGCGCAGCCCCCTTTTAGCATCCAAGCGGCGGAGGCGCGTGACCGTCTTCTTTTCTCGTCTTCTTTTCTTGTCTCGCAGGTGCAACGCCCACTCGCGACGTCCGCCTTTGGCGCGCTGCTGCGGCGGCGCGACGCGTGGAGCCCGGGCTGCGAGGCGTACTTTGAGCGCGAGCGGACCTTTGTTCGGCAGCGGCGCGCGTTTGCCGCCGGCGAGCCCGCGAATAAATGCAATGGGGTGTTCGTCGTGAGCGGAATGAAACTGATGAGCAGGCACGCTCCCGCCACCGGCGTGCCGGCGGCGCGGTACGACTTGCCCTACTGGTGCTCTGGCACCTTTGTGCTCGATGTGGGGCAGTCGAGGGGGCTCCTCGACACGTGGCGCGAGGAGATCCTGTCGGGCAAGGAGCGTGTGTGCCGTGATCCCCATCACACCTCCCCACATCTCCCCAAGCATACATGCTCTCCCCGTTGATCGGTCCCGTCTCTCTCCCCCCACATGTCTCCTCATATATCATCGCCTCCCGCGCCCCCTGCACTAGGATACAACACCCAGCCCCGTGTAGAGCCCCGGCTTCATTGCCCGGGACGGCTACCCCCCCCCCCCCTGGGCCCTGGGGACTCGCTCTCATACCTCCCCTTCACCCTAGTTAACCCTGTCGCTCGACCAACACGCGCTCTACACATTATTGTTGCTGTGTTAATACTACTGTCATGATTACCATTCTCATTGTCGGGGACGAAGGTGTCGCTCGATCAGCACGCGCTGCACCGCGCCGTCGCGCGCGGGTACATCCCCCCCCCCCCTCCTGCTTATAACTAAACTATTGGCCGCCATCAGTCGTCCACAACCAAGACGTCGCCTCTCGACCACGTCTCATAGGCACGCCGTCTGCCCGCTGCCCGACGACACGCGCTACGTCAAGGACCTCGAGGGCGCGCTGCGTGGGCTGCTGCACACGCGCACCCTGCTGCACTTCCAGACCGCAAAGGCGTCCCTGCCAGACTACTGTGCGGCGCGGCGGGGAGGGTGCTCTGCGCCGGCGACGGCGACGGCGCAGCAGATTGTTCGCGTCGACGTGAGCGCGCCCCCCCCCGGGACTGGGAGGAGGCCTCCTGAGAGTGGGCGAGGATAACGCAACGCAACGCAAACGTTTCGTGATCGTGTAAGTATAAGGTAGTACGTAAACTATCTTCTCGTCCACACACACTCACACACACACTCACAAACTCACAAGGTGGTGCCTAGGCGTAGCAGGGTGGTTCTAAGTGGGGCAAGGGGGGCGACCCTCGTGTGTGAACCCCGAATGAACCGTGTACACGTAAAACTACGTTATTTATGAAAAGTCAAAACGGGCAGGTCACCTTCCTCTGTCCTCTCATCCTTCGTCGTCGTCGTGAGGTGATGGTGAGGGGTTGTGCTGCCAAAAGCTCCTCGTCGCAAACCCCGTCAGCAGTCCTCCTCCGGGAATGTACGTAAGAGCTACATACACTGAAAAAGATGGCGCGCCAACGTACTCGTCGCCCTGAATGGTTGGGCAAGTTGTGGAGGACACGATCCCGGCGTGAACACGACTAACTGGCGGATCCGCTCCTGACAGTCGCACGCGCCGCGCTGCGGCGCGTGCGAC